TGAAGGACAAGAGTCTGGAGGGCCGGCTATGGGAACAGGTCGAATGCCCAATGAGTCTCGCAGAGATTATCTCATTCGAACAGGGAAGATCACACCATTTTCTAAAATGAGCGCCGGCCCGAATGAGGGACCCCTTGCTAGTCTGCATGATGCTCTGATCGACGCTGAAGACGAGCGCGATGAAAGAGAAGCGTTGGAGCAAGTCAAAAATCGATCTGCAGTGTCTCACCGAAACCTTGTGCGCCCTAGCTTTGGCTTTGATGAAGCGAGCGAGGGAGCTATGGACGGGGATGAATATCCAAAAAAGCGGAGAAAATTGACCAAAAAAGCTAGGGACAGAGACTCAACTATGGATTCCGACGAAGCGGATGAGATAGTAAGGAGTCTGGAAGATGTACCTTCGGATAATGGCTCAGCAAGTTATGTAGCGTCGGAAGAGGAAAAGTCAGAATCAGAAGACGAGGAGGACTTTGTACCCGAGGGAACGCCGCCGCGATCCACAGCCCGAAGCAAGGCCAAAAAGACTCCAGACGATGTAGAAGATTTCAGCGGGCTGGACGATGGAAACGAGAAGGTCTATCAGTCCAGGCTCCAGAATTGGATCACCCGAAGAAGTGCTGCGCGAAAGCGTGCTCTGCACGGCAGTGCAAATGCTCATGAACATGAAGAACAAGAGGAGTGGTTCATGCCTCACCCCAGTGTACCCGATGTGGACTATGACAACGGATATCGTATTCCTGGTGATATTTATCCCCTGCTGTTTGACTATCAGAAGACAGGGGTGCAATGGCTATGGGAATTACAACAGCAGCAAGTAGGAGGCATTATTGGAGATGAAATGGGGCTTGGGAAAACAATTCAAGTCATTTCTTTCCTGGCTGGGCTTCACCACAGCAAAAAGCTAACAAAGCCGGTCATTATTGTGTGTCCTGCAACTGTCATGAAGCAGTGGGTTAATGAGTTCCACCGCTGGTGGCCCCCTTTCCGTGTTTCAATTCTGCACACCTCCGGCAGCGGGATGGTAAATATTCGAAATGAGAGCAGTAGGGAAGATGCGCTTCTGTCTCAGACGTGGGATAGTCGCCGCAGTCTGGGTGGGCTGAAAGCCGGGAGAAAAGTTGTCAAACGAGTGGTAGAGGAGGGCCATGTGCTAGTGACTACATACTCTGGCCTGCAGACCTACACCCCCCTTCTGATTCCAGTGGAATGGGGGTGTGCTGTGCTCGACGAAGGCCACAAGATCCGTAATCCCAACACTTCGATCACTATCCATTGCAAGGAACTCCGGACACCACATCGGATCATTCTGTCAGGTACACCGATGCAGAATAACCTGACAGAGCTTTGGTCATTGTTCGACTTTGTTTTCCCAATGCGCCTGGGGACATTAGTAAACTTTCGAAATCAGTTCGAGTTCCCCATCCGTCAGGGTGGATATGCTAATGCTTCGAACTTACAAGTGCAAACAGCAGCAAAATGCGCAGAGACTCTAAAAGATGCCATTAGCCCGTATCTCCTGCAGCGATTCAAGATCGATGTTGCCGCGGACCTTCCTAAGAAGAGCGAACAAGTGTTGTTCTGCAAGCTCACGAAGTTGCAGAGACAGGCGTATAAGGCATTCCTCGGCTCTGAAGAGATGCAATCTATTCTCAGAGGCCGTAGGCAAGTGTTATATGGAGTGGATATTCTACGAAAGATTTGCAATCATCCAGACCTACAGAGCCACAAACTTACGTCGCATAAAACAGGCTATGGTAACCCTGATAAATCAGGCAAAATGCAAGTTGTCAAGTCACTTCTTGAGCTGTGGAAGGATACCGGCCATAAAACTCTTCTATTTGCGCAGCATCGTATCATGTTGGACATCCTTCAAAAGTTTGTGGAGTCTCTGTCGGGGTTCAATTACCGGCGGATGGATGGCACCACGCCTATCGCCCATCGGCAATCGATGGTTGACGAATTCAACAATAATCCGGATCTTCACGTGTTTCTCCTCACCACCAAGGTAGGAGGGCTGGGAGTAAACTTAACAGGGGCAGATCGGGTGATCATCTATGATCCCGACTGGAATCCATCAACCGATATGCAAGCCCGTGAGCGAGCATGGCGGCTTGGACAAAAGCGTGATGTTACAGTGTATAGACTGATGACCGCTGGGACAATCGAGGAGAAGATTTACCACCGGCAGATTTTCAAGCAATTCCTCACTAACAAGATATTGAAGGATCCTAAACAGCGTCAGACTTTTCAACTAAGCGATTTGCACGACTTATTTTCTCTCGGAGACGAGGGTCAAGGTCCAACGGAAACAAGCAAGATTTTCAAAGAAGCCGACATCACCTACGAAGAGGGAGGTAGCACGAACACTCAGCAGACACGCGCAGGTACTCACGTACAGAACCACCCGCGGGATCAACAAGAGGAGGAGAAAGACGTTCGCCGTGTGGAAGGTATAGCATCAATTGAGAACTTCCAGGGCGACTCCGAGCCGCCGAGCGACAAAGACCAGGGACCTCCCGGTGCCAATAAGGAGTCGCGTATCATGGAGGGCATATTTGCCCGCTCTGGTGTTCATTCCGCGCTGGAGCATGATCAGATCGTGAATGGCAAGCGTGTTGTGCGGGCGGATCCCAAGATTATCGAAGCGGAAGCGAAGAAGGTCGCCGCCGAAGCCGCCGAGGAGCTGCGTCGAGCGGGAGAAGCAGCACGATCTGTGCCCATTGGGACGCCGACATGGACAGGCCAGTTTGGACTTGCCGGGAGACCAGAGGAACCCGCAGCGCGCCTAGCCTTCGGTGGAGGTAGTAGTTCTGCGAGACGAGCTGCAGCCGGCCCGTCATCAGCCAGCATCCTGGCCAATCTTTCTGCACGCACACCTTCTTCCCGAAGCGGCAGTGACAGCCCCGCGCCAGGCAAGGCACCTAGTGGAACGGATTTCATTACGATGATTCGAGACTTTATTGTATCCCACGGCGGGTCCGTCCATACGCAGATGCTAATTGACCATTTCAACCGTTTCTGCACTACTCCACAACAATCAGCTGAGTTTAAGGAAATGCTTAAAACTATTGCTGTGCTGGAGAAGGGTGGACGGAACGGTCGAGGTAAATGGTATTTGAAGCCCGAGTATGCTAAGAGGAGTTAATTAGTCGGTTTCTGCATTTTCGTTCTCCTAAACCTGGCGTTTCTCGTCCTTTCTCCCAGCTTCGTGCGTGGCTTGATGAGATAGGACAAAAACTCCATTTCCTTACCTCGGTGACAATATTAAAAGCATTGGCGCAGTGGGTATCGTTTAGAATAGATTAGCATGCTACCATGGGATGGGATATTGACACCGGCTTGGGCATGAATCCTACTTGAATGGGTATCGTCCATCCCAATTATTTGCCTATTGTACTCCGTACTCCGTATGTGATCTATATAATTTTTAATAGGAAGACACAGGAATCTTCAATATATACTTGAACTAGTGGAATATCAGGATGTACCCAGTGTTCCACAATTTCCTTTTCTTCTCAGGGATATTGCCAGATGGATCTCGTTCACACAAGTTGGTAAGGAAAGAAGCAATTATGATTACCAGCGATGCAAGACGGGATTTTCCCCCCAAGCTTATGGGAACCTGACGATCATGATGTAAATAATCAATCGAATGCATTTGTATATATATAAAAAAAAAGAAGAATGCTCTTCTTCGAAATCGCTTCCTCATTCCCTTTTCCCCTTCCCAATTCCCATATTTCGTTTTTCAATGATTGGCATTGGGTTAACCTACTTAGCAGCACGATTGAGCCTTGCATATTAGCGTGTATGGAATCGCAATATTCAGAGTGATTTTGTGCAATCCTTGCAGAATTGTCCCCAATGATGACTCTACCATGGGTCTGGCGTGTGGAGAAAAGAGCCGAGAGGACAACTATCGACGTAATTGACCATGGGGGTATGACAGTACCAGAGGTTGAACCCACGGAACTGATATGCTTTAGTATCCTTATCTGCCAAGAAATGTCCGAAAAACTGAGAAAAGAACTCATGCAGTGATCCTTTAATGTCGATCTCAGCTGTGTGCCACTGCAGTAAATCAGGACACAACAGGGTATCGTGGAGGAATTAACAAAAATAGAAGCGAAGATCAGTTCGATTTAATTAAAGACGTATGAGATCTATTCAATCAGGAGCCTCAGAACAATTTCAAGACTCCCTAAGAAAAGAAACATGATGTACATTATGGAGTAAGTTCTGTATCAGAATTTATCCACATCGACTACTACACAATGCACTGCCGCACGGAGAATAAGAATCACACATGATGTACTGTACTGTACATTACTGTGTACATGTACACTTCGAGGGAAATATTTCTGTACAAAAATAAGCCGATCCGACTGCGTAAACACTGTGTGTGCGTTGGCGTGTGTCTCAGAATCTCAGCGATTCTCCGCGTCTTGACTGGGTATTCCCCAGCAACCGACGATCGTTCAACTTGACTGGCCCACCGGGCAAAGGATCTCCGCTGCAAAGACCCAATTCCATGATTTCTTACGCAGGCCAAGGGGAAAGGATACAACCGCGTTCGGTGGAGCTCTCTCTCTACTGCCAAGGTCAGTGAGTGAGTGACCCCAACTGTACTCCGTACAGAGCATTGCACTTCTTTTTTCTTTTTTCTTTTTCTTTTTCTATTTCTATTTTTTTTTTTTCTGTTTCCGTGAACGATACCAAACCAGTAACTAATCATTCCACTACTCGGCGAACCGGAGCCGGTATTCTCTCCACAGTCAAGGGACAAAGTACATGTGGTGTGGTGGCTACGCAGTATCCGAACATAAATAGTACTTCTATCCCATCGCCTCCCTTTGCCACCCCGCGATCGTACATTCCACAATTTCCTCTTCAATCCTAACTTGTCTTTTTTCTCTTACTTATCTATTAGATTATCTGTTAAGAATACCTATTACTCTCGTGCCTAAATTCTCCGAACGAAACGTCAAATTCTTTTCACAATGAAATTCTTATCTTCGCTCGTCCTGCTGGTCTCCGCCGCTGTGGCCAACCCCATTCTTCGTACTCGCGATACCGAGAACTTCCATCTCAAGACCACTGGCGCCAGCAACTCAGCACATAACGACCTCTATGTCTACGGCTACCACACCGGTGCTGGATTAAACGATGCTGTTCTCACCTCGGATGTCGGTACCGCAAGCCCAGCCTTCCTGAACGGCACGAATGTCCAATTCAGTCTCGACACGCCTTTTCCTTGGGGACTGGTAATGCGACCACAGAACAACTACGGCGGTAAGACTTTTCCCCCATCCCCTGAGCTCGGGACAGAGGAACATAGGATTAACGTTTGCACAGCGTGGGAGCCGGTCGAGATCAACACGGGATATGGTAGCGGTAGGTTCTCCATCAATGAGGACGGCTTGAATTGGTCGGAACAGCAGGGATTTGGCGGCTGGTTGGGTAAGTTTTCATCTCTAGTGGAGCCTCAATCCGATGTCAGGAACTCGCCACTAACATCCCCGCAATAGTCTGCGACTGGTACCACAATGCGCCCCAGCTCTTCTATCTATTCAAGAACTCCAACAGGCAGCCTATCATTCCCTCCTCCTGCAGCACAGTTCAACTCGCCGTCGAGCCTGTTTCCTAAACGGGAAAATCTGCACGAGATTTGCCACTGGCCTGCCATGGGTCTCGGAGTGACCGAGGCTTCCTGAGTGGTGATTTCAGAGGGGATTGGAGAAAGACGCCCCCCGGTCCCTGAGACGATTGTATCAATACTTGGACACGGATATGTTGATATAACTTTAATAATCATAATGAGTTGGGTGGGATGGGAGTTGGATTTTGAGTGTATATTATTACACCGCCGTTGACGATCTTCGGTACTTAATGACCCTGATGTTACAGATAAATAGCAATAGCCAGAGGAAAAGAAAACAAATTCAATAAACATGGCGCGCATCCAATAGTTATCAATAGTTGTTCCAGTGGCTGGTTAAGCGACCGGGGAAACCCTTGACGGGAGTGAAAAACTTTCAGATCGTAGCGATCTTCCAGAGGTATAGTTGACAGAAAGCTATGGGGAATTTCTTTTTGACGATAATTCCCGTACGTCAAAAAAAGCCATGATAAGTTTATCGGCAACAAGAATGAATTAACTAGTGAGTTAGTTAGTTTGAACTACTGATTAATTGAAGAAATCACACGGTCGCGCGCGTGCCTCAGGCCGGCCACCGCCCCAAAAATAGCCCAGCATGTCTCACATGCGCCCAAACGGGTTAGAACCGCACCAATCAATCCAGTGGGTTTCTCGTTCCCGCTGTTCTTTTCGTGCCTTCCCTTTCACCAGAACTTCTTCTATTTTTTGTCTATAGTCACTTTTCATTGCTGTTTTTGCGCCTTCATTTCCCTCGCTTTTGCCCTCCCACTCCGACACGTTGGGTGGTTGCGATCCCCAGTCACTCGCTTTGTTTACTCGTTCAGGGTCCCCTCATATCATATCAGCCGATCTGCATGTTTCACCGGCCCACTGGTCTTAAATAGGACTTTTACAACCCCCCGTTGCCATTTCCTTCCGCGCAGAACCATTCGTCAGCATTGCATTGGACACGATACACCTTGCTAGGTTCATCCATCCACCGTCAGTCATCGTTCGTTACTTGGACACAAATCACTCGAAACTCGGGAGGACACAGATCCTACCGTCGATCTAAATTTAAGCTCCCCAGGGGTCCATCGATCCCCCCATATTTTGGTCCAAACCAGGCAGTGAATCTTTCGGATTAACTCAATATGCGGTCCATCGCTCTTCTTCCGGTGTTATGCCTCCTGATCTTGCTGGGCATGGCCTCAGCCTGGCCACAACCCCACGGTGAAGTCGTGGCTAGAGCGGGTGAGTATCATCCGAGATTGCTATCATCCTTTGATCAACGATCGACTGACCTCTATAGAAACAACCGCTGCAGAGACTGCTGCTGATAAAGCATCAACGGCTGCCGCTGCTACCACTGAGCAGAGCGCCACGAAGACCGAATCCCAGAGCGACGCCACGGAAACCGGTAAAAAGACAGGGACAGAGACAGGCAAAGAGACAGGGACAGCGACTGGCACAAAGACTGGAAAAGCAACGGGCAAGTCGACGAAGACGGGTACCGATGCCTCCTCTACTTCGATCGATCCTCGGGACCCTGTGGGTGGTATTTCGATGTTTACCTCCGCTGGAGCCACCACCTACTACAAGATCGGCGAATATGTGACCTTCCAATGGAAATATACATCGCTCCAGGTGACACCCTCAGCCGTCAACGTCGTCGCATCTTGCAGCAAGAACAGTGAAACCTATACCATCGCGAGCAACATGAGCGTCTCGGAAACGGGCAAGGTTGTCTGGGATACCAAGAAATATCAATCCAATGCGACGGTTCCGCTGTTGACCGCGACTTACACCCTGTTTGTCTACGATGTCAACTCCACGCTTGGAGACACTGCTTCTGCCGGACACTTGGGCTCGCAAATCGGTTACAACTTTGGAATGTACACTCCACAGTCTTACACCCCTCTTGACCGTACGTTCTCCCTTCTCCCCTGGCCGTTAAGTCTCGTTTTTCAAACACGCTAACACGAACGCCTCCTAGATTACATCTGTGCTACTTGCAACAGTGCCCTCACCAGCACCGAACGCAACGCGATCAAGTTTGCCGTCGGCATGGCCGCTATCACCGTCGCATCCTTCACGTGGTTCGTAAGCGGCACCGGCGTCTTCTACTCGTAATTCTTCAAAACCGACCCCTGATGAAATTATACGTTACCGTTACTGCGTTGCATTTAGCTGAGCGAAATCTCATGATAGCGATCATCAGCAGGCTGAACTGGCGTTTATGTGATTAAATTGTGTAATATGGTTGGGATTTGTGATCTTGGATTTTTATTTCTTTCTTCCCCTCCTAGTCGATTAGAGCAACAGCGGTATTGTTGTAATTATTCTATATGATGTTAGTCGTTGTTTTATATGATATTGTCGATAGATACATAGCTAATAGTGACTGGTGTATATGACGTGTATATATTGTGAAGAATTCGGAACAAGCAAAGGTATCAAAACAATCACGTTGCCCAGACAGCAACGACAGCATACTTACTAGTGTACTCTACACCAGCCCCAAGCATTCAATTTGCATACTAGTAGTTCATCGCACCGTGGTACATTTACCCGACTCCACAAAAAGAAAGAAGAAAGAAAAGAACCATGCAAAAGAACAAAGAGCAAAATAGCAATCTACAGATAATACACCCTAACTACAGACAACCACCTCTTGCAAGACAAACAGGACATTTCAACACCCAATAATTAAAACCCCCTAACCTAGCTAAAAGTTGTAGGTACATATAAAATTGCCTAGACACGTTTACTCGATTCAATCTAAACTGAAACATATCATTTCTTACAAGTAGCCCCCACAATAAGATATTACATATTCAAGTCAATTCGGCAAGAAATAGAGCTTGATGCTTCCTGGATCTGGTCTAATCCTTGTGTTGTGAGGAGAGCGTTGGTTATCGTTGGCTTTAGATTACAGGTAGGCTTTATGGGTAAAGGCTTGTGCGGGTGAGAGATACATGCTTGAGGAGGGCATATGTGGTGCTGGGTGAACTGGTCATTATTGGGGCGATGTCTGGGGTCCCTGGTTTAAAGGAGCTGGGGGGTTGGGTGAGGGTTCATTCAGGGGGTAAGTAGTCCCAGATTCTCAGTCCTGTGATATGGTTCCTAGTGCCGTATTGTGATGGTCTGGTTGTTGAACATGTGAAAGCAAGGTATCTTGAAAGGAATGAGGTTTAATGAGTTCAGGAATGAGACTAATATATTATACAGCTGAGGGTGTTGCAGGGATACTAGTGCTATTGGTATGATGGCTGTGGTTTGATCAGATACAGCTTGGGTGATAGGCTTCCCAGGTTGGTGATTGTTGGGGTTCAGACGGCTGCTTCTGTTGGCGAATGGCCGGTAGTTGTGCTGCGTTGTCTGTCATCTTGCCGCACTTTACGCAGGGGGTTTGTTTAACATCGGAGTAGGATGAGATCATGTCCTGGTCTTCGTTAGCATGTTTACAAGGCGTTGATGGGGGAAATCACGTACAAGAAGATATGCGAGATCCCACTGCCGCGAACGAGAGTTCAGGCAATCGGATGCCGCGCTCTCGAGTTTCGTCTTAGCTTGACCAGGCATCGTTCGGCTCGAGACCTGCCATTCGGGCACGCCGCTCACCTCTGATCCGCCGACCGTATGTACCTTGAATGTCATACCGGCCTTCGGTAGGACAACATTGACAGCTGTTTCAGAATTACTCGGCAAGACTCGTACGCCAGGCACATTTTTCTGGATGAAGCTGTCGACAATTGCCCTCCAACCCCCTTCGGTCGACTGGATCTTCGAACGTTCGAGCTCCTCCTCAGATTTCCGCTGCTGCTCCACCCTGGTCGTTTCCTCCTTGACAAGCTCTTCAAGGAGGGTACCATAATTCCGATCCCAAACACCAGTCGGTTGCAATAGCTGCCCGCCATTTTCCTTGATCTGGGCATCGACATGCTCCCACACAGCGTTCATTTCAGGGCTGCGCCACATGCTCTGAAATTCCGCCACCTCGGCGACACCAGCCTTCGCAGCCTGCGAAAGCTGCTCATACAGCATCTGCGGCGACCTCGGTACAGCCCTCCCCGCCGCAACCTTTGGATTTACAAGAGGTACCAAAGGCTCCAATAAACGATCGGGGAGCAGTGTCCGCAGTTGGTGAATCTGGTATCGCACATTAGCCGTGCATACCCAAAGATGAGCGGGATACTAAGACAAACCATAGCCTCCAATTCCTGGAGCTTTGCGAGAGATGATACAAGCTGCATTTCCGAGTCAGAGACCTGCTTGCTTGCATTGGTGTCTTGTTTAATTGCCGGAGATGATGTGGCGTTGACAGTTACGTTGCCACTCTCTGGCTTGATGACATTGGTCTGGTGTGTATTACTATTGTTTGGCTTTGTTTCTGAGACCACTGGAAGGCCTTGTTTAGATGGGAACTCCATCTTGGGTACCACAACCGGTACCGTGGGGACTTTCGGGGCAGCTTGTGATGTGCTGGCCATTGTCTCCGGACACCGGGGGGAGCGATGGATTTGAAAATAAATTTCAATCCACGCGACGCGCGTCCTTGTGTACAGTAGCTTTTGAGAGAAAAAGATCCGAACAGAACGATGGGGTCAATCCAGTTGAGGTGAATGTAGTGATAGCGATATTCAAATGTGTAATCCAATACTCAATCAGATTCGAAGCTTGACTGACTAGACAAATCTTCAATGAATTAACAATAATGCGAGAAATGTGAATGCTATTTCTTTCTTATTCACTTTTGGTGAGATTTGAGGATGCGATTTAAAGCTTCAAACGGCCGAATCAATGGGCGATATTCATCCAGTGACCGGACCGAAATGCGCCACATGATACACAGCCACATGTGGCTGGGCCTTCTCTGCGGATCTCTCGGTGCCTCAGGCGGAAAGACTGTGCACGACTAGAAGTCTAGAACTTAGTATACGAAGAGAGCTTTGATACCGGAGTTTATTTACTGAAGTCTATTCTTCAAATCACACTTTATTACTACAATTGCCCTAAAATAGTAGTCTAGCAGAGAAAATCCAGCAACTTCAGCTAATAAATAACATACACCCTAGAGCGGACCTGTATCCAAGGCCTGTCATCATGTACAGTCATAATCATTAAGGCATACAAATATTGCGTAGCATCTGGCTACATTAGCATTTTTGTGCCGAGGAATACAGTCTGACCTTCACACCCCGATCATGCGACATGGTGAGGGTAGACAGGATTGCGGGCTGTTTCAATTCTGGGTCGGCGCACTCGAGGATGTCAAAGCGTTGGATCAACTTAACAAGGGTATAGCTTGCTTCCGTGAGTGCATATTGCTCTGTAAATTCCATAATTAGAGCTTCTCTGGACATAAGGAAAACTGGGTATAAAACTTACGACCAAGGCAGATCCGTGGGCCTCCGTTGAATGGAAGATAGTCCCAACCGCGTCTGCCATTTTCCTCCCAGCGCTCTGGTCGGAACGAATGGGAATCAGGTCCATATAAGTCTGTACGGCGGTGCATAGCGTAGACGCTGTATGCGACAACCTGTCCTTTTGGAACAAAGACTGGGGATCTTCCATCAGGACCACCTCCAACTGGCAGAGAAGTGTCCTTGGCAGCGACACGGAAATTCAGAGGAACGGGGGGCAATAACCGGAGGACTGTTCTTATCAGCTCTGTAGACTATGACTAAAAGGAGGTAAAAGCACATACCCTCGTTCAGCACATATCGCAAGTATGGGATGTCCTTTAGCTTTGCTTGTGTAATTTCTTCCTTCGGGTTTTGGCTATCTCCAAACTCGTCGATGATGGTTTGTCGCAGCCTTTTCCAAACATCCTGGTTGCGTGACAAGTAGAAAAATGCAGAACTGAGCAGACTAGCCGTGGTATCACGGCCAGCCACGAGAATGTTGAGCATATTATCTCTCAGCACCTTTGGATCATCGTTGTCTGCGGCCAAGGCCTCCGCAAAAATATATCTACCGGACTTTTTCTCCGGATCATTCTTGGATCGGATAGCAAGCTGAACATAGTGATCAACGACCTCGTGGACGCGCTGATTGGCTTCACGGAACTCTTTCGGATTGACCATCCAGTAAAAATGCATAGCACGCGAGCGGGTTGTCAGGTAATCTTGGGCGGTACCGAATGCCTCTGCGAATCCTTGTGCACTTCCGACGGATGATCTCCCCAAGAGACTCGCGCTGTTGGAAGATTCCAAAGCGCCTACCGATTCTCCAAACAGGAAATGCGTGGCAGAGTCGATTGTTAGAAGGAAAAACAGACGTTGAATGTCAAAGCTCGAACCATCCCGAGGAATGAGGTCAATCAGGCGGGAGATATGGCCGTCCATGAGCTCTAGGTCAGCCACCTAAGGGGGTCAGCAATTATATCCTCCTGAATCAAGGGTTTTCCGTACCTGATCTCGTGTGAATTGAGGCCGTAACAGCCCACGTGCATGAGACCAGCCGGGACCATCGAGAGTAAAGATTCCGTCCCCGAGTAAAGGGTAGAATTCACGATGTCTGGTTCCCAGGCCGAAATCGTTGAATTGGGTTGCCAACAGAGCTTTGATATTCTCCGGTTCAATGGTAGTCAACATCCATTTACCTAGAGCCTTCTGGGTATAAGTGTTTCCGAATCGCCCATACTGCCCTGCAAGATATTCAACCCATCGTTTGTGCCTGACTTCGTTGAGCAACCGCACGAATGATCGGATTCCAAAGATGCCTGATGGCCCTTGAGCAGCAGGCTGACATCCAAGAGATTGGGCTCGCTTGCGCTGCTGATACAGCCGCTGGAGGTACTGTAGAACTAGGAAGGTAATGCACAGGGCACCAAAAAGCGGAGCGATTTGGGCCAGCATGATGCCGGCGGAGAGTTACAGTTTGCTAAAGTAGGGCAGTATGTGCCGCTTTGTGATGTGAACTGTGACACGAATAAGAGCCTGGGGATGGTGCCCGGGCGGGTGAGAGGACGGTACTTATACATCGACTGACTGAAAGCACATGTGTATGGATGCCTTGAAACTTTGAATAATACTACTAGTATGTACAGGAAAGTTCATCACGACCGAAGACCGAGCACGAGGGAGTACAGAAAGAGGCATAATCCAGACACATGATTTGCTGGGCCATCGCAAGCATCTCCTGAAGAGGTTAGCTTGAAAGTCCAGGAACTGAGTTGTTGCTCGGCCCTCGGGGAGACTAAGTTGGAACTTCATCCACTCCACATCTGATACCTTCCTCTTTTTCCCCACATCACCGCCCCCTTTGTTAACTCCGCCTGTGTCACGTTCACCTTGGAAGCATCGGGCCGTGAAGGCTTGAAGCACGGTAGCCATTTGGTCAATGCTTCCTTGAACAGCTCGCGAGCCGCCTTGCCTTCGGTGGATAAGCTTTGGAAATCATAGCAATGTTCAGACTGTTTGAGAAGGTATCCGAACACTTGATCCTCACTCGTCTCGCCACAGTTCGGGATCTCGGTAGAGAACGTCATTCCATCGGGCGCAACTCCAGGCGCGATATCTTCAGTGGTCAGCATAGACAACGTCCTCCATGGATCAAACTCTCCGCCAGTGAAGAAAGTATTGGACGGTCGGATATTCCAGCCTCCGTACTTTTCGTTGAGGGCTTCCGTCTGGGGGCGTGATGGCAGCATACCGGTTCCGACTGCCTGTGCGAACTGGTTATTGCATATTTCCTGCTGGTACTCCAGAGTCTGGTAGCGGGAAAGCAGTGAATGAGGGCCAAAATTGTTACTTTGATAGAATCCCCACTCGGTGCAGTACTGCCAACTCCAGCTGATAGAATCCGGGTCATAATACACCACGTCCAGCTTACAAGACGGCGTAGCAGGATCGCTAAGTCCTCTGCAGTTGGTCTCCATAAAATTGTTAACCAATGGCGTGAATGCTGACCATGCAGCCCAACGTTCAGCCACATACTTACTTCCACGGACTGGAGCGAAGCCATCCGCACCTGCCACCTCCTGCGTTGTAGGATCCACTTCCAGATGTCCGCAGAGTTCGCGCAGACTTCCTTCTGGACCGTCAAGGGCATAGCTCTGGAAATAGTTATAGATAGTCCCCAAAGCTGCTGTGAAGCCTTCGTTGCTGTTCTGCTCAGCTCCAGGGCCGAGAAAGAGCGTTTTGATAGCAGCCGCAGTGTGATTGTTTGATAGTTGCTGGTCTATATAACCTAGAGCTGCATGGATATCTTTGGCACAATTTTCAAAACCATGGCCGACCAAACCACGGTAGACTTGGTCATAGTACACGCTCATATTCAGTTGTGCTTGGACCGGAGCAGAAGAAGAATAAGCCGCAAAGATAACGTCCGGGTACTCGTTGCGGGCAAAAGCAGCCCGAATCCCAGCATATGAACCTCCAACGAGGACCCAGGGTGTGGAGCTGGGAGTGAGATCAAGGTCGGCGAACTTCGCGCGGCTGAAATTCTGCGCAAAGTACGGGATGTCCTCAAGGGCTTGTTTGGTCGTAAGGTACTTGAAATGTTCGGGTGGCGTATCCCTGCTAATTGGAAATGGCGTAGAGTTTCCGTAATATCTACATGCACATGCTGTTAGCTGCCTGGGCAATATATGGACATGGTAATTAAGAGAAAAACAAACCTATGTTCCCATATAATACCCATTGCGTGAGTGTCCTCAAGCATTTTCCTGAAAAATGACAAACTCGATCTCAAGTGATTTTTGGCAGTACTCTCTGCGTTTGCTTCTCCGGCGTCGTACATGATGATCGGACGCCCGGCCTCGTAGTAGTCATCATTCACCCAGAACCGATTATGGTATGTGCCAACAGAAGTATCATTATGGTCGATAGGAATCTAAAGGTGTGTTTAGCGATGACCTCTAAAGAGCCATGAAACAGGCAAGCTTAAGCATACCATGATGTACTCTGCGGTGACCGTCTCATCTTGAGCATTAGCCTTGGCGAGCACAGAATGTACAGTATTTTTGCTGGAGAGTAACTTGGGGTCCAAGTTCAACTCAGCAGCCAACTGCAGCTCTCGCATATACTTAGATCCTCCAAACAGCCCCAATCCCACAACGGGGCCAGCCAGTATAGCAATGCTAGATACTATGAGAAAGAAGTCGAAACGCATCTTGGTCTGAAGAGACAGGGACTTTTCATGCCCGCACGCGCACCAAATGAGAAAGAAACGAAGGGTATTTCAAAGAGCAAGATTGCAGATAGTTTACCAGACATAGGGAAGGAGGGTACCCGTGTCTGTTATATGTATACGCAATGATCGATCCTAGTACTCTTGCCGGACGGCTGCGTCAACGAGACAGTCTACGTCTTGGCCTGGTCAGCCAACCCAATGCAAGTTCCTCATGACGTATCAGCATAGGTCTGTTCGGATTACATGGTATGCAGTAGGCTCGTATAACGTGAGTGAATATGTCTGAGTACGTCGGGTTGGACAACATGTTACCCAATGCGGAAATGGGGGCGCTTAAGAAGAATCCAGTTTGGATGGCTTCGGACATCGGCCCGGGCACATGGCGCCAAGAGCCCTATCGATCGTTACCTATTAGGGAATGTCACGAATGCCCCAACCACCAAATATCGGAAGAAGACTGAAAACGGTGCCTGTCTTTTCTATAGCTGAACTGAATCAATAAAAGCAAATCTAATTCAATTTCAAGTTTAGCAACCAGTCAGACAGTAGTAAAATGCAGCCACCAAATTGCCGTGAACATTCGATGCCTGATGGCTTCGATCGTGGAACCCTCATTCCTGTGGCCTTGGGATAGTAGTTTTAGTAAAACATAGCGTCAAGGGGTTTAGCTGGGTTGAGGCCTTGGAAGGGGGACAATATGTTTGATCCAACAGCTCATTTCCGCGATCTTCACATATATCTCTTCCGAGGAGATAATTTGAATGGAGTTATTCAATGAACTATTATGTACTAGTACTAAGGGATGTAGAAGAAATAAATATACTGGGCAGGGGTTAAAAAAGAAAGGCCACCTGGCCCAGATGTCATCATCTGGTGTTTCAAGCTAGCTAGCTAGTAGCGGATGCCTAGCTTCTACAAAGCCTACAACCCGCAAATTGATGTGCGTGACTGTTTCGGCCCTCAAGGACAGTCATCCGCCACATGTAACAAATGGGGTCTGCATGTTAACATTGCCCATATACCTAGAAATGGTTGTCACACAATAATTTCTATTGAAGACCGCATTCGGCATAAGGTCCATGCCTGTTGCTATAGCCTTACCCCCCTTTTCTTTTTAGAGCCTGCAGGCTAAACACATAGCCACTTGGATATTTGGTACACAGAAATGGACAAACAATAAGCACACAGACACCGTATAGGGCGGGTACATAGCAGTCTAAAGACTACACAATTACATTTTTTTTTCTAGCGAATGAGTTAGTGTCTGCCCGTTTAGTCTTTGATACGCTTTTCCAGACCTACGTCGAAGACGAGTAGTATTACTTGGAAGTGATAAACTCAATGGGACAAGGTATTATACCAATGGCATACAACTGACATTCAGAAGTTCCTGTTTATATGCAAACATCCTTAAAGTTAACCTTGTACAAACACGGATCGACAAACGACTCCTAAGATTGAGGCCCTAGCGTACATCTCGAGCCGTACTTTGGCTTAGCTCACAAATCGAAACCATTCTTGAGGACCATAATCCAGCTCGTATTGTCCTCACGACACAGACCTGAAGATAGCAATGCGTCAAGCGCCCCGAGGTTGCTCGGTACGTCAGAGGCTGAAGTGGGATGGGGCTGAGGTGGCACGAGGAAGCATCTATAAGCGCGATGAGCATTTCAGCTATTATTAAGGTGACCCGTGACCATGTTTAGGTGACAATTTTTGTTTGATAGTACCACAACTGCCACAACATGGATACCCTTGAGACTTGAACGCCAGCCGCGAGCTATTAATAACCACAGTTCGGCTGTCTTTAACAACCAAGTCTTGCAAAGATTTCCTTGGTGTGCATATATTCTTCGACATTCAGTGGAAAGGGGTAAGCGACGCATCGCAGAATATGGCCAAAACCAGGGCATACACGCAGCCTTAGTCAACGTCTTGTCTGGAAGCCACGTATAAATGTCTTGGCGACAGGACATCTACCATTGGCTGCCTCACACTGCAGAGGGTATCCATGTGGTAGAGTTGAAGAATCCTCATGATACACTGTGGTTTCCACTTTCGGAGAAGCATTTATTTTAGGGTCATGCCAAGGCGAAGTTCATTATAAGGCTTTTCGGCACATTTTGGCACAAGAACGGATGGATCACACCATTGAGTACCTGATTGATGGAGATAGCATATGGCCCCACTGCACTAACATGGGACTGACGCACCAGTGTCCCAAATTCGCCGAGTGTGAAATCGGGACTCCGCATTGATTCATCACGAAGTCCACCACTGAAGAACAGGAATATGGCCATTTGTCCGACAGGATTTAACGTGTTGAACGAACTCGCATACGATCGTCACATCACTCCGGGTGCTCGCTATAAATGCATCCGAAGTATTTTTTGCAAAGGGACCGGACAAGAACCAAAGTGCTGCTCTTGCTGAGCAAGAAGGTTCCCATAATCCGAATAAAGACGAAACAACTGCTGGGAGTCCAGTGGATGAGATGCTGGTCTAAGTGACGCAGGGGTTCTTGGCTATGGGCTGAACCCATAAATATCCAACGGCACTTTGGGTGATTCCTAAAAAACTGTAACTGCCGATTTCAAAAAGGGAAATTTCGTCAGCGATCATTTTAGCGACGGCCAGTGCTCCGGTGTCTCCTGTACGTTCGTCAGGTCGTGCGCGCTATGCCTGGGCTCTTCGTGGACCATGACTCTTGAGATTGGTGGAACTAAACTGGCCCATCTCTTGGATAGATTAATCAGGGGGGTTTTGTTGCTCGTAGCTCGCCTTCATTCCCCTCTCGTGATCTGGGCATTAGAGACTAATAGAGCTCAAGCCGGGAGCGAATATAAAGGTACAATGGCCGACGATATGACGAAAATCCAGACAGGGAGATACAACCCAGCAGAGAATTGACAGACAACATGTGGTCAAGAAGCCTTCTCTTCTCATCTTCGTTTCTTTGGGCCAGAGTCGCCAATGCGGCCTTTGGGATCACCACCTCGGATGACTCCTACGTCATTGACACTGGGTCGGCGAACCCTCTCAAATTTACCGTTTCCCGTTCAAGCTGCGATATCACCTCTATCAATTACTATGGCTCGGAACTCCAGTACTCTGGCAAGGGCAGCCACATCGGTTCTGGCCTTGGAAGCGCAACGGTTTCTGCGGTAGAAGATGGTGAGTTAACCATACAACAAACCATGTTGACCCTAGATACGCTGACATCTTCTTTGTCAAGGGGACTACATCAAGGTTACCTGCGACACTGATACCTTGACACAGTATTTTGTTGTTCACAATGGCGACTCGATCATTCATATGGCGACGTACACCACAGCGGGTTAGTTTATTTCACGACGCAGAAAAAGAAAATCGTTCCTGACGTATATTTTTAATAAATTCAGAGCCCTCCGTTGGTGAGCTGCGATTCATTGCACGCCTTAACTCGGAGCTCCTACCGAACGAGGAGCCGTTCGGCGACGTGTCTACCACTTCGGGCGGCGAGGCAATCGAAGGCTCGGATGTGGTAAGTGCAAAATGATGCTAGGGAATGAAGATAGCTGATGAAGGGTAATAGTTCCTGGTAAATGGGGAGACCCGCAGCAAATTCTACTCCAGCCAGCGCTTCATTGATGACCAGAGACATTGTAAGGCGCATACTTGTTGACTGTTGCGCATGGCTAACCTGTTTCTAGGCATCGCCGGAGACGCCCACCGTGTCTGTATGATCCTCAACCAATACGAGACTTCCTCCGGTGGTCCTTTCTTCCGGTCAGTACATTATTGTGCGACATTACAAGCCTGCATACTAACCTTAACAGCGATATCAACTCCAACAACGGTGGTGACTACAACTCCCTCTACTGGTACATGGTACGTTTGACATGACATTATACTTTTCAGTTATCTTGTTAACGATGGCAGAACTCGGGCCATGTCCAAACAGAAGACAAGCGCCAGGGCCTCCATGGACCGTACTCGATGTACTTCAGCCGCAGTGGAACTCCCGGCACCGATATTGACACATCCTTCTTCGCAAACCTGGACATCAAGGGCTACGTCGCTGCAGGCGGCCGCGGAACTGTATCCGGAACTGCATCTGGAGCCGACTCCAGCTTCAAATGGGTCGTTCACTGGTACGATATCCATGTAATAGTAGCATCTGAACTTGACCTAACAATAAGTACAGGTACAACGCCGACGCCCAGTACTGGGCATACACCTCTTCAGGCGGTAGCTTCACCTCCCCGGCCATGAAACCAGGTGATTACACCATGGTCTACTACCAGGGCGAATACAAGGTAGCCGAGACCACTGTATCGGTCACAGCTGGATCATCAACAAGCAAGGATATCTCCGGGTCCGTAGAAACAGGCGACACCATCTTCAAGATCGGCGACTGGGACGGAACGTACGTGTCTTATTTCACTCCTGCTAGCAAGCTACCCACTCGGACATAACTGACCTATCACCGCCAGACCAACCGGTTTCCGCAACGCAGAGAACCAACTCCGGATGCACCCCTCGGACTCGCGCATGTCGTCCTGGGGCCCCCTTACATACACCGTCGGCAGCTCCGCGCTCACTGACTTCCCAATGGCTGCCTTCAAGGGCGTCAACGACCCCGTCACAATCAAATTCACAGCCACTTCCGCTCAGACTGGCGCTGCTACCCTGCGTATCGGAACGACTCTTTCGTTCGCAGGCGGTCGTCCTCAAGCTACTGTAAGGAAGCCCATTCCAAACCCGACACACACACATACACACAAACTGAGGACCAAACAAACTAACAAACACTAGATCAACGACTACCAAGGCTCCGCCCCCTCTGCACCCACAAACCTCACTCCCGCGGCGTTACCCGTGGAGCCTACCGCGGCCTCGGCGAAGTCTACGACGTGAGCGTTCCATCTGGAACGATCGTCGAAGGAGAGAACACTGTGAGTGTCCTTCGATTTCCCTCCCACAATTCTCCAAGGTTCATAACTAACACAACCACCAGATCACAATCAGCGTCATCTCCGGAAGTTCCGGCGATGAGTTCCTTGCTCCTAACTTCGTAAGTGCTTGCCCATCTTCTTAGAGTCATTGTCCTGGTCATGGATTGATTGGCTAATGACTTACTTGTTTTAGATCTTCGACTGCGTCGAGTTGTTCCAGTAAGGATGTGATTAGTGTATCAGTTGAGATTGTACATATTGATTGATGCTGGCTATGAGATGGCTAGCACTGTGTTCATAGTGAAGTAACTAACGGGTCTATCCTTCGTTAATTGGACCATCCCCCACGTTGAGCTAGACATTGTAAAAAAAAAAGGGTTGCTAATGGGACACACCATCTGGTTATATAAACACCTAACAACCCACCTTCAAGCTTTTCCTCCGAGATAGAAAGAAGCATCTTAACATAATACTCGCTTATACTAGTGTTCCTCCCCTCCGTATGCTCTACAACAATGGCCTACACCTAACACAATGACAATTCTACCACATGAATAAATAGCCACTACAATATGAATGACTACCTAGTCTATCATCCTCAGAACCCATCCATCCTCACAGTCAACCCCAAAAACAATACAAATTCTTAACTTCCTCCGCCAAGAACCCCAGCATCAATCCCCAGATCATTAGTCTCCACCGTCCCCCGCAATGTCCAATTCTCGGTACAGTAATCTGTCTAAACTAGGCCATCCAGTACGGAAAGGCCTGAAACGGCAAGACAAACCTACAAGCAGGTATGGTTTATAGTTAATCATATTCGGCTACATGTTGCCTTGCCCGTTCAGATGTAGATCACCTGGAGTATATATCTGATTGCGTTGATTACACAATGTTTCAATAGCCATGTTTCTTCTGGCCATGCATAATATAGTAGGACGTAGGCATGGCAGCTCGCTACAGATGGTTACAGGTTGATATATAGCTGTAAATAGCCTCGAGGTGATTATTTCAGCAACATTTTCATAGGTCCTAACACTCATCCTATAATCTATACCTTATTGATATTATAAAGATGAATATATTCCCTATGATCGTTAAAATCCAACGTGACCAAGGTCCATCTAAAAGACAAGTAACAATTCTGTATCTTACAACCTCAGCCTCCTAAACGCAACAACAGCACCAACACCCACAACACCAGCGCTCAATACCCAAGTCCACCATCCAGCCCGAGCCCCACCCTCTACAGCATCCGCCCCATGCACCAGCTTTCCCCCAACCCAGACACCCTTTACATTACGATCATTACCGCTCCACACCCACTTATGGATCTTCTCTTCCCACGTCTCCCATCCAAAGACATCAACCTGGCTTTCACCACTGCTATACTGACTCGCAGGCAAGAACCGCCCTAGATGGATCAGCTGCGCATCGAACAGCATGCCGTCGTCGAATCCACCGATATCGTTCTCCATATTGACAGCAGCTGCGCCGCCGCGTGTAGCAAGGTATAAAGCCTCTTCCACGCTCAGCACAAGTTTCTTTCCTTCATCGCCTTTGCTGGCCGGCTCCACATGTCGAAGTAACCGGGATACAAGACAGGCTTGTCGGACGGCTTCCAAGATACTGGGACTATACCCGCCACTAACATCTGTGCCAAGACCAACTGTGATTCCCTTGTCGAGGAGCTTGCGAACGGGACAGATGCCGGATCCCAGGGCGGAGTTTGACGCGGGACAGTGGGAGACCTTGGCACCTCGGTCGTGGATAAGATCTTGCTCGTCGGGTGATAGATGGACACCGTGCGCAAGGATAGTTCGTGGTGTTAGAAGGCCGTAAGTGTCGTACACATCGGCGTAGCTCTTGGCGCTCGGGAATTCACAGTGCACGTCATCGATTTCTTGTACGTTCTCAGAGATGTGCGTCTGAATGTGCAGTGGGGGCTCATAGGAAGCGGCTAGGTCAGCTAGACCACGCATTGCTTTCGGGGTGCATGTTAGCGCAAAGCGCGGGGTGATGATTGGCTTTATCATGGTCCCTTGCGGATCGATGGACTGGATGTACGAGATGACTTCCTTGTTTAGTTCGATGGATTCTTCAGTTGAGGGGTCGATGTAGTAGGGCTCAGATAATTTTGGATTATCCATGCAGGTGCGGCCAATAAGGGCGCGTTGGCCGCGTTTCTGGCACAGCGTTGCCAGCAGGTTCGTAGCCGAGACATGAATGGTGGCGTAGTAGGAGGCAAAGGTTGTACCGTTTGCTAGAGTGCGTGAGACGACCTGATTGTAGACCCTGAACGCCCTCGGGGAAGGGATGTTGGGAAGGGAACTCCCGAATGAGGCTTCCATGGGGAAGGTATACTGCTTTAGCCAGTCAAGGAGAGTAGTGGAACCAAAGAGTCCATTGTTGGGGTACTGAGGTGCGTGGATATGAGTGTCTAAACCTGTCAGTATTTGTATACACGAACATATGACTCCTACATGCCTACTCAAAGGAGGCGGAAAATTTAATTATCACTTACCAATAAACCCAGGAAAAAAGAATTCATTATATTCTTCCCTCGCGCGGACGATCTTTACTCTCGCCCCAGATATATATCGGGGAGCATCCTCCGGGACCCAGCTATTTTCTTTGAGTAGGTCACGTAGGTCACTGTCAGTGATGACAGTCCAGTCGGTACCCTTGATTCGGCCATCGGCGGTGGAAACCCATAAAGCTCCCTGTTGGATAGCAAGGGTCTTCGAGGATGACCGGGGAAGATGTACAAATGTACCGACGAAGACGATATACGTGGGGGCCATGTTGGAATGTCCCTTGGTTCTCTCGATTTTCAGCGACACAAAACTGAAATTACGTTGCAATGGGGCCAAGTAGCCAGCTCGAACGGATTAATATGTGACCGGTCGAGACAAGGAATAGAAGTAGCAAGATACGCTATACGTGTAGGTTATTTGACCGTACCCAGACTGCCACACTATAAGTTAGCATGAATTCTCTCAAATTTGAATAGAATGTCATGGATTCACCTTGAATGCTGATGTGTATCTAAAAGGAGAACTACTAACCTGTGACCTGTCATCGACAGAAGTATGACCGTTCGAACCTTAACCTTATCTACCTTACGGATGCACCAATGCACTGTACTCCCACGAGATGGTACTGTGTATGTTTCAACACTCGAGGGAAAGGCTGCTTATAAGGTTGAGATTTCATACAAGGGGAATGTTGTTATTCTGGAAGGTTGAGCTTCTTGCAGCTCCACCAGGACCACAACCACATCCTAGATTGGACGTGACCTCGGGTCACGGCCGGTTCCGATGCCAAGAGCGGTTTAGTGCGGAGAAGATAAGATAGCCACCACGGCGACTACGCACACCAGAAGACCCGGTGGGATTCTGACCACTCAGGAGGCTGAGAGAAAGCAATCTTTTACTTAAGAGCTGAGTCGCTGGCTGCACGTGCCCTGGTGGTGGCTTCCTAATCAAGCAACCGCTGATTACAGCCCTGGAGCTGAGCGTTCAGCTCCGGCCCTGATTAATATCAATGTGACCAAACTTATGCGAAGAACGGCTGAACATCAACCGCTACTAGAGCGGCAAGTATCATTCGCTTTGCTAAATAGAGTCTTTTTTGTACAACTCAAATGCAAATAGTAACCAGAACGCCTCCGAATGTCTATCATGAATGTTGAATCTTGGCGTCGTGTCACCGTCATTATGCCAAACCAAAACCCAAGCAACTAAACATGTGTTGAAAAAATGTATCTCGCAGGCGATAATAATAAACAATCATACATGGGTATCATAGATCTACTCAGTATCCTCCACAGGACCGCAAGTGCAGAACAGGTTTTGGTCACCGTAAGCTGTGGATGTTCAGGTTAGCTTTGCTCCTGATCAAGTGAGATAGAGAATTAGAGGAAACTTACCATCATCCACCCGGGTCACCGAAGGCCAGAACTTCTTCTCCACCAGGTACGGCAGGGGGTAGGCGGCCGTCTCCCGTGTGTACGGGCGGTTCCACTCATTGGACAAAAGATCGCGCTGAGTGTGAGGGGACATCTTCAGCACGTTACCCTCACGTGGCTGTGCGCCGCTCTCCACCTCAGCAATCTCCCGGCGAATAGAGATCAGAGCATCGCAGAAGCGATCCAGCTCCGCCTTGCTCTCCGACTCGGTGGGTTCGATCATGAGGGTGTTGGACACGGGCCAGGACATGGTTGGGGCGTGGAAGCCATAATCCTGGAGACGCTTGGCAATATCGATGGCCTCAACACCGCAGGTCTCCTTGAACTTGCGAACATCGAGGATGAACTCGTGGGCACAGCGGCCATTCTCGTTGGTGTACAGGATCGGGTAGTGTTCCTTCAGACGGGAGAGAATGTAATTGGCGTTAAGCAGAGTGATCTTTGTCGCGTGGGTAAGACCCTTGGCACCCATCATATTGATGTAGTTGAAGGTGATGGGCAGGATGCTGGCGCTACCCCAAGGAGCAGCACTGATCGGGGGCGATGAGGACTCCGTACGCTTAGACTGAAGGTATTCGCTGGCCGGGTGAGACGGCAGGAATGGGCGCAGGTGCTCTGCAACACCGATAGGACCCACACCAGGACCTCCACCACCGTGAGGGATACAGAAGGTCTTATGCAGGTTGAGATGGCAAACATCCGCACCAATCTCGCCAGGAGAGCAGAGACCAATCTGCGCGTTCATGTTGGCACCGTCCATGTAGACCTGTCCACCATGCTGGTGCACGATTTCACAGGCCTCCTTAACACCAGGCTCGTACACACCGAAAGTGCTAGGATAGGTGATCATAACAGCAGCCAGCTCATCCTTGTGCTTCTCGCATTTAGCCTTGAGATCTTCAAGGTCCAAGTTGCTAGTCTTGGTGTCACACTTAATGGTAACGACCTTCATGCCAGCCATGGCCGCACTAGCTGGGTTTGTTCCGTGGGCAGACACGGGGATTAAACAGATGTTGCGCTTGGACTCACCGCTAGCCTCCAGATACTTCTTGATGACACGCAGACCCGCGAATTCACCCTGGGCGCCAGAGTTAGGCTGGACAGTGACTTCAGCCATACCGGTGATGTCGGCGAGTTGCTGTTCCAGATCATCAATCATCTGGGTGTAGCCCTTGGCGACATCTGCAGGCAGGAAGGGGTGCATCTGGGAGAACTCAGGCCAGGAGATCGGGATCATCTCGGTGGTTGCGTTGAGCTTCATAGTGCAAGAGCCCAGAGGGATCATAGAGTGAGCAAGAGACAGGTCCTTGGACTCCAGGTGACGGATGTACCGGAGCATTTCCGTCTCCGAGTGATGGGTGTTGAATACCGGGTGAGTCAGATATTCCGAAGTCCGCTCAAGGCTGGCCGGAAGTGGGGAGATACCGAGCTCTCCATCAATAGACGCTTCACCCTTGGAAGCACGAGTAGCAAACACTTGCAGAATGGACTTGACCTCTTCCCGTCCGCTAGTCTCATCCAGAGAGATACCGACCTTGGTAGAGTTCACGCGGCGAAGGAAGATAGACTGTTCCCGGGCAGCAGCGACAATGGCGTCCGCATCTTGGCTAGTGGGCAACTCTACAGTAACGGTGTCGAACACAGCACCGCCATCGGCGACGTTGGTCTTGATCGGAACGTTGTAGCCCAGAGCAGCAAGCTTCGCCTGCAAAGTTGAAGTCATGGACATGATGCGTTGAGCAATGGATTTCAGACCAGTCGGACCGTGGTAAACAGCGTACATAGCGCTCATATTGGCGAGAAGTGCCTGGGCAGTGCAGATATTGCTAGTGGCTTTCTCACGGCGAATGTGCTGCTCTCGTGTCTGCAGAGCCAATCTTAAAGCACGGTTGCCAAGGCGATCTTTGGAGACACCCACAACACGACCGGGGACCTTACGCTTGTACTTGTCTACACAAGCGAAGAACGCTGCATGTGGGCCACCGTATCCCATAGGAACACCGAACCTCTGAGCATTACCGAACGCGATATCAGCTCCAAACTCTCCGGGTGCCTTCAAAACAGTCAAGGCCATCAAGTCCGTGGCGACGCTGAAGGTACCACCGGCACCATGAATGGTGTCACTCAAGGCCTGGAAGTCGTAGATGCCACCCTCAGTATCCGGATATTGAGCAAGCACACCAATGAGATTGTCGCCCTGTTCCTTTACCAACTTGAAGTCATCCGCCAGAACGTCACCGATAACCAGGTTGATGCCGAAGCCCTCGGCGCGCGACCGCATCACGGCGATTGTCTGAGGGTGGCAAAGATGGGAAACAACATAAGCCTTACCGGGCTTCTTCTGTTTTGAAGCAGGCATAGTAGCGAAAGACATGGTCATCGCCTCAGCAGCAGCAGTGGCTTCGTCTAGAACGGACGCATTGGCAAATGGCAAGCCCGTCAAGTCGGCAGTCAGTGTTTGGAAGTTCAGGAGTGACTCCAGACGACCCTGACTGATCTCGGGCTGGTAGGGGGTGTAGCTCGTGTACCATGCGGGGTTTTCCAGGACATTGCGAAGGATCACTGGAGGCACAATTGTGCCGTAATAGCCAGTTCCAATATATGTCTTGCCAGAAACATCGATTTGCTTCCGGTAGACATCCAAGAGCTTCAGCATATCGGTCTCGCCGAGACCACCGCCCACATTGTCCCGGTACAGATTTGTTTTGGCGTGAGGATCGGTAACCTTCAAGTCCTTCTTGGACAGAATGTCTGCAGGGAGCACCTGTTTTACGAATTCATCGAGAGACGCCACTGGGGGGTCAAGGGTGGCCAGCATTTCCTTTGCGGCATCTGGCGAAGGGCCGATATGACGTCTGGGGAAGGTGTCAAGGGGCTGAAAGAGGTCGCGTGGATGAGGGTCGCCATGGTCAGTTACTGAGCTTGTGTAGACCGGTCGCCGTGAGGGCTGCTGTGTAGCTGTGTGCAGGGCGCGGTGGGTTGCGCGGAAGGGAGAGGACGGAGAAGCTCTGCGGAATGCAACGGGGGAAGGGGCAGAGCGCAGCCGAGTCCGAAGAGCAAGCTGGCGAGTGCCACGAAGGGCGCACCAGGATGCAGCCATTGTGATAGTGTGAGAGGCCAACGGACTGCGGTGTTCAATGGTTTGGCTAAGCCAAGGGATGGTAGTTTGTACTGATCTTAGTAAATCCCCGGCGATAGCTCAACACATGAGACAGTAGGAAGTTGGATGGATGAAGGGAGAGGAATACAATTAAGAAGACCAGGAAGACAAGATTTAAAAAAGAACAGAAAGCAAGAAGGCTCTAGGGAAAAACTTATCGAGCAAAGTCATACAATCTATGGACTCCTTCGGCCGGCAAGAAAACCGCGGGCGATACGGACAATCACGGAAAACTGTCGATAACCCGATAACGCTGCCGCCCAAGCCAATGATAACATGGGAATGCTCTGCGGTCCCTTGGGAAGTTGCCCCGCAAGCGCGCCAGTAAACCGCGCTTGGCTTCTCCGCGACCGATAAGAGATTATTTTCCCGCGGGAAAGTCTTAGCTTATGATCTTGGTCGAAGACGCGGGGTCGGAGATTTCTGTATTTCTTCCTGTGGTCTCTCTACCTCGAGTAGCTTTATTAGTGTGTTCTTTGGTTCTTACAAGTGTTGAAATGAAATGCGCTGAATCGACTTGAGCCTACCAATGCAATATGGATACTGCTTTGATTGCGAACCTGAGCAGCGCTCGAATCTCCGGAAGAGTTATGCAGTAGTAGACCCTCCACAGGTGCTTTCCGATCCGATGTGGTCCAAGCTCGGCAGCAACAGTCGGGCTAACTAATTAGTTAGTTATTTATACATGTTATGACTAACGAGGGATTGTAACTAACTACACCATATGGACGGTCTGGAACCGCCATCTCGATATCTCCGTTATGCGGGGTTTTACAGCGATTTGCTTTGTGCGACAAGTTTTATCCCTCGAGACACTAAATATAGAACAAAGCATATTGTCGGTGCTCGAACATAACATCGCTCAATACCTCTGCATAATTATCACCGGCTAAATAAACTACTCGTTGAGATATATACAATGCTAACGAAGGAGGTAGCTACCGGAAGAGAAAAAAAGAATATCAGTGTTGTGCGATAGATTATATCGTATACCGAAACTCTGGAGACCCCTCGATCACGCGCTCCCCACGGTCCGCTTCTCTGTTTGATCGGCGGAACCATAAGCTCATAGCGGCCACAATTACTAACATAAGGAGATTGCATCTGCAGGATATTTAGTAACTCAATGCAGCAAAAGCTTGACTTGAAAGAAAGGACAAGTACTTACGCAATAGTAGTCCACATGCCCGGTCGGTATCCAGGTGCATCTTGGGACCTAAAGACCAAGCTACTCACAATTCCTCCGATGCCACCAAACCCCACCAACGTAGCACTAGAGAATGCACGAGTCCATTGACCACGGACATTGTTCGCTTGGTATGCCATACAAGCTGGGATGTTGGAATTGGCACCGGCCACGGCGAAGAATACGCCCACGTACCGCGCAGCGTTGCCTTTCGCAAAACCCATAATGGGAAGTCCAATGATACAGAGTAAAGCATTGAAGACGACGATTGCTCCTCGTAGACGATATCTGTCACCAACCCAGGCCGATGAGAACATTACGATTCCAGCGAACACATAGGGTGGCGCAATTAAACATTGCGCGGCAGCGGTACTAAACCCCATACCCTGTTCAAGGATGATCGGAAGGAAATATGCGATGGCATACGTGACGGTTGTAGTGCAACTGTTGCATGTTAGAACATCGCCGGGAGAGAAAAAAAAAATGCATTCGGCACGCCTTACAAGAATATCATGGCAAACCCCCAGATCTTCAGGTCGAGGGCAGGTGACAGAAAGCGCTTAAGAGAGAAGGGCTCCTGGTCTCCATCGGAACGATCCCGGTTGATACGGCGGACGATAAACGCGCATTCTTTCTCACTAAGAAACCTCCAAGACTTGTGCGCCTTATCAGGGAAGTCCACTAGAAAGGTGATGGTCAGGATGCCAATCACCCCTGTGATCTACTAGAATTAGCAATTGTGGTTGTTTGGGGAAGAAGCGTACATACCACGCCTTCCATGATAAAAATCCATCGCCAGCCTTCCAGACCCTGAAGCCCGCCCATCTGCATCAGCCCAAAAGCCAGAATACCAGACAATGCCGATGCTACGCAGCCGATCAAGTAGAAGACCGAGAAACGTTTTTGCACGTCAACTATCCCTGTCAGTGCTTGGGAGTAGCTCGTCTCGTAGGTTTATACTCACACCGGGTGTACCAGCTAGACAAAAGATATACACAGCCAGGGAAGTAACCTATATCGGATCCGATTAGTCTCGTATTGCTAGGCACTGGATCATCGGGTTTGGGGGAAATTACCTGCTTCAAGTAAACCCAGCAGTGCACGCGTCGCGACCATATGCTTCCAATTCTTTGCGAACCCCATGCCCTTTGAAACAATATCAATAGGTTGTTCGATGGTAATTATTCACGCACCAGTGCATTTGAACGACTTACAACTAGTATTGCCCCCCAAAAAATGACAATGGTTCCCAAGAAGTAGGTAGGGCCTATCTTCCGTGTTATAACTGTCATAGGTGGCTGAAAGATCACGTAGGGAACGAAGAAGATGAGGACCATGACGGACTATTGATGTTAGCCACAGGCTCAAAATGTATGATGAGGATGCTCAGACACACATATCGGGTTCCAATTGTCAGACCTAGGTCCTTGGTCATGCTATGGACGATCAATCAACGAATCGTCCATTTAAAGAGATGTCCCACTCCACCAGGGAAGCTTACCCCGCGACAGCAGCCATGCTCAGATTTGTCCTGTCCATGAGGGACACACAATATGCTAAACCGGTAATGGTGACAAGGCGTCTATCCACCCGGTGGATAATCTTACGCTGCTCTGCGTATGTGTATTCTTCGTCGTAGTCCACATCATTCAGGGCAGGTTGATTGATATCTTCAATCCTGGTGTCTGCACCAGGATCCTTTTCGCTGCTTGGATATGACATGGCTGATTAATTGTTCGCTCCTCAAGTGCGTTCTGGGAGCAAAGAAGGAAGCGCGGTGGGGTGTCGAGAGGAAGAGGGGCATCATGTAGGATTATATAGAGGCGGTCTGCTGTGTTTGTCTCATGCTCACTATCCAGTTAAACTTTTGAACCCAGTTACCTCTTCAGTGTGTCACCCGTTGGTTGCACAATACCGGACGGTGAAGACCCATTGAAAAATGCACTATAGACGCCATCGTTTGTGCCACCAGGCTGGAGGCAACAGGAAACCAGGATAGCCGACTTGAAATCACCATATTACCTCGGTCTTGGGAAACCGATCGCTATCTCAATTGGAAGACAGTGACCTCTCCACATTTTCCCCAGCTTTTTGTGTTTGGGAAGTGGAGTGAAAATGATGCGGGGGTGTAGAGCGATTGACATCAGGACTCACTTGGCAGCTTGGCACAGGGCATCCAGCTACCCTCATTCGCTCTGGGATCAGACACGTTGCTGGCACTTCCGGAGTCGCCGTGCGAGCAGTCGAGATCTCGGAGACACACTAACACCTGTTTCCTGAGTCTTGCTCTTTGTTTCTCTGGATCGCATGGTTCTTCCGACACCAGCACTATGGGACTTCTTCCACTGGGTCATTCACCAGAAAGCCCGTATAATCCCGCGTGGTTAAGGATTGTGGCTTGACGCGGGCCAATCCCAGGCCAACGCCCAGATAGGTTCGAGACTGGACTATCTCGGAACTAAGATTCCAATGTGGAGGGTCCATATGCGCGGATTAACTCCGCGTCCTGGTCAAAACAAATCTCGGAGGAAATTAGACTTTTAGCTTGCGTCTCGCGGAAACTCTCGCACAGATAGATTATAACTCGTTGAGTTTAGATCGTGCAATTCGAAAAAGAAGATTGAAGAAACATCAAAGAAAATAGTCCTCGAGCGTCTTCCTTGTTGTTTTCGGTCATCGTCATAGGCCTCCCAGCCCGCCTTAGAATGGCGTGGGTCGATTGGGGAGAGGCTAAGCTGTCTCAGGTGAGCCTCGAGCCGCCGAATGAGACAGACTAGTACTCTTCATGGGGTACTATCTGTGTGCATGGTATGGTGTACACCGTATTGGGCTTGCTAGGGTTGCGTTAGTGGATACGCTTAATGGCCCTAAGAATCTGAGCAAAGCTCCTTTGAATCTAGCTTCTACTCCACAAATCTCTACTCTGGAGCTCAGGTATCTAGCTAGAAATTCAACTGGGAGAGCACTCAGTATAGGGTCAATCAACTGGTTCGGTTTTGTCTGCATTTTACCACCAATCGCTGCAAATTGCAAAGAATAGCCGGCGGTGCCCGCGTGGCGTCCTACTTCTAACAAGCCAATGTGCAAGATAACCGCATTTACTACTTTCATTCCCCAATATGAAAACATGCTACGTAGGTCATTATTGCCACATGCACTGTAGGTATAGAGTAGCTTTGGCTAGAAAGCATTGAAAGCGGGGCAGTGGAAGGCACGTAAGGTTTGGTAAGACCAGGGTTTCTGACCCAAGGATATAAAACCTCACGTAATGCAGCATGCTTTCCAAGCTAACCGCACAAACACCTTCCAATTTACGTGGGTGGCATGGCTCTGCATAAAGAGCCTCGGCTCAGCCTTGCCATAGATATGGAAATATCTTATTATTGGTTCTTCTAATAAGTTTGGCTCAAGGTCAGTCGTCCTTCGAATTAGGATCGTTTCATTCCATTATTTAACCTACTCGACACGGGAGATAGGTAAAGGTCATCATAGTTCAGTTCCTCTCAACAATGCTTGAGGATTAAGCATTAGTAGCTCAAGCCAGCTATTTACCTGGGGATACTGTTGATATACTCAATGCCACCCTCTCGGTAAGTGTCAGCCTCGATATAACTTCCATCCTTGGGCAGGCGGAACACGAAGTTCGATGTTTCCTGAGAATACTGCGGCCATACGGGAGTATTTGCAACTGTGTATGTTAGGTCTCTACCTTTATTTAATTCATAATTATTAATGCGTAAGGCACATACCATTATGCCCATTAGGGTCTAAATCGGCAACAAATGAGGTCCACATTCGAGCGGCTAGGTTACCAAGTTCAAGGCGGGCGGGATCGTCTCCCAGTGTTGTTATATTTTGGACCGGGTTGGCGAACACAAAGGGAATCTTAAGTAGGTTTCTGTCAGTACTATTCAGGGACACTCAGTAGTTAGTGGTGAACCCAGACACTCACCTCTGCGAAGTGGCCCACTCCGATAGTGCTGGATGTATTCAAAGCGGGCACATCCCATCTATAGGAGTAAACCTCGTTTTTATACTTGGCCATATTTTGTGCGAGGAGCCGCCTCGGCCCAACCATGGTAAGATCGCCTGCCATCGACTCATATCGTTTATACATGAGTCCCAGGTCTGGCCATGTGGTATTTCCCCATCCGTATGGGCATCCCAGGGCAGGGTCATTGGGATAGAATGCAAGCAGTTTGGTGGCTTGCTCACGATCAAGCACCCAGCGTTTTGATGCTACCGCTGTTAGTCAACATCTAAATTGGTGATTGCTAACACTCACATATAAGCTGTTCAATACACTCATCGTCCGTGTTCGTCCCTGTCGTACCGAAACTAGTTCCCTCGTCTGTGTTTGTTCCCAGGAGGATGGGTACTTTGACCATGTTCCCTTGCGTAATGCTTATCTGGGGATATTCCTTGATGAATGTACCATCGATCGCCGCAAACCATTCCAGTCCTTCATATGCCGCATCGTATAGTGTTTCATAAGATACATCGCGTAGGCATTGAAGTGTGTCTGACGAAGAAGAACAGCTTCACCTCGTTAGCTGACTGTCGAAAAATGTTAAAGATAAACATACCCCGTTTCTTTCACGATACGATCGTACATTGGCTGGTACCAGTCTGTCCCATTCCAGGGTGGCCCGTTGGCATTTCCGGACTCCATGATTGCTATTGAATCAGAACATTGGGCCAACACTAAGAAATGGGATGAAGCTCACCTGCTCGGAAAAGACCTTCATTGTCCCCTTCATTCGCAACCAAGTGCGCCCCAACGCTATAGGCACCCCTGCAGTCGTCAGTACTCAGTATCCCATGTCTAGACCCACTCGTTTCTTACGCAGATTCCCCCCAGATCGTGACCTTATCCGGATCTCCGCCAAACGCCTCAATATTCTGTTTCACCCACCGCATCGCAACTCGCTGGTCTCGAAGAGCGAGATTGTTATTTCCAGAGGCCTAAGCCGTCAGGCCCAGTTACACAACCAAATAGAGTGCCAATGACTGTTAAAAAGCTTACCCGAACCTCCTCAGAATCCAAAAGACCAAATGCTGCCAAACGGTAATTAATCGAAACTCCCAGAACCGGTTTATCGTTCAACGCGCCCTGACGAACAATGTAACTCATATTGTACCTGCCAGACAAGTCCTATCAGCACCTAACCAGGTTTTTAGCTTGTAGTAGCTTACCTCGGGTCCGCCGTTGCGCCCTGTTGCCATCCACCTCCGAAAATCCATAGCATGACCGGGAGCAGTTGAGTCTCGTTGGACGGCAGCTTAGGCCGAATAATGTTCAAATTATGACAATCTTCATTTAGTTGTATTAAGCCCATGTCGACCAGTTTGGTTTCATCGGACCCGTACCCAGGGCATTCATAGCCGTATTCCGTAGCATTGTAAAGCACTGCCTCCTGGGATATGTTCAAGTCATCTGCGGAGGCCGTGTATGGCCCAGACTTGCTATCACTGGCGGTATAAACTGTCTTCAGAGATGATGGGGTAAACCGGATAGGTTTATCTGCGTATTTGATGCCGAGAAATAGCTCTTGGTCAAATTCGGGCAGAGAACGACCGACGAAGACGGTTTCTGTTTGTGAATTGCTCGACTTTATGGCGGCCACGGGTGGTGATGGGTTTTCATCAGCTCGACTAGCTTTTGATGGACCCGGAAGAGCAGAAGCAGACACTCCAAGGATGAGAGCTACACAAAACAGCTTCCGGTAAGGGCAAGCCATGGTTTCATAGATGACACAATTAGCCTCATGCAAAGCCAGGCATCTCCAAGGTATATATGGTACATCACGATGGATATTGCCACAGCTATATTAAAATGAATTTCTCCGAGTGGTCCATCATATCGACTACTTGCGGGGCCTGGATTTCAGAGCTGGTCTACAGTAAACGATCATTCAACAGTCTATGTTTTGCTAAAATTTCCCTAAATCGGCCAAGAGAAACGGTCGGATAGGCTAGTCATTGGACCTGGCAATGCCCTCAATGAGATGGCATGGAAAGTGGGTTATCTGGTTGAAGTACAAAAGCATTTCCACTAATAAGAGATCGCACATCCTCTAAAGCCTCACCCAGTAGCTGAGAAGTCATCATCGAACATTCCACCAATTAGAGCATTTACTTTTCTGAGGTAACTCGTACTGTGGCCATCTCACTCTACCCCACAGCGATCAATTCCCTCACTATTTTAGCCCGCTCCGTCGGCTTCTAGTGTAGCGCTAAACCCTCGGCTTTCAGCTGTTCTATCGTAGGATTACATACTGGATTCTAATTCCATATCTAATTCCTTATTCCTGTTAAGCTTTTCGGGCTCACTACCGGAGCATACAGTATACATACGTCTGCCATATGATATTTTTCACCTCGCGTTTTACTGACATATGGCTACTACAAAAATATCTTCAATCATACAGCATCCCGTATATGTCGTGAAACTTAGTTGATCTTCTAGTCATATATTCATTTTCCCATCATACTCCACAAATCCAGCCTCCTTGTTGTCAACGCTCTCAGCAGTGAAGCATAATTCACATACGGAGACATCAGCTATGTCTGCAGCTACGCTTTCTTCCACCATCAACACTCCAAATCTATATCCGGTGCACAGACATAGTAAAGTTGAAATGAAAAAGAGATACCTCATTTTATATGTGTACCAGGCAGCAAGTAACCCAAATTATGAACCCACAAAGCGGGAAACATGCCCAGAGTATGCACCTTCCCTTCGACACTCCCCCTCTTCACGTTTACCTACTCTTCTCCCGGATCGACCTCATTAATATAAGCCACTACACAGAAGCGACACTCTACCGACTCTTCCAAGTACCTTATAGAGACAAAGAGAAGAGAAGAAATCCCGAGGCCAGACCGTACTACACATAAAAACCGGAGACCTCCAAGCCACAAACCAAGACAAATGGAGAGTGAAACGCTGAACAGCACATATCGAAACCTCGCCCTCAACACGACCCTACCAACAACAGCCTACCCCTTCTTTGGCTCTTTAGAGGATGTCTTGTATAGCACTACTGCTAAGAACTTGGAAGAGGTCAGTTCAATATGTCTCAAGTGCGGAGGTCCACCCCATAGAGACGACAGCCTCTGCCCCTCGGTTGTGTTTCTCGAAGAATGTATACGCTTGTGGTGTTGGTGTTCCTCTTGATCATGTCCAGTATACTGATATTTGGTAGCAACGGCAGCATCAAAATGTGTATACCAGTGAGGCCAGTAATGGGGTAGCCAAGAAAAGGAGGAAGAAGACGAGGGGGAAAATGGTAATTATCTTTCGGTGCACCGAGCATCTAAGTTATTTACAACTACTAATTCTCTTTGTAAAATGGACAGATGTACCAAATGTTTCGTCCCACGCCCCCTGAGCCACAGCCCCTTTCTCAGACCGCGAATGCCATAAGACGAAGGCGTCGCCGCGCTAGGCGGCGTTTGAGGAATGTATGGATAACGATATACTAAAGACAGTGTAGGTTTAAGTAAGCTAACCTGTTTCTATTAGAAGAATATCAGGAAAGAGAAATCAAGACTGGGGTGGATCATTAGAGAGGCAAGAATCAGAGAGGAGGCAAGACGGCGAGAGGAGGAAAGACAGGCACGTCTCATGAGTCTAGAATATGAATCGACTCGCATACATCAGGCTGAAGCATATATGCTTATCAATTGTTGAATCTTCATCATGGAATGTTTTACGTTTATACTTTATAGCTTAGCTTTGGTTCCCACTGGTTGAAGAGCTGTGGGCACTCGCTTGAAACATCACAGATCCACAAGGCAAACTTTTACGTGACTTGAAACTGCGATATCGATTTTCACGTGTTAAACTCTGGACTAGGATGGAGCTCGCTTCAATTCGAGAGTGATTCTGCAGAAGAGATCCACATGGCTTCAGGAACCCAGAGTGCCTGTTAGGGCATCTTTTGGCTTTTAGCCTTACCGATAATTTATAAATAGGGGCACAAGCTCGTTTTTCCAGAATTCTCTTACAAAACCCTAATGTAACCCAACAGACGATGTTTTGGACACACTATCGATTTGGAAAACTTTGTTGATTATTTCTATTTCTTTCTTTTTCTCTCCGTACTACCTCGAATAGTCACAAATTACTCATGCGGAGAACGATCGCACTACCGAGGTATTACCAAAGGCAAACAAGATCAAAAGTGGGGCGTGAAGAAACGGAGTATGAATTCTGTATAATCTATTGTCTTAGAATAGCTCGTAGTGTCGTACAGCATTTATTAATTTCTCTACACAATATGTCTCTGGTCCGCCTCCTGCTGTCCATGGAATATAGAGACATCGGTGGTAACTCCGATATTTTTATCCGATGACTGTACCGGACCACTTGGGGGTATATTAGTCTCCGAGCCCATCATCTCATAGTCTTCATAACCGTGCTTGGACCAAGATAGTAGGCGCTTACTGTCTCTAGCCCTAGACCTTAACCCGGATGTAGGCTTCGATTGACTTTTCATATTAGACCGGTTGCGCGTCGAGACCGTGTACTCGGTCAGATGAGTAAATATGTTCCCAAAAACTGGCTTCAAAGCCGGTACAGACAGCGCGATCAAGGTGCCTGCAATCTCAGCATTCTCAATGGCCATCATGGGATTGTAAGCCCAACTACCGTCATCAGCCCATTGGCCCACTGCGACAAGGTAAACCCGGACGGCGGAAATGACAATGACACTGTTCCAGTTTTGTTAGACAAGGTGGAGATATGGCGGGAATCGATAAACCTTACAGCACACCTGGAAACATAACGAGAGAGAGTTGGGCCTTCCTTTTGAGGGAGACGTGGAGTGTCTTGATAAGTATGGTCGGGATGATAAACATTAGCACATCGCAGGTCAATGAAACGCCGGAGTTGACTGAGTAGACCAGACCCCAAGTAAGACAGTTGTAGCTGATTGGTTCTTCCTGCCAGGGGTAGGGCCATAGTCCTGTTACAGGTCGACAGTGGAATATCAGTAGAAACAGCTGGGGAAGGTATGCGGCGAATAGGAAGCCGGCTGCAATCTTGATCACAAGGTGTAGTTGGCTGGAGCGTGCAGCCAGGCGATGGTAGAAAGCCAAACCCGATAGTCGACAAAAGAAAAGCGCAGTGGTGTAGAGAATGTGCGCAACGAAATCCAGAACCTCAGTCTGGCGCACCGTGGGCATCGCCAGGACATATTGAATGTAATCCATATGGCGACCACTCCCCAAATCAATTAGAACGAGAGACAGAACGACAAAGGAGATGTAAATCATCTATATCGGGAACTAATCGTCAATTCCAGTTCCATCGTCGTGTCTGATAGTTGGTCCAGGTTAATCATACCATGGTGAGAATGGCCAAAGCATCGTCGAGGCCGAGTTTCTTGACAAGCCATATCCGTGCGTAGAGACGCACTATCATGATCGCCCCGGTGAAGCACACCAGGAATACGATGGCCACAATGGCCGGGCGATCGCGCGACTCAGCGAGGTACTCGAGCGACATCCCAGAAGGGATCCTCCCCGCGGCATCCGCGAGGAGAATGTCATCGGGAATGCCCATGGAGAACGATCCACAGAAAGCAGGGTTGGACCTCACTCAGCGGGACGTGCGTGCCATCTTAAAGGCAGGCGTACCGTGTCCATCCAACAAAGGCAAACCAAGTTGTTTCATGGGGAATAAAGGACACGAACACTAATAAGAGAAAATTTGACTCCGTTATAGAACTTTAACCGCACTCTGATAATGGCTCACATTGCCCAGAAATGGGTCATTTGTCAAATCAGATCCAACAATGACTTTGAAAGTCTGGTTGCGGTGGATACCAAGTGACACCGAGTGAGATCCCGCAGAGTACCGAAGCTGTGGGCTTGACAGTTGGTAGAGCGCATTGTATGGGCTGATCTAATGGTGGAGGCTGTTGCCTCGTGTAGCGGATAATCTGATTGCTAATTAACTTTAGTTCCTGCACATAATGGATTAATAAAGAATACTGACGTTGCATCGAAAAATTCTGCAGTGGAGATAAGGAGACCAACGATGTTCGTTTCTTCTCTTCCCCTAAAGTTAATCTCTCAGGTCCGACGATGGTTGTTTTCGCTGGCCTGCAGGATGAACCCAAAATACGATTGGAAAGCCTGAGGTTACAGGGATCACGGTATTGCCACACATGACCGACTAGCCCGATTTGATCAGATCGAGATCCATCTCAAACCGACATTATAAAAGTCTCGAAGCAACAACAACCGCCACCGCCATCACCCCGATCCAAGAGTGGAGAATTTCCCACTCTGGTTCGGCTGCTAGTGCCGCTCGCTTCTCTGCTCTAGTTCGCTTTCATCGCTGCCAGTATCAAACTATTGCTTGTAAAGGTGGAACTAATTTGTTAATGACCGCAGCGACCTTCTCAGATGAGTATATGAACGTGGGGTTCCGGAACAAACCAAAAAAACGCTCCGCCCCTGGCATTACTTGCCCCATCGCGTGGGATCGACCCCTGATCAAAAAGGTCGATCTTCCCCCGTTTAAGGTGTTTGTTCCTACCAAACACCAGTTTTCCATCTTCGCGCAACCATCATGGTCTCGAAAGTGTTCGGTCGACTTTTGACCACCGGTCTTGTGTTGGCAAACTCTGTTTCTGCCAACACGGAGTCGACCAATGACGATGGTTTGGTTGAAGCCCAAATTGTGACTAACCCCTATGAATATGACTTCCCTGCCTTGGGTGCCAATGGAGCCTCCCTCTTCCCCATGCGTTTGTGCAATGGCTTCAAGCTAGAGGAAGCCAGCATCGACGCCATCCAGGAGCAACTCGGGGCTGGAAATCTCACCAGCCTTGACCTCCTGCAATGCTATCTGGAGCGCATTTACCAGACCCAGCCTTATTTGAAGTAGGCTTTCCTCATCTACCTGTATTCAATATGTCTTCCCACTGACATCACCACCAGCGCGGTTTTACAAGTCAACCCGGATGCTTTCAAGATAGCGAAAGCCCTTGATGAGGAACGCGCGCAGGGAAAGACCCGCGGCCCGCTCCACGGCATCCCTTTCATCGTCAAGGATAACATCGCTAGCAAGGATCGTTTGGAAACCACTGCGGGTAGCTGGGCACTTCTGGGCTCTGTCGTGCCCCGTGATTCCCATGTTGTCCACGGCCTTCGTAAAGCCGGTGCTCTCCTCCTGGGCAAGGCTGCCCTGAGTGAGTGGGCCGACATGCGTTCGAACAATTACTCCGAGGGTTTCTCGGCCCGTGGAGGCCAATGCCGCAGCGCGTACAACCTCACTGTCAACCCTGGTGGCAGCAGCTCCGGGTCTGGCGTCGGCGTTGGTGCCAACCTGATTCCATTCGCCCTGGGAACGGAAACCGATGGCAGTGTCATCAACCCCGCTCAGAGAAACTCAGTCGTCGGCATCAAGCCTACTGTCGGTTTGACCTCCCGTGCTGGCGTCGTTCCCGAATCGCTGCACCAGGATTCCGTTGGTACATTCGGCAAGACAGTGCGCGATGCAGTCTATGCCCTTGACGCCATCTACGGTATTGATCCCCGCGATAACTACACTCTCGCCCAAAAGGGAAAGACCCCCGAAGGCGGCTACGCGCAGTTCCTCACCAACAAGACCGCCCTCAAGGGTGCCACATTCGGTATCCCCTGGAAATCCTTCTGGGCACTTGGTGACGAGGATCAAATCTCTCAGCTCCTTGAGCTGGTCGACCTGATCAAGCAGGCCGGTGCCACCGTGATCAACGGCACTGAATTGCCCCACTACAAGACTATTGTCTCCCCCGATGGCTTCAACTGGGACTACGGCTCGACTCGCGGATATGCCAACGAGTCCGAATACAGCTACATCAAGGTCGACTTCTACAACAACCTCAAGGACTATCTGTCCGAGGTCGAGAACACTAATGTCAAGTCTGTCGAAGACCTCGTTCAGTACTATCTCGACAACTACGGCTCCGAAGGCGGATACCCAAGCATTCACCCCGCCTTCGGCTCCGGCCAGGACGGTCTGATCGCCTCCCTCGAAAGCAAGGGCATCATGGACGAGACCTACTACCAGGCACTCGGATTCTGTCAACGTACCACCCGCGAGGAAGGAATCGACGCCGCCCTGAAGTACAAGAACGGAACCCTGGACGGCCTCCTCGTGCCTCCGGACGTTGCGCAGAGCATCCAGATCGCCGCCCAGGCTGGATATCCCGTGATTACTGTTCCGGCCGGCGTTGGAAAGGAGTCTGGTATGCCCTTCGGGCTGGCTATCATGAACACGGCTTTCTCGGAGCCTACCCTAATCAAGTACGCTAGTGCTATTGAGGATCTGCAGAAGTCGACTGGAACCAAGTACCAGCGCTCTCTTCCTGAGTGGCGTGGCTATTTGACTCGCAACCTTCCTGTGATTATGTAAATAGCCTAAGAGATTGGGTGCCGGATGGGAACACCGTTATATCTGCTTTGTTATATGATACACATCATGCAATATTTAGTTAGACTTCTCATAGATTATACGTGTCTTGGTACATAGTATTTGCTTTTCATTCGCTTTATTGTCATCCTTTTTCTGTGTCTGTTTAGATATTCGAAATGTAACCCCTGCAGTTAACACCCAACACTCTAAAGCCACAGCAGCGCAGTATGCAAGCACCAAAGATTCAGCTCTCCTCCCATATATCTCCAATAACATCGAAGAATTAAGAACGAAGGGAAATCTATTTGTTCAAATGTTTAATCAAGGCCTTCCAAGGCTAATACCTCGATACATCCCTCCCAAAGATATTATTCAACAGCCACCGAAACGCAATCCGCAACTTATTTCTCCAACTCATACTCATAGTCAAATACGCTGAATTCCACACAAACCACGCCATCCGACCCGTCAAATACTTAGGTGGTTTGTCATCCTCAGTAGGAAATTGCATCAACGCATTGGCATCTCCGATGTACGCCAGGGTACCCATATTATGAAAAGAAAACGGTTGGGATCTCTGAAGATCGCCCTTGTTCAGTCGAGTAGCGAGCCACTTCGCTTCCTGGGTCGTCGCCTGCGCTGTCGCGGGCGGTGCACCGGTTTCCGGCATGGCGTTGTCACCCAGAGCGAAGACATCCTGGAGAACGGCGGTTTTGCCGTCGGCGTTTTCTAGTTGAACGCGGAGCTGGCCGTCAACAAGGAGGGCACCCACTTTGGGAGCCTTTTTGATGTGCCATGATGTGTCTTTTGCGAGTGCTGGGGGCGCTTGAGTGCCATCTTTCAGCAGGGCTGATGCGGTAGGGAATGTTTCCACGTCTTGGAGAGCTTTGTTGACGAACTTGTTCATTGCGTTTCCGGTTACCCAAACGCACATCCCGATGCCTACTTCGCCTTCTTCTTTCGTTGTGATTGTGAGGCAGCGTTTGGGGTCCATTTCGTAAGGAGGTTCGGCTCCTGGCTCGCCCCAGCGAAGGCTTTCTACGTGGTGCGAGGTTTTGATGTCGATGCCTTCTTTCTTCATGGTCTCCATGGCGTACTTTGATAAGGATTCATCGAACATAGATAGCACCTTCGGTGCTACATCGTAAAGGGTGATGCAGGGGAGATCTTTCAGGGCGGGATATAATATCGTCATATCCTTGTAGATAAAGTCACGGAGGGATGCCGCTAGCTCAGTTCCCGTCGGTCCAGCGCCGACAATAGCGAAATGTAGCAGCCATTTCCGCATCTCCGGAGTCGTGGTCGGCAGCACCGCCAGCTCGAAGCATTCTCGTACCCGACGTCTCACGCGTCGCGCATCACCAATATCCTTGAAGAACATGGCGTTATGCCTCACTCCGGGGGTGTCGAAGGTCTTGCTTACTGCACCAACGGAGATGACTAGTTTGTCATAGGGAACCTCGAAGAAATCTCCCTTCTCCCACCTGCGCGCCTCTTGCATGGGCTTCATTGAGGTGGTCTCCGGGCCTTCTTCAGACTCTCTTTCATACTCGTGGGTCCGCGGCGTCTCTGTAACGCCACTTGTGACCACGGTTGACTCACACAGAACAGTCTTCTTTTCCAGGTTGACAGCTCGTGCAGCGGCCTGGATGAAATCGACTTTAGCGTGAGGATCCCGAACTGGCTCCACGATGTTTGAGAAATCCAGCGATCCGCCAGCAGCGTCAGTCAGAAGAGGAGTAAAGACAAAGTATGAACGAGGGGAGATAACGACCGGCGAGAACGACTTTGGCGACAATTTTCGGGAGAGGGTATACCCTCCCCAACCGGATCCAAGAATGACCACTCTTTCCTTCCCACTGTCGGATTCAGGAATTGCAGCCGAATGGTCAACCTGCGTAGCCAGACATCTTTGAGGCTGTACAAAGCGCGAGTGGCCCACTCGGTATGTACTTGATAGCAAAGGCCGTGATATCCGTCCGAAACGGACGGGACTATTCACAAACACCGACGTCATCTCCAGTATACAGATTTAAGAGCCAGCGTCTTTTAGGGGAAATTGCAGACAACTGACACTTCAATCGAAGATCTTTTATGTAGTTGTTTAAGGTTTAACTATCGAACGGATTGACAACGCAAATCCACAATGAGTGTCTGGTTCTGAAGACATGATGACCTCATCTCTTCGGCGCATGGAAACAAAAAAAGTTAAGCGGTGGAATGAATCGGAACACATCAATGTCCACTTCAACGAAGATAACCTCAATGTTCCGCGAGGGTTCAAGTCTTCTATCCTGCTTCCATCTCACCGGAGGTAGTCAATTGATCCACCGGCGAAGAAAGGAAGGGCGGACTGACTCACGGAGAGCTTCTGCGCCCGAGTCCCTCCGAGAGAGCTCCGCAACAGCGCACGTGCTGGGGTAAATCCGATAGTTTTCGGGGGATCTAGGCATTGCACACAGCCTCCATGTAAGGAATAAGCTTCTCTGGTGGAACCAAATATTCGTGAAGATTCCTGCACCAGAGTTCTGTACTCTGGGCCAGATCGGAGTGGGCATCGAGATCCCCCCGCGGAACCCGGCGGGTGCGGATCGGCGAGTTACCGAGCTCCTGAAGTCGGCCATCCGGAGCCACATGCGAAGTTGTGGCGATCAGACTGCAGAATTCGGAATCGTTGAACAGGAGGGCATGTGAGATGAGATAGATAGAAGGCAAAGAGAATGGAGTTGAGAGACAGAATCAATCGGCACGTGATGGTGGCATCAATACAGGATGTATGCACTAATTTCAATATACATCATAATAAATCTACATCCAATCGTATCTCGTTCATTACCTCGTCAATATACCTCATCCCGTCTCAAAAATACACTTCTTTTGCCCAAAGAACGAATGGTTCCTCTTGTAGAGACAGGTAGCAAGCTTCCAGCCAATTCTGTATCAACACTTCTCCGAGACTTGGTCCCACTGAGAACCTTATCCAATCCTAATGCTGTCGTAGGCCTTGGCTCTTCGATTGCGGACTGCCGACGGGGTTTCTTCTTCCTATGAAACATCCACCGGCGAGTCCGCCGAATGGCTTCCTGGCATCCATCTCCGATATCGTCCACGGTTAGGGCAAGGAGAATAAGTGGGATAGAAATAGCAACTCCAATGCCGAATGTGTACTCTGCGACGTATGCGAGAGGGAGTTGCTCCGATCCGTCTGCGTTGTGGGGAAACTCTTCGAGGTTCATTGTGAAAAAGGTTGCGATGAATGACAGGGGAAGAAAGACAGTTGTTACGATAGTAAACACCATCATAATTTTGCCCTGGCGGGTTGTGCCAGCAGCTTGGTCGCGGGCGAACCGGGCCTCGAAAGCGTTTGCATGTTTTTGCTTTAGATCTAGCAAATCCGTGATGGATGAATAAATACGCTCCGCTTGCTTATCCATCCGCTCGATGTCCTTAAGGTGCATGTCGATCGCGCGTTGCTGCTCCTTGAATCGCCTCTTGATTTCGTACTGCGATCGATGTTGTACTTGATAAATTCCAAAGATGACATCTTGGAAGTCGAGTAGGACATCCTGCTGGTGTTGTAGAACAGTACGAATCATGTTGAGTTCGTCACGGATGTCCTTAGCCTCGGCGAGAAGGTCGATCTCCTGTCCGATATCGAGGAGGTTATCCACGAAGAGGGGCACTTCATCTTCGTCTTCTTCAAACTGTTCATCGCCGTCACGGTTGGTGGCATCCTTTTTTGGTTGCGAGTTCCGAGCGAAACGACTCAGCTTGCGATGGTTTTTGAGCCAGTCCGAGGCCTGGGCTGATGCGCGGTTGAATTTATTAAAAAGTACTGTCTCGCGGTCCGTTGCAATACCAATTGAGGACTCGAACATGTCCAAGAACTGATACTCGTCGTCACCCATACGGTGGCGGTCAAAGACACCCGAACAGCGGTTAGTGATGATGCTGGCCAAGTCATATACAGAGCGAACTGGTTCTCGAGTCTTGGAGTTTATGTCCTCTATGATTCCGTCCAACACGTTTAACGGGTCATTTTTTGGTTGTTCCCATCGTTGTGCAAAGCAGGTGACGATCAAATCTGTCCCCATGATCCACATCCATAATTGGTCCACCATGAAAATCTTGGGTTCCGTTCCGTATCTCTCTTGTCCTTGCCCCTTGGTCTGATAGCGATACACCACCTGGTCCTGATCTCGGGTCTGGGTATCAATGTTAGGGTAGAAAAACTGATCCAGTGTCCGTCGGACATGAAGTGACGCCGTGGAAGATGCCAGGTGCGCGCGGATGAGCATCTCATCCCGTGTAGGGGAGCGAGAGAGTCCAGTCTGGATATTAAGCGTCTCGGCTCGTTGTATTGCTTCTTGCATTTTCAGTCTCCTTTCAGCCGTTTCAAAATGGAGATATGGCATGAACACGCACACATTGCTGGTGGCAGAATGTCCGTTGTCTTTACAGAGCGAGAGTGGATGTCGATGTTGCTCGTCATTCTTCGAATTTTGTATCAATTCACCTTTAGCTCTACCACGTTTGGTGTGATTCTTCGCTTTTTTCCCGTGGGAGCTATTCGAGGTATCGTCAGATTCGGCCCGTTCGAACTTGCCTCCCTGTGGCTTCTGCTTCTTTGCTTTGTGGCTACTGCCGTTTGCTGAACTTTTCGGCAGCTCTTGGAGACGCCCATTGATAACAATTTGGGGAAGCTTTCTCTCAACCTTCTCCTCTGCGCTTTCTTCTTTTTCTTCATCAAACCGTTGCTTTCGGTGTGTGCGTTGACACATTGGTCGCATAAAGTGGGAATGCGTTCTTTGACCTCGATGCTGGTAGTGGAATGATCTTTCAAGGCCTTTGAAGCTTTCGATGTCGTGCGCGCCCTCCTCGATGAAATTCTTAGTGAGCAGCGCCTCGACCCAAGCCATATTATTCGCAGGAAGATGAATCCACCTGAAGTCGGTAACTTTACTATCCCTGGGAACAGTAGTAAAAGCTTGTTTGTGTGAATTATCGGGGTCTCGCCCGTATAATAAGTTAAAAACCGATGCTTTCCTCACTCTGTTCTCGTTGCGAAAGTTTCCGAAGTCGACAACTGTCGCTTCGAAACCTTCGCAAGCGCCCCGCGCATCCGGCGAAAGTGCATCTACATTATTGAATGGCGCCAGGAGCAACACGATATCTTTGCGCTTGAACTGGGCTGCTCGTAAGAATGGCGTACAACCAAAGTTATCACGGACCCTCCGCTTCAAATCCGGATGCTCCAGGAGACATTGCACGACGTCGGTGTGTCCTGCCTGGGCTGCCAGATGCAGCGGTGTGACACCATTCAAAAGTTGACTGTTAATCTTGGCCCCAGTGCGCAATAAAATGCGCACTATCTCCTTAGCGCCCTTATCACAAGCATTATGCAGCGGAGTCCAGCCGCCATCACTTCTGGAGTCAATATCTGCACCGTGTCGGAGTAGAAGATGCACAATATTGTCCCAATCGTGAGCGATTGCGATATGGAGTGCACTTTTGTTTCTGAACTCAATCGCATTTACGTTCGCAACTGGCCCATGTGGTCTTGTCAAAAGCAACTCTACGAAGCGCAACTTCCCCGTCGCGCAAGCCCAGTGCAGTGGAGTTCGACCCAACTCATCCTGGCCGGCTTCACCATCAATCTCGCAAACAGTCTTCAACAAAAGTGCAATAACATCCTCACCCCAGTTGCAGTGCTTATCGGCCGCCAGGTTATGCAGCACATTCCTCTTTCTGTGATCTTTTGCGTTGACATTTGCGCCTCGTGCGATTAGTATTTGCAGCACATGCCAGTGGTTCTTCCAGGCAGCTGTCATCAACGCCGTTCGACCATCCTTATCCGCCGTCTCTAGAGGTGCGCCATAATCCAATAACAACTGCACTATTCGGACGTGATTCCGCTCAACGGCGCGCAATAACGGTGAAGGACGATTATTCGCGGCAAGAGGAGAGGGTCGATTATTCCCATCCTTCAGATTCACACATAATAAGTCCAGCAAATACTGCGTTGCGGTAATGCATCCGCGCTCGCAGCTTCGCATAAGCCCAACTCGCAGAAAGTTGTCGCTGTACTGGCCATTCTCGTGGGCCAATTCGATAATTTGCCTCAGCGCCTCGACACTGTCGTTTTCGGCCGCTCTTAGTAAACGCGGCTCCAGACGGTCACTGCTGTCACTAGCAATACTAGATCGTGACCTGGACATGGTCAAGGCTTTGAGCGGATGCCGCTACCGCATTCTATCGGTCGGTGCAGCTTTGACACGAGTGAACGCGCATCGAAGCTGAGGCGGAAAAAATTGCGATTCTGACAGCAAAAATTGCGGTAAAGTGTGTGATTAGCGTAATTACCACACGGGAAACCAATACGAAGTCGATCATTTAAGCATTGGCCCGGACGTGAGGTAGTTCATTTAGCTGCAGATTTTGAGGCCGATCCACGATAACGTCCAGTATTCTGCCAGGGTCTGAGCGATTCCTTTTTTCCTTTTTACTTCGTCTCCCCCCCCCACCTCCCTTGGCCGCCAAGATACCTGCATGATGTTTACTTGTCCTTGACAAATGGATGATGGGGACAAGATGCGCATCAATCTCCTTGCCAGCTGTTGCTGTGCTCTCGCCCTCAACAGCCGCCGTTCCGCGCTAAACGAAGTGGCTGGGTTAGCGCGGGTCGCTGACAGAATATCCTGTTTGACGACTTTCTGATCGGCAAATTAGCAGTATTTCTGTATCGTAAGAATTGACATAGAATGGCTAAGAGTTATCTCGTGTAAATACTTTCAGAGAGAAGGCATCAGTGAACGCCGTGATCCTCTGATAGAAGTTATTGTAAGATATAGAAGTCAACGGGTAAGTTTTTACTTGGGAGTACGAAAGCCTCTAGGAGCCGGGGGCGGGAACAGAGGAAGCAGAGGGGACAGGGAAAAAGAAATAGTTGCTGCTAAGGTGCAACATCCCCAATACAGGAGGGTTTTATTATATTACTAGTCCAACACGGACCATTATCTCTATCAGGCTCATAGTAATAACATCAAATCAGACCACCTTTGGGTCAACAGAAGAATCCCAAGGGAATTCGCCAAAATAGATAAAAGGAGAAAAGGAAATGAAAACGAAGAGAGGAAGAGAAGAAAGGCTTATATGCTTGCAGGATGAAGGACGACAGGAGGTATGAAGGAACGCGGTGCTAAGACAGAGACCTTCAAAACCATGGCAATCTTGCCATTTTGTTTAATGCACGCTATAGTCAAAGTGAAGCACCCATCTTCTCTTTCAATTCCAGGCCTGGGATTCAGATAGATTTGTAATTACGCCATTCCAGCCTTTTGGTCCAAATAGATTTATGTGCGCCCATAATGGTCAATAACAGACGTTAAATACGAACAAGAGGGGGTAGAGGATGAAGTATTAAGAGTCATTGGCGACGAGGAGAAGGCGCGAAAGCTGAAAAGGCATGCAGTTAATAATGCAAGATGAAAAAGAAAAAAGATCCGTGGCCTTGATGTGAGAAAAAGAAGAGAAAAGGAGATTTTGAGGTAAGAGAAAAAGAGAGAAAAGGGGAGGGAGAAGAAGCAAAGGAGAAGAGTAGCCCGTGTCCCAGTTGAGAAAAGGGTTTCAACCTGCCATTGTACACGCTAGTTCATAATCTTTATTTCTTCCCTTTTTGATTTGGAACCTGTTTCAAAATGTCATCAAAACTCATGTTGGGATTGAACCTGCTGATGGGCCTGGCAGGTGGGTCAATCGGGGCAACACCAGCTGGTAGCGGAAGTGCTTCGAGACCTGGGTAGATGGAGTGTCGATGTTCCACTCGGCTTCTCAAGGCTGGGGAGTTTGTCCGGGGAATGACTGGAGGAGGCGTGAGGCCATTACCCCCTGGTGCCAGGAGGGGAGTGGGTTGTTGCTGTTGATGTTCCGCTGACGAACCTGCAGACGATTGTTGGGCTTGGTAGGGCGAAGACAACGACGACTCGTTGTCATAAGGATCCTCAACCGTTGGGGGCGCCAAAATGGCATCCTTTTCCGCCCATTGCTCGGCAACCTGCCAGCAGTGACTACGCCGATAGATGCCCTCCACGCCATTGATGACTACATCAGACGGCAGACTGACGACACCGGCCCCGCCTGCCACGCCAAACCAACTCCGAGCCACTTTGCCATCATTCTGAATCCAAGGAGCACCACCCCTAGGGGCGATACAGCAGAAGTACTCGACTCCATCCGTGTACTTGACATCCTGCACATCCACCACAAGCAAGGGAAGTGACTGGATGACACAGTACAGGAAAATCCACTGACCACATCGAAGATCTATAAGGTCGTTGATGGTCTTCCCATGGCCACATCGACGCTCGAATTGCATAAATGACTCGATGAATGGAGTCGGCTTGAGACTCTCACGGGTGTAGGATCCCATCAGGACAGCATTGATGTCGGCATCCTTAAGCTTTTTTGCGTTCTTTTTGGCTTCCTTCTTGGCATCCATAGGCTTGCGCTGGAGCGGTTGCAGCGAGGGGAACTGCGGGATATCGAAAGGAATGGGAGGCTGGACGGGCGGTGTGCTTCTATCATACTCGCTCAAGACCTGCCGGAGTGCCCTGTTTGTCATTGTGTTGAGGTCATCAGCTTCTGCTACCTCCTCGGCACCCATATCTACAGTCCGGGTAGTGAGGGAAGACCGATCGACCAGCATATCGTAGAGGTTGGCGAAGTCATTATATAGCTCCATCAAGACTCGGCGATTGAGGCCATTCTCTTCAAACTGGTTTTTCTTAGACCGTGCCTTGGGAGGCCATGAGCCATATCTCTGTCGGTAATACTGGATGGTATGACGTCGCATATCCATAAATGCAGCCTTCCACGCTTTGAAGCGGACCACCTTGCTTTCGGCAGACGTGGTCGAATTGGCAGCACCGGCAAATGCAGAAGGGAAATCGAAGTCATTGAGCTTGCCGTATAGAACTCGAAGACGTGTATCCAGGTCGATGAAGCCTCTTTCCAGGCGCTTCTGGGTTGCAGCGCTGATGAGGCCGAACTTGGGACTCCTCAGCTGCTTGAGTTCATCCAGTTTACCCACACCATGTACGAAGCCTTCAAGATACAGCGGGAAGAAGCGTAGACGCTCGCCCAGAACAATCGCTTCAATTGTCTTCTCTCGGCTTTTGCGAACATCTGCCAGGTGTAACTCGTCACAGTAATTTCCAAAGCTCGTGGTTGCGGTTTCGCCGAAGTTGGATCCATCGAAGTTAGTAAATTCGAACCGAGAGAGTAGTGTGGCGACATCCATGAAGATAGCAAAAAGAGAAGGGGAGCGAGGCGTTGCAATTAGCGACTGTCCTAATAAAAAAGCAAAGAGGTTACGGAACAATAGCAGAGATTCCGTGTCCTCTTGTGAGATGCGGCTATTAGGGCTGGAAACATCGCTATTCAGGGGGATGGGCAGGTAGAGATGAAGTTCCTGCAAGTCGTCCTGTCCGTCATCTTCCACGAAGGCCATCCTCCTACTACCGGTGCTGTCATTGTCATTGTCATTGTCATTGTCATTGTCATTATCCGGCAATCGGTCCTGAGGAGTCAGGGGCGGTGACGCAGGACCCGTGACAGGGGATGCCAGTGATAAATTGCGAGTTTGCTGTTCGATGGATCCTGGGGCCCGGGGGTCGGTCCCCCGAGCTAGGAAATTCAGGGATGGCGACTCGGCAAAGACGGTCGAATCGACTCTGAAGGAAGCGGGTCTGCCTGTATTCTGGGGGAAAAGATAGACGAAGGTGTCGCCATTTTCATTCCACAATTCAGGAATCTATTGAGTTCCGGGGTTAGTGAGTCTTAACTCCCCAAATTTTGTTGACATAAGAGGATAGAAAATTCCACAACTCGTTACGTACCTGTTCCCCTCTGGATAGAGGCTCCAGGTCATATAAGATTTTTTGATCTAACCCAGCAATCCAAGCGCTGGGTAATGAAGGACTAGTGGGTGCCGTTCTAGTGTCTACTGAGCTTGCCCGGACCCGTCCGGGCATCCAGCTCCTTCTCTTCGAAGGAGTTCCGGGACGTGAGTCGGGGCCAGTTCCCGGCACAAACAGGCCCGCGGAGCTAGAAGGCCTGCTTCCACTCATTATGCGCCCTCTGCTTTGGGGTCTCGAGTCTGGCGAGCGGGCGCGCTTCCGGCTAGATCCTGGTTTACGGTGAGAAGTGAGGGGGGGGGCGGAAGAGGGGCATCCAAGTCGAAATTATCATTCGGGACTGGCGATATAGGCGTTCGGGATTCCGAATAGTCGACACTAATTGGATTAGATGCTAAACGAGCCGATCGCGAGCTGCTTCGATAACGTCCATCTTGAGTCTGTTGATCGGGAGAAGCCTTCGGGGCTCCGGGAGACCCAGGCGACGAGGGAATCGATGCCTCTTTACTGGACCCCAAGGAAAAAAGCGACGATATACGCTTGGCCGACTTCACCGGAGCTGACAGCATCTTCACGGCTGCTGTTGGGTGGGAACAGAGAAAAGAAAGCGCGACGGTGACTCCAAAGGACAATTTGACAGCTTAACTCGAAACCCAGTGGCGGGCGCACGCAATCAAGGGAAAGGTGCGCAACACGGTCACGAAACAGTGAGGTAAAAGGAATGCTGCTGAAAACCAACCATGCGAAAAATCCTCTAGGTCGTGTTAAGGCAAAGAATTCCCAGCGGGGAATCAGTCAGGTGGTGAATGTTCCCTGTTGGTAGGATAGCGAAGGGAATGGATCGGCAGGAGGGATCCAAAGAATGATGAGAGAAAAGTTATGATGACAAGGGTTGGGAAGGGGTACGGGATATGGCTGAGAGAAGGGGATTGGGGGGGGCCACCCTGAGACTTGACAGAGCAAAACGATCCAAAAACTGCCTCTGGAGAAACAATGGTGGTTTATTTATTATTATGTGATTTTGTTATGAAATGGGTTTGGGATACGGATTTTAGGTGTATTTTTTACCATGGGTGGAGCCACGGTATGGCAGAAAAAAGGAAAATTCAATCGATGGTTAGAAAGGGCAAGAAATACACTTCGAGATCGAATGAGAATCATGGAAAGTGAGGTATTCAGGTGTAAAGAATTAGACACATATACAAAAGAAAAGAGTGAGAAAAAAGTAAAATTCTTTTTTTTCAACTTGTCTGGAATTTCCCTGAGTTACCCCAGAACATTCTCAGTCCCCCTTTGACTCTTCTTGTTATATACATATTCTCTATGTGCATCATCCTGAGTATTCACTATTACAGTTTCTATTATTATCAGGGTATTAGAACTGTTTGTTCAACACTGTGGTAAATTTTAATAAGCGGGTCCTCTTCTTTTTTTTTTTTTTTTTTTGGGCGTTTTCACTTTTCTACTACCTTTCTAGAGCTTTTTTCTTACGAAGAACGGAGTACTACGGAGTAAAAGACCTGTATCACTCTTGTCCGTCATCCACAGACACCAAACCTGTTGAAGGAAGTGGGCTGGGGGGAAGTCGGGAGAGGCTGTGCTCTTTTTCTGGTTCAGGAGGCTCAAGGATGGCATCATCCTCTGTTGTTTTAATCAGTTTAGATAATGTCTCCCAAGGCAGAATTATTACTACTGTGGATTCTTTGAGGATGATAACCTACCGTTGGTAAAAGCCGTTTTTCCCTTCTATCCGTCATCTTGTTCTTTTTCTTTAACTGGGTTAGTGAACTCTCTTACTCTTTCCTTTTTGTAATTTTTCTCCATACTTTGCCAATAATACCAGGCATCAATTTTTATACAGCCTCAAGAATCGTAGCCGAACTGAGCCTGCACTAATAGTACGCCTCTAAGCGGTCTAGTTGGTAACATAACCCCTGTCAACACGCCCTCCCGGTCATCCGGAGCTCTTCGGAGTCTTCCATCGAGATCCAGAACCCCGGGTCTGTTGCCTATGGATCATTCAATAGTGACAAAGTAAATAGATTAATATTTCCAAGTGGTCCATGGCTTGGACATTGTTGTTTCGGGAATAAAATAGCGTCAAGACATATATAATGCATTTAGTATTTGTCTTCTTATAACCATCCCGCTGTGTACATTCTTCTGGTACTTACAGCAGCACTAGAGTTATATTATCATATTAATATAGAATCCTGTACGGTCATGACTGCTGACGCTGACAGGTGGATATACTTTTCGATCCAGGGGTACTCCGTTGTGAGCATACCTTTTTTTTCATTGCTTTTTTCGCCCCTCCAAAATCCAGATCCTACTACTAGTAGTATTGCTCCCAGGTTGCATTTCGGACAGAATTCTAACCCACAACTGCCAACTCCCCTTCCACCTTCGTTTAGGTGAGGAATTGATCAAGTGTCAAATGAAAGTGACCGGAAAACCAATACTTTAAACCACCTCGTGAGTCTTGACTACCTCAATGCTGGAGACAAGGTAGGTAGGTAAGTTACCTGGTAATACCCGGATAGAAAACCGTTGTGGGAAAAGAACTGGAGGAGGCGCACGCTAAGAATAGCAGTGGGCCTATGGTACCGCGTACTATACATACGTATGACTACTACGTAGGTACCTCCTCCTTCCATCCATGGCCCATATTAATTGAGCATCAATCTGTACATTGAGTAGCCGATTGGAGAAACAAGGCTTGACGTGTCACTTTCAGAACTTTCACTTTCCAGGACATATATGCTCCAACTAGTACTCCATAAAGTCGCAATGTAAATGACAAGTCTCTCTTGCAAGCGACCTTCATACCTCGCAAGTCAAATTATACTCCTGGTAAATACCAGTACAATGACCCATCTGGACCCAGTCTGTATTTGGAGGGGAGTGAGGATTTACATCACCGCCTTCTGCTCTCATCCGCTACCTATGTCTTGGCGTTCGTATACCGTCACGTCGCAATTTTGCCCATCCTCACATCTATCGATAATGGATGTTCCGGTATTTCGGTCGAGCTTTACTGTTGCATCGTCGGAGTAAGCCGAATATTACTAGAAAAGCAAAGAGCGAATGCACAAGCCTCAATCTTCAACTCTAACAAACAGAATAAGGCAGTGTCGCTGACGTGGTTTTGCCCGTGATATATAATTGTATGCAAAACTGAGGAATCTCATTCACCGTACGGAATACCAAGGCTGCAAGCAAACGAGTACCACCAGGTCATGCACGATTGTCATTGATAGGCTACAGGAAGATCACATTGCTACCTTATTACCCACATTCACTACTGTGCATCAGATACCCTTACCCGATGGATTCTCCAGATGAGGTCAACCTGTTTCGTGGCTGGCCGAACCCCGCCTTGCTGCCCACAGACGCCTTAGCTGAGGCCTCCGCCACAGTCCTGGCTTCACCAACCATCAGAGTTCCAGCTTTAATGTATGGTCCCGATGAGGGTTACCAACCGTTGCGAGAACACCTTGCCCAATGGTTGACGGGTTTCTACCAACCCCGCCATCCTGTCTCTCCCGAGCGCATCTGTATAACCGGCGGTGCCAGTCAAAACCTGGCTTGTATCTTTCAAGTTTTCACGGATCCCTCGTATACCAGAAATGTCTGGATGGTGGCCCCCACCTATTTCTTAGCATGTCGGATAATGGACGATGCCGGGTTTGCTGGCCGCTTGAGGGCGGTACCTCATAATGAGTTAGGTTTGGACCTTGCATTTCTCCGTCAAGAATTGGTTAAGGCCGAGGAGAAAGCTCGAGCTGAGCAGCGTCTTGGACCGGTATGATAGTCTTCCCGAGGGAATTTGGGTGTATATCTACGATCGTACCCGATTTCTCACCTTGATGAACCATATATTCGTATGTCTTCAGAGCAATAAGGCTAACTAACACCCTAAAAGAAATATAAACTACCGAGGCCATGGGCCAAAGTTTATAAACATCTTATCTACGCCACGCCCACATTTTCCAACCCGACGACCCTGACCATGTCTTTGTCGGATCGGGAGGGCTTGGTCCGTCTCGCGCGAGAATTTGATGCTCTGATCGTGACAGATGACGTTTATGATTTTCTACAATGGTCACCTGATTCAGAAAAACCACTAGCACAGCCCGACAAGGCTCAGATCCCCCGTGTAGTGGACGTGGATCGTTACCTTGATGGTGGCCCTAAGGATGAGTGGGGCAACGTGGTAAGTAATGGAAGCTTTAGCAAGCTAATCGGACCTGGTGCAAGAACTGGATGGGCAGAGGGCACCGAAAAATTCGCCTATGGTCTATCGCAAACGTATGTTGAACATCCCTTTAGCGTGACTGACACCGTTAACCTAACTGTTGATGGACAACAGAGGTTCATCACGGTCAGGAGGGGCGCCATCCCAGCTTTCGGCTGCCATCATTGCTCAACTGTTCCCCACGGGGTTCATCCAAACCTATGTCGACCAGGTCTTGCGGCCAAAATATGCAGAGCGCTACTATCGCCTGATGTCTGCCGTCCATGAGCACCTTCTTCCCCTTGGTGTAACGCTTCCACCCACGTCGCCAGATGTTGTGGGAGGGTACTTTGTCTGGATCCAACTGCCCCCACCACTACAGGCGGATGATGTTGCGACCGTAGCGCTTCAAGAGTATAAGGTGAATGTTATTGCTGGTAATCGATTTCGTGTTCAAGGTGACCCCGACACTAGCAGAAACAGTTTTGACAGAGGCATACGTCTCTGTTTCGCTTGGGATCATGAGGACAAGTTAGCGGAAGGGGTGCGTCGACTTGCAAATGCTATACGCTCCGCACTTAAATAAGCTCATCGTCATCGGATCACGCGAGGGAAAAATTTCTAGAGATTTTAGGGTCGCAACTACCAAGGGTCAAGGGCGGATCGATCCGCTCCGGCCCTTGGGCAGACATCTTTTGGGTATTCGATGTGGTTGCGTAGCGGTCATTGGTGCCAAGAAGGGGTTGTTCCAATTAGCAAGTGAGGATGAGATTGCCTGGAGTATCGCTAGGCGCCAGGCGTCAAATGACTCTTGGATTGTGATACAATCGATGGCTTCGGGGTGACTCTGCGGGGTGCAGCAAATTAAGCGAGTCGGAGGATGCAGAGGCGCGGGTGACCGGTGCAGGTGCAGCTGTTTTTACAATATGGGCTGTATATTATAGGTATACGTCTGTAGAGGCAACTGGAGTCGAAGTAAAGACGCCGTAAATCGGATTACTGAGCCAAACAGTTCAAGCGAGAATATGTAGTCAAGGGGACCGACATGCATTCTTCGTCCCGCATTCAGGGTTTCTGCCGTGCATTCTTGACGCCAACAATTTTCTTGGAAGTCTCATCGTGTGTTTTGGGTCCTTTCCATATTTAATGTCTTGGACAAAACACTGGGCAGGGGCACTCCATGTAACTAGCTTTGGCGGGAAATTACGTGTTGATTTTACTAAGTAATAAAGTTCAATAACTTGAATCTTGCGGTCGTCTCGCTCTCTGTGGGACTGATTGGTGAAAAGCTCCGCGGGTAGATAGTGCGTATGGTGGAATCGTTGGTCGCGGCATCGCGCGAGCCCATTAAAGCTTGGCTCTTGCAAGCTAGTATATAAATAGCAGAGCTACGGACAGCACCGCATCACAACAAACCCCTGGGTAACCGAGTGGGTCATGTATTCGTCCCACACGCGTCGAGGCTACTGTTCCTGTCGGCACATTGGTGCCTATTTCGCGCAGATAAAAGGGCAGGGGCCAAAATCACCATCGAAACAAATGGTACTATCTCCGCCGAGTAGGGGCTAGTTATATGTCTCGTTGATGTACAGTCTCTCGTGGTGTGACAAGCCCAGTTATGTGTACTCCGGTGTGGCGCTTTGTTGACATCCATGGCCCGAGGAATGTATGCGTATACATGCTGGTTACGAACTATACTTGGCAAAGGGTTTAGGGTTGAGGTCCTGCGTACTTTCGCAGCAGTTCGCACACTTCCTCTAACCGATCGAGGAGTTAGTGGAGCTGTGCGGCCTCTGATCCATACCAGTCGTTGCGAGTCGCCCCCCAGACAGCTCCATAGAGGATTCCAGAGAGAAACACTACCACACGGTCCGTTGTTTAGATGGCGAATAGGGGACGTGCGTATTTTGATCATTCTCGAAGAGCTCTTGTCAATCTCTTGGAAGGGCTGAAGCACAGCGGAAGAAAAAAGCAAAACAAGGTATTGGCCACAGGAAAAAAGAAAAGGGGAAAGAAAAGCCCGGTTACATAGTTTGGACACATGCGACAGGAATCTGGCCACAACGAAATGTTGATCATGGCCTTGGCTCAGCACCATAATGATATATAGCCTGTTAGATCTCCGGATTGGATATCCAAAGCGCTCTCTCTTTCCTTCTTGCATGCTGTCTTTCTGCCCTTCCTTTGTTTTGACTTGTCTTCAGGTCAGTGTGTGTTCCGTGCACCTATTGACGGAGTCATTCCTTCAAGCGCTGTATACTTCGCTAGCTTCCATACCGAAGCTATCTATGTGAGATCTGCTGTTTTCACACCATCGTTTCCGCAAGCATTCTGGCTGGTTCCCACTTGGTATGGTTCCCATGCGTTCCTTTTAATCTATTGTCCGCGTGCCCTAGGAAATTTGTAGTCGAATCATGCATGGTTAACGGCAAGTAGTCCACGATCAGTCGTTTCATCCCCTGACCCAAGTGTTTCAAGCCTCGGTTGGTGCGTGGTGATCAGTCGTGGTCATTGGTCACCGGGAGTGGATCTGCAGCCGGACTGGACTGGCAATTGGCTGAAGATTACCGATCATCAAACCCGAAAAGGTTATTTCACAACAATACCTGCTCCAGTGGTGGCCGATTGCCGTATTTACCGTATCCATTCACTGTGATTCGAGGCCTGACCAGGCACAATAAGTATTAGCCCTGGTCCATCGCCATCAAGGCCATTCAGCTCATTTATTCATTCACTCACTTTCCTTTTGACCTCCGGGAGCGTCTTTATCCGGTGTTTTGCCTATCCTTATTGTTCTTTTGTTTGATCATTCCTTTGTCGACCTTTCATTGATAGAACTCCGGCAGACGAGCTTATTGCTATCGGGGATCTTTTTGTTCGTCGACGTCTTCCAAGCGATTCTCACTCATTTGACCATATACATCTTCTGACAGTGTCGCGTGACGAAGGTTCATCACACTCGTTGATATCAAATACTGGTTGCGGATCAGCCGATCAGCGCAACTAGAGTACCCGGTCCTGGTGGTTGACTTGATATTGCGCCTATTCCGCTCTTTCAGTGAGATCTCTGCCGGTTCAGCGATCTCCTAGTCATCTCGAAGATGGCTTCTCTACACACAACTATCATGCTGTTCCTAGCACATGTGCTCCTACTTCTGGGGTTGCCCGCAGGCCTCGTCGATGCCATACCCTTGGGCCAAGAGATGGACATCACGACGAATTTGGCTGTCAGGGCGGCGTCAGACTACTGGGTTGGGACTATAAAACGACAGGGTGCTGTTCCCTTTGGAAATGGCACTGACTATCAGGTATATCGTAACGTGAAGGACTTTGGTGCTAAGGGTATGGGTTACCATCGTGGGAGAGATGACACTCCGTATGCTAACTGGAACCAGGTGATGGGTCCACGGATGATACCGCTGCTATAAACCAGGCTATCTCCTCTGGGAACCGATGCGGTAAGGGTTGTGATTCCTCAACCGTCACTCCTGCCCTCGTATACTTTCCTCCCGGTACTTATGTCGTCTCCAAGCCAATCGTTCAGTATTACTACACTCAAATCGTTGGCGACGCCATCAACCTACCTGTGATCAAGGCCGCTGCGGGCTTTGCCGGTATGGCTGTGATTGATGCCGACCCTTATAACGATGACGGCAGCAACTGGTACACCAACCAGAACAACTTCTTCCGTGCCGTTCGTAACCTTGTCATCGATTTGACTGCCATGCCCCAGGGGTCTGGTGCTGGTATTCACTGGCAGGTGGGCCAGGCGACCAGTTTGCAGAATATCAGGTTTGAGATGGTGAAGGGTGGCGGCGATGCAAACAAGCAACAGGGCATCTTCATGGACAACGGATCTGGTGGTTTCATGTCAGACTTGACTTTCAACGGTGGTAACTATGGCATGTTCGTAGGAAACCAGCAATTCACTACCCGCAACCTGACCTTCAACGACTGCAACACAGCCATCTTCATGAACTGGAACTGGGCTTGGACCTTCAAGTCACTTGCCATCAACAATTGCCAAGTCGGTCTGAACATGTCCAACTCTCCGCAGAACCAGACTGTAGGCTCTGTCTTGATTCTTGATAGTCAACTTACCAACACACCCACCGGTGTCGTTACTGCTTTTACCGAGAACAGCATTCCCATTGGTGGAGGTGCCTTGATTCTTGACAATGTTGACTTCAGCGGTTCCAAGGTTGCAGTGGCGGGTATTGCCGGTAACACTATTTTGGCAGGCGGCTCAGTCGTCTCAAACTGGGTCCAGGGCAATGGTTACATCCCTGGCAGCACGAGGCAGAAGCGAGAGGCTTCAGTGACAGTCATTACTGAAACTGTGACGGAGACAGTAGAGGTCTGCACTGCTGATTACACAGACTCTTCCCCTTCACTGACAGCCCTTCCTTCGGCATCGGGAGATAGTCGTACTGCTGGCATTGTGCCAGGTATTCCAATTGTGAGCAGTTTGTTGTCCGGCTCTGAGTCGTCTGCCACTCAGCCCGCTGAAGCACCCACTACCAGGGCCCCCGAGCCCACTGTTGCTCCCTCAACCCCAGCAGAGGCTGAGCCATCTACTGCAGTTCAGCAGACTCCCCACCCGTCTGCCCCTGCACAGTCACAGCCAGAGGCCTCAGTTAAGTCTACGGTGACCGGGTCCGTCATTCCTCCCAAGCCATCTCCGCCTGTCCAGGGATCTTCCTCGAGAGTCACCGGTGCAGTTTCATCTTCGGCCGCCCATGGAACAAACATCTGCTCCGTCAAAACGGTCACAAAGACTCGTCTCCAAACTGCTCTCCCAACTCACGCCAAACCCGGCTCCCTGCTCGCTGATGGAAAGGTTTACGAGCGCTCCAAGCCCCTGTACACCAGCTACGATGCCTCTTCGTTCATCAGCGTCAAATCTGCTGGCGCCAAGGGAGACGGTTCGACCGATGACACCGCTGCCATCCAGAACATACTGAACAGCGCCAAGGAGGACCAGATAGTTTATTTCGACCACGGAGCCTACATCATCACCGACACCATCAAGGTGCCCAAGAACATCAAGATCACCGGTGAAGTATGGCCCGTTCTGATGGCCCACGGCCAGAAGTTCGCCGACGAAACGAACCCTATCCCTATGCTCCAGGTCGGAGAAGTAGGCGAGGCCGGCTCCGTCGAAATCACCGACATCGCCCTGCAGACCAAGGGTCCGGCCCCCGGCGCAATCCTCATGCAGTGGAACCTCGCCGAGGCCTCCCAGGCTCCGCCGGCATGTGGGACACACATTTCCGTATCGGCGGATCAGCAGGCACCGAGCTGCAAAGCGACAAGTGCGCCAAGACGCCGAAGGAGACCACCACACCCAACAAAGAATGCATCGCCGCATTCATGCTCATGCACATCACCGAGAAGGCCAGCGCTTACATCGAAAACTCCTGGTTCTGGGTCGCCGACCATGAGCTCGATCTGCCCGACCACAACCAGATCAACGTTTACAACGGCCGTGGTGTCTACATCGAATCCCAAGGCCCCGTCTGGCTCTACGGTACTGCCTCCGAGCATAACCAGCTGTACAATTACCAGGTCACCAACGCCAAGAATGTCTTCATGGGCCTCATCCAGAGCGAAACCCCCTACTACCAGGCAAACCCCAACGCCCTGACCCCCTTCACCCCGCAGACCAAGTGGAACGATCCCGACTTCTCCTACTGCAAGACCGACGGCTGCCGCAAGGCATGGGGTCTGCGCGTCCAGAACACCTCCGACATGTACGTGTACGGTGCCGGCCTGTACAGCTTCTTCGAGAACTACGCTCAGACCTGTCTGGCCACGGAGTCCTGCCAGGAGAACATGGTCGAGGTCGACTGCTCTGACGTCCATATCTATGGATTGAGCACCAAGGCTAGCACGAACATGATCACGTCGAACAGCGGCGCCGGTCTGGTTCCCCAGGATGAGAATGAGAGCAACTTCTGCTCGACTATTGCGTTGTTCGAACAATCATAATTTCTCTTTCTGTCTGGTGTTAGATCATTGCCTTCTGTTGTGTCACTCTTGAATAATGGCTAGGCCTTTGCTTTCTATCGAGTTGGGTGTGCAGTAAACATTCCAACCCGGTGATGTGTGAAACACTGTAATGGACTTGGTTTACCTGTTTGTGTGGACACCTGGTTGTACGAGTCACGACGCGATAGAAGGATCGGCTAGCAGGGGGCGCACTGCTTTTTGTTCTTTCTGTGGATACCACTTTTTGTTAAATCGCCAATTAGATTTTTGGTTTCATAAGAATATGAAATATGTCCTCACATGATACCACATTAATTACATCAGGATAATAAAGTGACTCTGCTCGTAAGATAAATGACTGTATCTATTAATAAACCTCATGCATACATGTATACATACGTGCATGTACGTAATATATAGTAACGCTTTGCATGGCATATAAGCTAAACAACAATAACCTCCATTGCAAACAGCAAGAGAACGATCCTATAATTCCTTCTTCAGGAAATGCTCCGGCTTATGCGTCGTCTCATAGTCAACATGCACATACGCCCTCTCCACATCAGGCAAGGACTCTAGCTTCATCTGCAGTTCCTCGGCGACGTCATGAGTCGCGCGGAGGGAATCATTAGGGTCCATGACGATGTCGACTTCAACGAGCAGACGGGGTCCGGAGGTGTAAGCGCGGACGGTATCAATGGCCGTGATGAAGGGGGAGTGGGTCATTGCTGATTGGAAAATCTCTATTAGCACGTGCGCATTCGACTCTGGCAGGGCAAAATTGAAAAGGGAATAGGACATACAGATATAGGTAATCAGCTGCTGCATTTTAGTATCAGCAGTGACACCAATCAAAAGTTGAAACTCATGATAGGCAGTATAAAGCCAAAGACAGCTGACCAAGACGGAGAGAATAATAGCGCCCATAGGATCAATCCACCAGCGCAGCTTACTTCCACCGACGGAGGTCAGGATACCGAACCCATTAATAAAAAGGTCATTACGGTGATCTTCCCAGAGGATGCGGATCTGGGAGACCTGGTGGCGCAGCGCAAAGCAGTATACAAAGAGGGCGAACTTGGTGCAGAAGGCGACGATAACAGCGATGACGGAGGGCAGGTGGAAATCGCCAGTTTCCGACTCGGACCCCTGGACGAGTTCACGGATGGAGAAGGCGATGATGATGAACGAGACGGCCGTCATGAGGAAGCAGAAGCAGATGTTGCCGGCTGTTTCGATGCGGGCTTTGCCGGCGGGGAACTTGCGGGGGTCGACGCGGTTAACAGCCTTGTTACAGAGGAGCAGGGTAAGGTTGGACATGGGGTCGAAGACGGCGTCGGCCATTGTTGTGAAGAGGGAGAGAGAGCCCGACGCGATGGCACCGTAGAGTTGTAGGACGGAGAGGATGATGTTCGCGGCGAAGCTGCCGTATACGGCGATTTTGTATTTGAGTTGGTTGTTGAGGCTGATTTCGCGGGCGTCACGGACGTGCTCTTCGACGGGTTTCAGCATGCGCTCGATGTTCTCATTTTGCGAGTGGTAGAAGCCTTGTAGCTGTCTGGACGAGATGGCTGTGTTCAATGCCTTCTTGGGGTTCTTAGTTGCGTGGAGGAGTCCTCCCGGGGCGCAGCTGTCGCGTTTACGGGCCGTGTTGGCTTGCGGATGGAGTTGTCGGATTTCTTCATCGGTCTTTATCTTCGAGGCAAGCTGGAAGGGATCATTCTCGCGCGTGTATCGTGGCGGCGGTTGACCCTCTTCATCACTGGTGTTGCCGGTACGGTGTTGGGGCGCTTGTGGTTCTAGAGCGGTGGTGGTTGCTTCATTGTAGGAAAGCGTGGATGGAATATGCGAGTGTGGAAGCTGGGGAGAGTTGAACGGGGACGGATGATGAGACATGCTCTGGCGGAGGTGAGATTCGTCCATTGTACTAATTGATCCAGCTGCAGATGAGGAGGAGAACGAAAGAAAGAAAGAGAGAGAGAAATGCAAAGGGTCCAGACAAGAAAAAGTGACTGTGGCTGAGCGGCGGGCCGGAGCTGCTTATCTCCTGATAACACACCAATGGTTCATTTAAGATTCTTAAGTAAAAATTCAATCTGGTCTTCGTCTCATCGAATGTAACCCAAGACACCTTAAAAAGAGCCAATCCCCCAAACATGTAACACTTGCGACCAAAATGTACGCAGCGCATCGACCATTAAAGTTGGTATAAAATGGGTGGATTCCACCCGCTACATTCCATATTGTGATCAACCTTGGGACAAGTCTTGGTCGGAAGCTGCCGAAAAACCTTCCCAAAATATCAAGTCTCAGCCGCGCCAAAAGAATTCGCACCGGCAGAGAATCTCGAATAGAAGCCAATGCTCTCGAAACAAGCTTCTGCGAGGTGCAATCTAACTGAATCTCGTCGATCCGGGTCGACAAATCCGTTAATGCCTACTGGCGCTGGTTCAAAATTGCAGGGGTAGCTAAGGCGGAACCTTGGCCCAATAACGAAGATGCTCGCCATGGTGGATCTGTGAGACATCTTCCCTTGCTATCCTGGTGGAACGGTAGGAGATTTTACGTTTCATTGTTCGTTTCATGGAGATCCCTGAACCACGGTGCGGTTGTCCATGCGTGCTACTTTCACCGAGTCCCGAATCGTCGCGGCACTGTGAAATAAGAGAATGACTTTACGATCGAGTTAAGACTTTTGGTTCAAGATAAAACTCACTGATTTTCGCTGGTTTCGTTCAATACTGTACACAATAGGGGGGATGGGGGCGAAGGCCACGAACCCTCTGTTCTAATTACATAGAAAAGTTATGGAAGAAAGGGAAACGAAAGAAAAAGAAGAGACCCAGAACTTGTTCACGCCAAATGCTAGGCAGTATGAGAAACAACTGCCACGGTTCTAGAATACGAAATGTGATATACACAAGTCCAAGGATTCTGCCCCTAAACTGGGTTCCAGTGTTCAAATGTATAATGCAGGCAAATTCTATTCACTTGCTAGAAAATATATAAATAAATCTATTCACACCCAACAGCTTGGTAAATCACATCACTTTTTCTAAGCAGTGTACTTGACGAGAGTCTGCAGAAGGCTGGCGATCCAGTTGAGCTTCTCCTCAGCGGTGCCGTCGGTGGGGATGGTGACGGTCGAAGCGGCAGAGCTAGGGGCAGAGGTGGCGGAAGGCTTAGCGCTGGTGGCAAAGCCGCTGGGGGCAGCGACGTTGTTGCCAGTGGTGGGGGTAGCAGTGACAGCGACACCGGTGGCAGTAGAGGAGGCAGTGGCAGTAGCAGCAGCGGTGGAGGCGGCGGAAGAGACAGCGGAGGACGAGCCAGAGGAGGAGCCAGAGCCAGAGCCGCTCATGGTGAAGTCAATGCAGGACTCGTAGGTCTGATCGATGGACTCGGCGAACCAGTACCACTGGAGAACACAAGCACCAGCCTCGGAGCACTTGCTGCCGAGGTCACTGGGGAGAGTGACGCTGAACTTCTTGTCTGTCTCCTTGACACCGGTCTCGGTCGAGGCATAGACATCCCAGGACTTGAGGGCCTCGCCGATGACGGTGTTGGAGGCGGTATCGACGACGGAGACGTTGGCAACACCGGTGTGAGGAGCACGGATGTCGACCGTGAAGTCGAGGTTCTGGCCAGGGGTGTACTGGAAGACGTTGTCCTTGTTGTCGTCAAATTTGTAACCCTTGCAGAGCCAGGCGTCACACTTGGCGGCATCGTAGTCGTTCTGGCCGTTGGCAACCTGCAGTTCACCCTGGATGTTGCCATAGTTGTCGGCCTGCTGGTTGTTGTACATCTGCTGACCACAAGCCTCCGAGAAAGCGGTACCAGGCATACGAGGCTGGGGAGAGGTAACGAAGCCGTGGCCGTGGGCCATGGAGACAAGGCCGGCAAGGGCAAGGACGGTACCAGTCTGCTTCATTTTGAAGGTGTATGTAATTGGTTGATTTTAAGATCGAGGAAAGAATTTAATCAGAGAATGGATCGGTATAGACCAGTATACCTAATCAAATGAATGTATAAAGAGAAAGAATGTGACGGTCACGGACCGAGTAGTATAAGAAAATGTGAAAAGAAAGAAGAACAGAATAAACCTGCGTGTTTAGAGAGCGAGGGAAAGGACGAGAGCGTTCTCAGCCATCTATATATACGCTCGGCTCAACTAGCATGACCGGCAGGAAAGCTCCATCGGAAGTCCACCGTGAAACAACTCTAGACACTTCTCAAGGCGACGGTTATCTCCCGAAGCCCTTAGAATCAATTACCCCGAGACTCTCCACCGGAGAACGGCGTTGAACCAGACCATTGTCGCAAGGGCTTGGCAAGAAATCAATAGTTAGTGGAACTCGATTTCGGTGGGCTCATTAAAAGTGACAAGATACAAAGCGCCCAGTAGTTTCACCTTAATTGCTCTAAAACATAACGGTGGCCGGTGGATATGCTTAGACCAGCTCCTGATGCTTGGCGCCTGGGTTAGGGTTTCAGCTTCATTAGCTCGGCGGCTCCATCACATGTAGCCACGACTTTTCTCCGACGATTAGAATCCCACGGTGCTTTGGGGATAGCTCCTGATTGATCAGGCCCGAATCCTGGGAGGAAGACTTATCGCAATAGTCCAGCATTAGCATCCTCATATAGATTCGCCTCCTGCGCCCCACTTCCTGAGTCAGTCCTTGAGTCTCCATAGTCATACAGAAGGCCAAGGGTCTTCGGAGTTCGTATCTGAAAGAAGGCAGAAGCCTCGTACTGATGCGTAGGGGCAAATGAGCCCACTCTTTTAGTCGGAGCTGAGTTGCCGTTTGCTTTTTGGGTAAGCGCCGGGTGTGCATTAAGTGATCAGTGCGAGACATACTAGCTCTAAAACCCAGTGTACTCCGTAGGTAAAACAAGCATCGGCGAGTCCTCGGCAGACAAGAATTTTGTTAGTAATGACCAGGGTGCAGGTGCTCTGTTCGTGAGCGTTAGCATGCCATCATGTAGCGGCCATGTGCCTTCTCAACCGCGCTTGCCTCTGTCAATCGCTGGCAACAAGTCTGATAAGTTTCTGTTTAATTATAATTCGGCGCAAAGCTTGAACAAAATTTCTTGTCACAGGGGAGATAGGTACATTGTCTCATCTAAGCTTGTGCATATGATGTGACGCAGACCAGGCGTCAGTTATCTTTGCAGATGCAACCAAACCAACAACGTATATAAGTAATATTGCTCCGCGAAAAGAGGTATCACATCAGCCAAAGAAGAAATATAACTACATTAAAGCATTAGGGAAGGCGTTCAATCGTGCGGTACAGAGACATAAGGGGGCTGGCAAACAGGAAACCAGAATAAAGAGAGAAGGCGCCCAACAATCCACCACGCATCACGCGCGCTGTATAGGTTGTGGATACGGATCGTACCACGAGTCGTTCGTTGTTCCCTCTCTCCGTCCTTCTGGTGGGCCGGTAGCAGTGGTGCTGAAGTTATCGGCGAATGGGTTGTGCACCTGAAAGTCCTCCGACCGATACTCTGACCGTCCCGTGCCGTTATTCATCGGGGGTGGAATCCCGCTGGGGCTTGATGACGCCAAGGGCATTGCCGGTGGTATAAAGGGGTTCTGCGTATCGCGTGGAGGCACCGGTGGGGGAATAGCACTAGCACTAGAAACACCTAATGGCGTGGTCTCAGGCGGCGAGGGTGACTGGCTACCTGATTGTCCTAAGGCTCGACGCGCGTTAAGAAGAGCACGTTGGTGCCTGGATAGCGACATGGAAAGCTCATCATTCGCTTCAATCAAGGTCAGGAGAGTATCCTCGTCCGGGGGAGGGTTTGTCGAGTGAATGTAGTGCTGAATGGTGTGTGATGCCGACCGACATCGGTCAGAGAACTCCTTGATAAGCTCGTTCTCTGCCATCTCTGCGGGAGGCGTCGACTGAACGAACTGTACGAGCAGTTTTGCCGATGTCTTGGCTTCAGTGATACGAGCAGCGAGTTCATCTGGGGATGGCAAGGTTCCGGTCTGGCGCGGGCCAAAATAATCGGGACGAGGCTGTTGTGGTTGCGGTGAAGTCTGGGATGAAACCTGGGACCTCCATGTACTCTAACGAAAGAAACCGTTAGCGCTGTCGCACCAAGGCACATACTAGGCATCACATGGATACATACCCCACTATTAGTCCTTTTGAGCTTGGTCTTTTCCCTTGTCCACATCTGCAGAAGTGGAGCAAGATCCTCATCCCATCCACGCTGCATCTCCAAAGCATCCAGAGTCTGCCGGAGGAAACCTTGCACGTTCGAGTCCCTCGTCTGGCGCAAGAGGTCTTTCACCGTTGCGACAAATTTGGCATCAATGTTCCGTGTAAAAGTATGACCAGGGTTATCGACGAGTATGCGGATCAGCATGATCGCATTATACTGTATATTGGTCGGCGTTGACGCTGGATCGGATAATAACTTGCGGATGCGGTGCGCTGCTTCTCTGGCGGCATTGGGGCTAGACTCCGCACTTTCAACAATAGCGGGCAGATGGACGAACTCGTTTCCTTGCTGTAGATATATTTATCGTTAGTTTTTGTTCGAGTCAATACGGTCGGGTTGGAAGTGAAGTCGATGTGCGGAGGGGGAAGGACGTACTGTATCGTTTGGAGCCGCCTCGCAAAATGCAGTCTAGAACATCAACACAAATTAGTCTAACTTTCCCAGGGGAAACGCGAAAAGGGGCACGGGATTGGAAAACGGACCACTTCTCTCAGGATAATACCCTCGGGAGAATCCTCAGCGTATGACGACGGACCTTCCGGTGTTGGACCTGTTCTAATGAGTAAACGATGGGACGTTGCGGGATGAGTCGTGATACATACCGGACCGCTTGCTGAAGGAGGTCAGAATGCGCTTCATGGTGAACCAAACCAACCCAAGGCGCTAGAGACAATGATACAATAGGCGATGAAGAAAAGAGAAGAAAAGCCGCCAAACACTGACACGGCAAGGAAGGTAGGAAGAACAGAAAGGTAAGCGCGAGGGTTGATGGGGTAGCGTCAATAGATAAAACAGGAGGTCTACTAGTCTAGTGTAGGCTTAGTGTTGGCATTTAGATCACTGAAGGCAGAACCCGGACATCACTCAGGTTGTTACCTAGAGAAAAGTGCAGTAATCTGTTGCGTTCGGTGACACGCAAGCACTGGTCTGTCCACTTGGGACGATCCATATGCCACAGTCATGGCATAGGTTACTCGGCTGAGGTTGTGCGGAGGTTCTCCATTTGTTGATGCCTGGGACTGGAGGACGATCCCACTGCTGCGTCATTCCCCCAACAGGCTCATACGTATGCATATCGATTTTAAAGATCTTACACCAGTCACCTTCCTCATCACCGCACCCATGACAGAAGAAATCCAATCGCTGATGCCGATGATCTCGGAGCCATACCGAATGATGGTTATCTTCGAGGGCCTGTGGCTGGCAAGACGTTGCATCGCCACTCTTGGCTTCAATCAGGCATCACTCAATATATATATACTTTCGGTATAACAAACTGACCACCACCAATTGGGAACCTATGAGTGGAGTATGCTGCACGAAAAAGAGGCCTCTTGGCTTCACCTTTCGACGACTAGTATAATGTCCCTACATCATAGACGCTCTTCTATACATACTACCAAACTACGCAACTCATTACAGTCTAACGTACGTATCCAGCACCCGACGGCAAACAGGGACGCATGTATGGCTGTTCTAGTACAAGCAAGATCATAGGCATTTCTCCCGAACCTCATTAATATAGATTTCCGTATCCCATTCGTGAAACAAAGCTCAACAGTATCCTGAAGTATGAGAATAAAATGTCCGATCCAGCTTGTACCTAGCCAAGCATCCAGTTGCTGCAAGGCGCCATGGGTTGTCTGCAAAGCCAGGGGACTATTGAAACAAATGATCCCTTTCACCCGAAAATCACATGGTGATCGTGGGATATTCGGGGTATGATCAACGCTTAAGGAGATATTCATGACAAGAGGGAAGAACTGATGCTTCCACCCATAGATTTCGAAGGGTTGTTCAGTTTGTAGAAATTTCTTTTGTATTCCTTCCGTGAAAAGGTATTTGTTCCGTACAACAGAAAACTCCGGCTTTCCCATTCATTTTCCGACTACCTCACCCCCGACACCCATGAACCGCTTATGCCTGGATGGCACGGCGGACCTGGAGGCCACGCTGACGAGAGGACAGATGAGCATCCTTGACAACGGGACCCTTCTGGACAACCTCCTCACCCTCAGTAAGGATGAGCTCGATGTGGCAAGGGTTGGTCATGTAGGGGTTGATCTAAGCCTCGAGTAAGCAAAAGAAATCAACCGGAGATATAGTGGGAAACATACACGACCGTGGGCACGGTAGGTGCGTCTGCGGCCCTTGGGGGCCTGGTTGACCTGGATGTGCTTGACAACAAGGTTGCCAGTGTCAAGACCCTTGGTGTCGGCGTTGGCCTCAGCGTTCTTCAGGAGGTCGATGAGGAACTTGGCGGACTTCTCGGGCCAGCGAGCCTTGCTGACACCGAACTGCTTGCCTGTAGAACTTGTTAGCGAACGTCCTGCGTACGTCTCTCGCCAAATATCATGGCCCAATTCCGTGCACACGCCATCCGAGCTACTCCAGTAGCCAGAATTCCTTCTCTTTTGCTCCGCATCTTCTTGTACATATCCAATCATTCCAAAAACCACACCGGACCATAATCCACCTCATGTAAGAAATATCAGCCACTCACCCTGAGCGCAACGGCCGGTGCTGCCAGCGAACCTCCGCATGGGGACAGCCTCGAGCTTGTTGGTGACGTTGTCAAGGAAAGTAAGAGCACGCTGGAGCTTCATGCCGTTGATGGCCTGAGCAGCCTCACGGGTGTTCTTGAAGCTGACGCGCAGGTAAGAGCCCCGGGCGCGGGCGCTCTTAGCGGCCGGAATGTCCTGAGCAGCGTAACGGACCTGAAAGACGAAAAAAATCCTGCATCAGCAAAGCCATATTCCTCTATCTCGAAACGCAATTGATGGTGGCTGGAGTGGGTATGGTGATGGCAGGGTCGAAATATCGGGATAGGCCACAGAGCCTAATCTTGGGATTGACAGGATCGAACATGTTCGGTGCAAAGATGTCTCTTCCACTGGTGATTTTTCTCCATTCTCCTCTTCCCCTCCCGATCAATCGAATCCAAAAACTTCAAATAAAGCACTCACCATCTTGATGTGGTTGCCGAGCGGGGTGGTCCTCGATGTCGGGTGAGAAGTTTTGTCGCTTTTCTTTCGGTCGGCCGCTGGAACTTCGAGATCGCAAGTCTCGTTGTGGTGCGCTTTTTCGCTCTTGGCATTTCCTAGGGTTAACCCTTTAGCGAGCTCAAAGCGGACTAGGGCCGCTGCTGGTAAGGAAAGGCCACACCGCCCGGCAGTACAACTCACTACGGACAGGGCCACGTCTCGGCCTTCCGGAGACTGATTGACTAAGTTAAACGAAAAAACATAACTACATAGTACATCTTCAACAATGCTACCGAGCACTTATTTCACCTTAAGGGAGATTGTATCGGATCCTGACAGCTAAAATTGATCATGGCATAACTCTTTAAACAATTTATTCTATCAATTATATCTAATCTAATCTCCAACCTACGTCTAGAACACATTCTTCTGTTCTGGGACTAACGTGATCATCTTTCCCTTCTCTACCGCCGAGCGCAAGTTGTTCAGCACCAACAACTCCATATCCTTCTGTGTCTCATATGTCATAGTTCCAATGTGTGGCAATAGCATCACCTTGGGGTTATCCACCAACCCCTGCTCTACAACCGGCTCATTCTCGTAGACGTCCAAGCCAGCCGACAAGACCTACCCAACATTAGATATCTTGAACAAATGAAAACAACAAACGCTCCACTCACCTTTCCGGAATCCAAAGCAGCGACCAGCGCCTTTTCGTCAATCAGCGCACCACGAGCGGTGTTAACAATGACAATGCCGTCTTTCATCTTCTGGAACTCCTTCTCGCCAATAATATGACGGGTAGAGGCATTAAGGGCGAGGTTCAAACTAAGGACATCCGAGCTAGCCAGCAATTCATCAAACGACACGTATGTAGCATCTCCCTCGAGCTCGGGCGACAGTCGGGACCGGTTGTGATACTGGATCTTCATTCCGAAGGCCTTTGCGCGGTTGGCCATTTCCTTGGACAAGTCAGTTCATGTCCTGGCGCAATCAAAGCGTTCTCATCAGATACTTACCCTGCCGATGCCTCCCATTCCCAGAATTCCTAGCACCTTTCCTTGGGGATCACGGCCCAATGTAGCCTGACCCTGCCACTGGCCTGTAGTCCGACTGTCAGATACGTCACATCGTTTCAATTCCTTTCACACGGAGTAGGTACTTACCAGCCCGGAGAGCAGACAACGGCACATAGGCCTGTCGCAAGGCACCGATCATCAAGAAGATACCCACATCAGCTGTGGCATGATTAACAGCGACAGGTGTGCTGGACACCGCGATTCCTATATTGATCATTAACTCATCAATCAATCAATCATCTGTAGAAAAAAAAAGGTCTGCATACCTTTCTCTGTGCAACCCTTGACATCAATATTGTCATACCCGGCACCATTATGACAGATATACTTCAACGACTTGGGAAGAACAGCAAGTAACTCTGCATCAAAGGGACCCGTAAACTATGCGCGACTTAGCATGCACTTGCGTTCTGATCTTAAGTCATCACCATACCTTTGTAGAAGTGTTGGAGCGATAAATAACCAGAATATCATCATATTGACCCCCTTTGCAATTGCGGATAAAGTCCTCTCGAGTACCGCTGGGGAATTCCTATATCATAACCCGTCTAAATCAGCTGGATTCGGTCATGCTTCCCACTGAATAACTCCTACCTTGAGCGTCAGAATGGATGACAGCTCCTCCCACTCCTTGCGGGCATGAGTGATGTCGCCGATCAACAGAGCAGTAGGCATGATGTCAGAGTTGGAGCAAACGTGAGGTTTTGGTTATCCGGACTGTAAAAAGTAGAAGGGGTATATAGAGAGGAAGAAGGAGGAAAGATGGAAGAAGAAGAAAAGTAGACAAGAGGAGGAGGAATTCCAATTACTGGTCTTTTAAGAATATTCCAGTCATTAATCATGTTTCACTGATTGCTTGATTGATTGATTGTTGCCCCCCAATTCCGGTTGGCGTGGGGTGGCCCTTTCTCTGTATGTATTACCGTTATCATATCGGTATGCATGGATGTATTGGGGTACATGCATGTGCACTTTCATGGTAGGCTTTTCTACTAAACGCTTGCTCTATGAATGGCTTTGAATGCTACTTGGGAATCATGAAAAAGCAGCTACATCTGGCTTTAACTGAACCTCAAGCACTATGTGAAACTCGTCGGAAATCTTCGAAATATACACCCTGTATTACACGTACGTATCCAATGATTGCCCGTCGGTTATTGATAGCCTGGTTCAATAACCGACGCGGAGGAAATCCGTTCAACCCCACGTTGGGGCGGAGTCAATGGCCGACAAGAAAGTCATGCTGTGCATATAATAGCATTGTCAAAATGGCGGGCCTTCGCTCAACTCCAATTCCAATTCCAATACACCGAAAACACAAAAATGGCTACCGTTACTGATACCGGTGCCTGCCAGGCACTCGTCCTACACGGCGCAAAGGACCTACGAATGGTATTAGAATCCCAAAGCTACAAATAAGTAAAACTATACCTAATATTCTCACTAGGGAACGAAGCCCGTTACTGCCCCCACCGGCTCCGAAGTCCAAGTCGCCATCCGCGCTACTGGTCTCTGCGGATCAGACCTTCACTACTACAACCACGGTCGCAATGGCGACTTCGTTGTTCGCGAGCCCTTCTGCCTGGGCCATGAGTCCTCCGGCGTCGTAACCGCCGTCGGACCGGAAGCCACCACCCTGCAAGTTGGCGACCGGGTAGCACTTGAAGTCGGCCTGCCCTGCCGCAAGTGTGTCCTCTGCAAACAAGGCCGCTATAACATCTGCCCCGAAATGAAATTCCGGAGCAGTGCCAAAATCTTCCCCCATCTCGACGGCACCCTCATGGAACTCACCAACCACCCAGCTGAAATGTGCCACAAACTCCCCGATTCAGTGTCCTTCGCCGGAGGCGCTCTTGTCGAGCCCCTGGCTGTCTGCCTACATGCCGTCCGGCGCTCGCATCCCCCATCCAAGGAGGAGGTGCAACTGGCCGAGTCGCTGGGTGACCAGTCCGCGGCTTTGATCTTTGGCGCTGGCGCCATCGGTCTACTTTTGGCTGGTGCACTTGCAACAGCTGAGAACTTCTCGAACATTGTCGTGGCAGATATCGACCCGGCACGCTTGGCCATCGCCGAGTCGCTTAATCTCGGTCTCAAGACTGCCCTCATCCCCAAGGCGGACCCTACAAACCCGCCTCCGGCCAAGGATGCCCCTCACGCTGAACAAACTGCCTATGCCTTGCAAAACGCCCAGCGCGTTGCTGCTGCCTTGAAGGATACTATTGGCCTGACTTCCGGTTTCTCTCGTATCTATGAATGCACAGGCGTACCGGCCTGTGTGCAGGCAGGTATATACGCCGCTGCTCCAGGTTCAGTCCTGGTGCAGATCGGTATGGGAAACCCCATTCAGACTCTTCCTGTGGGTGCGGCAGCTCTGCGGGAGGTTGATGTTATCGGTGTTTTCCGGTATGATGGGCACGCGTACCCCGCTGCCATCGCATTGGTGGCAAGCGGCAAGTTCAACCGGGTTGAGGAGCTCGTTGTTACCCATCGGTTGCCATTAGAACAGGGAGAGAGGGCGTTTGCATTGGCCGGAAAGGGTATCGATGAGACTGGACGACCTGTCGTGAAGGTCGTCATCGAGAGCTAGGATCTTTTGGTCTTTTTTTATCTTTTATTACTTTCTGATTAATACCCGAGGTTTGACTTGAGAGGTCGGTGTGGGTTTTGTGGGGATAGAAAACTTATGAGATACCATGAAGAAACGGTGTACAGTAGATGAAATCTATCATGACAGGATTAGAGTGAGAGTATGGAGGACCGTATATGTACTGGCATCCTGGTGATGTTTTAAATAGAAAGAAAAAAATTCATTCTCACATACAGTAGAGGTACACAACTTGACACAGAGGGTATAAACCCTGCAGAATATAACCTTCAATTAAACTATGAATCATCGTGGAGTTCATAACTGGGTGTATGATATAATATATACTATTTCAAACCTCCCCCAAGCAACAGACTTTGACCAGTCATATAACCGGTCGTCACAAGCATCGTCACCACGTTGGCGACTTCATCTGGAAGGCCTAGTCGGCCCAGCGGAATACCTGCGGCAACCTCAGGAATGGCCGAGGCGCTGGGGATCATACCGGTTTCACCGATCATGGCAGGTGCAACATCATTGACGCTAATGTTGTATTCAGCTAGTCTGGTGGAAAGATTCTTCATCATACCCGTCATTCCACCTTTCGAAGCGGCGTAGTCTGTGTACAAGTTAGTGAACGTGGGCAACATCATTCTGAGTGAGAGTGATCACATACGACATCCATTAATCCCACCTCCCTGGCCGGCAATCGAGGACATGAATACTATCCGACCCCATCGCTGACTCTTCATGTGCTCCACCACGCCCTTCGCTAAGATAAACGAAGCACGTAGGTTCACATTGATTGTATAATCGAATTCTTCGAGGGAAATGTCCCATATCTGTGGGATACGCTTGCCGTATCCAGCATTGGAGACTAAGATGTCCGGTCGCTTGCCATGTTGTTGGTCGATCTCCTCAAACATACGTTGTATTTCGTCCGCCGAAGACACGTCCACCTTATGAATTGAAATCCGGAGACTGTAGCTGTCTGCGTGTTTGGATTTGAGTTCCTCGGCGAGTGCAGTTGTCGAAGACACATTCGTGGAATACGTCAAAGCCAGATGGACGCCTTTTGCAGCCAGCTGGCGAGCACAAGCTGCTCCAATCCTGAGCAATACTGAGTTAGATCGGTAATGGCCCGTAGTAAGTTGATCTAGACTACCTACCCTCCAGAGGCTCCAGTAATCAGGGCCAATCGGCCAGTGATGTCATTTTGTTGGCCCATTGTGCTGGTGTCCAAATATGTGTCTCCTGGTTTCGAAAGGAAACATTACAAGAACGACAGGAAGAGGTTATGCGGAGCTCCTTCGTCCCGCGCATAATATTCCAGCGGGTCGGAGAATAGTCCGAGAGGGACACACGGCGATCGGCTTCTGACCAAAAACCCCACATTCTCATCAGCCCCGCACCAGTAACGTGGGGGACAATGACAGTACGTTCCGTTTTGGTTCCATTCCGATCTTCTATTTGGCTGGTTGTCTTTTCTCAATAATGGGAAGATGACTTTTTGTTCCAGTCCCGGATAACCATGACTTAGACAACTAGAATAGGAGATTGGCCATATCTCCAGGCCAATTCGGCTGCCAGGCTTGTGAACGGTCTTGCCCTGCCTGATACGGATCGGGGTTCTGGAATGAATCGAACGCCAATGTGTTCGCTCCGGGTAATTGATCTCCCGAGACGTAGTCCCCAACTGCTTCAAGATCCAGCCACGAGAAATCGTTTGCTGGGCTGAATTGCATATAATTACTTTGCTCAGGCAAGCGATGGGGCATAGTGTTACTTTGCACCTGAAAATCACTGCTCTGATGTGTTCCAGCAGGGGAGGCAATTATCGCAGCCTTGGGCCTCCACAGCAGTTCCAGAAGCCGGGAATAACGTGAACCGATATCATCCAGCCCAGCACTTGCTCGTTTCAGTACGTCGGTTGTTCGTGTGACAAGATCGCGCACTTTTGTTTCCTCGCTACTTGGCATAACTCCAAACGATCGAGCCTTGAACTTGGATTAGCCCTGAGACAAGTTTTAGATGGAAGTAAAACAACCGCACCTTATATAGAAAAACAGCTGCATAAATTCCGTACAGATAGAACCTGAGAGGCATAAAGTGAAGATGTTTCTCTGGGTGTACCAAGTCAACAAGGATTGTCAAGTAAGCCTTAGCGGCATCCACAGATTCATAGATAAACCTGGCATCTTGCATTGATGCCACATCCTTGAATGTTGATCTCAGATGTTCCCTCTGTGACTGATCGTTCTTTAACTTCGACACCATTGATTGGGAGATCGCAGCCTGGAACGCGAAAGCATTAGTGTACAGCCTTAGATATTCGTATGAGAGTTGTAAAGTAGCTTGTATTGGCGTAGAACCTATAATATGTCAGTGATGGTTTGTTTGACTTGGGTCAGGGAAACCCTCAACTTACAGGACAGTGAGCCCCAGAGTGACTTCCATCGCAGAATCGCGAGACGAAAATCATCCACGTATTTTACATAGTCTCCCATAAGCATCATTTGGTTGCTAGTCCGCATGCCAGAGTAAAGGACGTCATGAACATTCCCATAAAGTTGTGTTAAATCCAAAGTCGCCTGGAATATTCTCGCGTAATCTTCATCTCCATCTTTGATGGGTTGTAAAGAAGGAAAATCTTGACTGACAAGGCCTGTCATTGGACCCGGTCCACGGGACCAGAAAGCTCGTCCGATACGGACAGATATTAACCGATCCGAAATGTAGCAGCTGGTCCATGCTAGCCTTCTGCGGGCCTCCGTCTCCGTATCTCCCGAGGGATCACCTCGGAAGGAGGTCCGATCCAAGCCTAGGAAATAACCTGACCGTAAGGCCAGACCAACATGCATCCATGCAGCTCGATCCTCCTCACCACGACCAACGCGCTCGATACGGGGACGAAGACCCTGTGGTTCCCATTCGGCAAGTAGGAGAAGGGCTTCCACAGCCTCTACGTCGCAATCGGCACCAGCAGCTATCCCTGAAATTAATTCGTGCATATATTTCGAACAATATTCATGGATCTCTGGTCGTTCGACTAAATCCTTCGATGCGATTGTAAGTACCGCAGTGAGCAGATATTTCTCATTTGTGGCGAAGGTATCTAGCGCACCGCGGTTAAAGTATTTCCGCGGCACCAAAGGGAGATACGGATGGAAATTTTCGGCGTATCGAACCACCAATTGCCATACTGTACCCGGGTCCAAGGACCGTGATTGCACTAGTCTGTAAGCCTTTATGCCACTGTTTGGTTGAAAGTCGGTTACAGTGCCATTTTGGAGAGCACTAAAGGAGAAGGCGCTGTGGGTTGTGCGCAGAGAATCAGGGTTCGTCTCAGGGGTAGGACCGTCATCACCTCTTTTGGCAATGCCTGTGAGGCACTGCCAAGCATCAGATGGATTCCGCGGGACCGATCCAATGGATGCCGTATCTTCATCATCTACCGATATTGATGTCGCCGTTGGGGGTTCAGGAGGCACAAAAACAACTGGACCGGGGTATGAGTTATTTGTGGACTGGCGATTGTCTGAAGTGGTTGGGCTGATCGATTCGACAACGGATTCCCGCCGGCCTGAAAGGGTTGTGTCTGGGGTGAAGTTCTTCATTTTGTTCTTGCGGATACGGCGACCTCCACGGTTTGAACTCCCCAGAATACATTCGCGACCATCTCGAAGACACCGCTGGCAAGGTGGTACTCCAGGATTGCCGTTACTATCTCTGTAGCCGTCAATTAGCTCAGTAGAAGGGAATACTGACTAAATAAAGCTAGTGACAATAATTGTCACAACTTCTCAATGAGTGAACTTACAAATCGCATTTCGACTTTCGCTGCCTGCAATGCAAACAGGCTCTCGACACGCGCTTCATCAAATGGTCCGAGCGAGGTTTCGGCCGCGTCGCCGGTGTGCTTTCCGGCTGCGAGGACTGCTCTTCTTGTTCCATTTTTGCCCTTCAGAGGAACATAAACAAAATGTTGGATGAGGAGGAGGACGGAGAGAAAGTTGTCCAACAAAATTAGAGGTAACACGTCAGAAGTGACATTTTCATGGACGCAGTGTTAAAGGCAGGTTTTGACAACGCGTCAAGGCTCGTAAATAGAACCCGGGTGCTACTCCCAGTAAACCAAGCAAGAAGCCAATTGAGACAGACTCAGATTAAAATAAACTGTAGGTTAGCGATTGGAAAATAGCTCCGCTGTTCTGGAGATCGACCGGTAAATTGTATTATCTTTGGGGTAATCTTGGAGGCGCTCGTGCTTTTCCCCACACAGAAGGTTTTTTCTGAATTGAGAATCCGTATTATGCAGCATGTATGGAATAAAGCATTACCCCCCTGGCCCTGTATTCCAAATCGTCGAGTCAACAGCCAAGATTGATCGGGATGTGTTCAATGCATGCATGGCTAACAGCTTGGAGTTACTAGTGACCCACGGTTAAAGCTACCTACCGTTGCGAGTGTTTCAATACCTTGGTTCCATACATACATACATCTGTATTATGGTTTGTACAGTATTAAGTGTCTAAGGAGCAACAACCCCTGATGAACTTCCTTCATAGACTAACCTGAGAGGGTTTGAAGTTATTTAGATGAAGACGATCATGAAATGCTTATTTTATCGTCTTTTTACTTATTTTCTTCATCAGAAACCCTTGAAGTTGCTTCCGCATTTCCTATTTGGCAACGGATTATATCGATTATAGTTAATTCGAGATTCGGAAGTAAATATATGTGACCTGATCTCTGTTGAAGGATCCCAGGAAGCAATTATAGTCAACAGATTCTTCTAGAGCCTCAATGGCCATGAGAGAGTTTACTTACCACCAGAGATCTATTCAATCCCTGTCGTCCATTGGGCTTTTGCTACGTGTTGCCTTATCTTTGACTGTAGAACACGCTGGAGTTTTGATATCTCCCATAGCAACTCGTGATATGCTAGCTGCCATATCTTAGTAGCTTTCACTTAATGGCTATTCCAATACCTACTAGTAGTTGACAGAATTATCGCCACTCCTGAAGCCTATGTATAGTGTGTTATAGGAAACCCACAACCTAGATCTAGTGTACCAAATGGTCCCGTAACGGTAATCATACGTGGCACGTGCTTTCTGAATGCTTGGCGAGGATGGTTCAATTACCGACTGCGGGGAATCGGCGTTTGATAACCGCTACGGCAATAGGAATATCCGTTTCAGGGAATGTCTCTACTGCCCCGCACGTGGGGGGACATTTATTATGAGTGGAAGAAATCATCGCAATGGCAACAAGAAGATTAAACAAATCTCTTTTATTAATTCCCGGGTGCTATCTTGATTCATCGCACTTGATGAAAAGCGAGAGCTAAAGGCGAAAAGCGGATCTTAACCTCATATCTTGGACTCTACTTGATACCACAACTATCACAATGTCGGCTTCACTCTTTTCGCTGAGCGGAAAGACCGCTATCGTTACAGGAGGAACGAGAGGAATTGGACAGGCAATGGCTTTTGCACTTGCAGAGGCTGGCGCTGATATCGTGCTGATTCAGGTACGTGCCCCCGTGACTATTTGACGACGTATGGTAGGCCACATTAGTTATATAGGATGCTGACATAGGAGTGATACCAGAGAGACGAATCCAACAGTTCCACCCGTGATGAGATCATTAACCGCATTGGCCGGAAAGCCTGGATTCATATAGCGGAGTTATCTAGTCGGGATGCAATTAAAGGGGTCATTCCGGCGTTAACTAGCCAAGGCCTGAAACCGGAGATTTTGCTAAACTGTGCCGGAATCCAAAGAAGGCATCCGAGCGAGCAATTCCCAGATGAGGACTGGGATGAGGTGAGCTTACCCCTTTCTCCACGGACCAAATGGTTTAGTTCCTTCCTGCCGAATGAAAAAAAATACTAATGGCGGTTGCTGGTTGCGTAGGTGATCCAAGTGAATCTGACATCCGTATTTACGCTATGCCGTGAATTTGGTGCCTACCTGTTGGCGCGAGATGCATCTGAGTTCCCTACTGGTCGTCGCGGATCTATTATCAATGTTGCTTCCCTCCTGTCGTTCCAGGGTGGCATCACTGTCCCTGCCTATGCAGCTTCCAAGGGAGGTATTTCCCAATTGACCAAGGCACTCTCGAATGAGTGGGTCGCCAAGGGCATTAACGTGAACGCTATCGCGCCCGGATACATTGCAACAGATATGAACACGGCTCTGATCAATGATGCGAATCGTAACGCAGGTATAATGGCCAGGATTCCGGCTGGGAGATGGGGCAGCCCCGATGACTTTAAGGGGGTGATCGTGTTCTTGGCTAGCCAGGCAAGCAGTTATGTCTCTGGAGAAGTTATCTGCGTCGACGGAGGTTGGATGGGACGGTAAACAAGCGTGGCAGAGAAAAGCTCCGTGTAGAATAGGGTTCACATGTACATATTTTCGGAGCCCAAGCTCCGAAGTCTTTTTAATGACTGATAGGCGATAGTTTCAACGTTAGAATCAAGAAAAAGATACCACTCCACCGTTCCTACACGCACACATTAGTTTCGATTGATATAATAGCTTGTCAGCCAGTGGTGTTGCCTTTGCTTCCGTTAGTCATGCCACGTTTTTAGCCATGTTCTGGATATATTGCTGGCATGAGCTAGGCTCCGAGTAATATCTCCCGATAAGTTCAGGTCCGAGCGTTTAGGGAAACTATTGAATCTCCAGTGCCTCTCGGAGTGGGTTAGCCTTATTTAGCCTTATACCGGCAAAGTCTTTAGGCAATGGAAATCGCTGGGATGGGCCTCCAATCTCAACGGCGTTCCTATTAGGTGAGAAAATTGTTCATTAATCGGGGCTGAATGGGAAAAATTCAGCCAAGTCGCCATAGTGGAAAAGCCCACCGTTGTCAAGACCAAAACCTGGGCAATAGCAGGGCAAAATAACATTAGCCAATATAGGGAATAGATTAAAAAGTCTTGGGACCCGTGACCACCATGTGACCGTTGCCCACTCCGCCCACCAACAAAGAATGGATCGTGAATGCAACCATTGTTTCATTCTGAAGGACCCAAAACTGTCTTGCCAGTCTTGGTTTGCAGGAGCGAACTGTTTTTTTCACGATGTGTACACTGTCCACCTTGGCTATTTTCTGCCTAACTTTGCCGGTGGGTCATCGATACTACCTACCGAGCAAGTTTTGGCCAATACAAAGCGCGGGTTCCCATTGACTTCGCGAAGCTGAAACGCACGCAATGCGCCTTCGTGATCAACTAGGTTCGAACACCTCACGGGAGGTGGCGAGACTCTTGGATCATAAAAGCTGCAAGCCATGGAAGTAGTGGCTGGATGCCTTTTACCTACTCAGCGGCTATAATCCACAGGTTATGCTATCGGTCGGATCCTATCAGCAAGGGTCCGTGGGCCAAATAGAGGACCCCATTCCTCGACGGTGAATGGATCAATTCGCCAAGTCGAAACACCGATCTCCTCATGGACTCCCTGCCGAAATAAGACCGTCCTTGACGCCTTCCTTAGCGCTGGGAAAAGAACCCTTCCTAAGACCACGCCACTCTCGATTGCTAAAAAAATTCAGTGGGCTAGTTATTGGTCCTTGTTTACCAACCAGTACCTTGCAAGCTCAGATCCGCAGTGGTCTCCGTGGTTTCCTTTTAAGGTGAAGATATTCCTAAATTGCAGCGCGGATCCTGATGTCAGGCAACTTTCTTTATCGGCTTCTAAACTCTACAATTCTTCTTTTTCGTCATTCTCTTTCCTATCACTCGATTTTTTGACGAATTCAGCTGGCTCTGATCGCATTTCAACACATTCTCTTGTCGTCTTCTGGCAATAACACTCTTCTACGTATTAAAATTGCTGGCAAGTTGGTCAGGGGCTTTTCCCCCTTTATCGTCTCCACCAACTGTTCACACTGCCGACATTTGGTCCGTTCGTATCGTAGCTGAAGAGCTTTGTCTTGGTCAATAGACACTCATTCGTTTCTCGTTCTTTTGAGATTTTTACTTAAAACATCCGCTCTTTATTTGTCGTTTGACGCTGAGCGTCTATTAGCCCCCCTTGCTGGATTTCTTGGATTAGACTATGCATGTAGGAGGGTGCGAGTAAGTAAATCTCGAAGGCTGGATAGCTGCTGGTGTCGACTGACCGTGCCTTAGATTTGAATTCACTGGAGATTCCAAAACATCTTTTGTCCAACTGAGATACAATCACCCTTGAAAGAAACGTTTCTTTCGATTGCGGACAATTCAATTGTTGGAAGCGATAGCCTGGTAACACCCGCGACTTATCACCAATATAAGGACATTGTTGCGTTCATTCGAGTGGCATTGTTTCTTATTACGGCAATTTGGTGATATTCCGTTGCTTTCATCATCAGTGAAGAGCCACTGCATTCCACTCGTTCCCCCGCCATCCAACATTCTTTATCACGTCATATTCCATACGAGATTAGATTCGGCCTTTTCACCGTCGGCAATCCTTTATCACCCCTTTGATTCACGCTCGTTTTATCTGAACTCATTATAGTATCCCAGCTTCAACGACCAGACTTTACTCTGGGCCATAGGCAGCCCCAACTTTCGATGGATGATCTTCGTCGGCACATCACCCCACGAGGCTTTGGGACCAATGCCACGTACGTCTACGAGTTCTCAAGAGGACTAGGTGGTGTCAATGTTCCCCGAGATGTCATTATCACGCGAATTATCTACGTATCCGTTCTCGCCCTGGCGTTTATTGTCTTCTGCGGTCGGTTTGCCCAAATAAGCCATGCTTACCTCCGCCATATCACCTCGTTGAACTCGAGCAAAAGACAACAGACATACTGGAGTGTCGAAGAGTCCGACACATGGACAAACATCAAGAAGCATCTGTTATATTCGCCTCTCGGCAGAAAAAGGCACAATCGAGAAATACAACTTTCCTCCGCCATAAACGTGGGCACCTTGCCGTCCAGATTCCAAACGATTCTGATCCTACTGTATGTTGCAAGTCAAGTCGCGTATTGCACTATACTTGACTATCGCGTGAATGAGAAAAAGGCCCTTGTTGCTGAGCTTCGTGGTCGATCGGGAACGTTGGCTGTGTTGAATATGGTCCCGCTTTTCCTCCTTGCAGGACGTAACAACCCGCTGATCGCAATCCTGCACATAAGTTTTGACACATACAATTGTCTTCACCGATGGTTAGGCCGCATTGTTGTGATTGAAAGTGTGGTGCACACAGTAGCTTGGGCAGTCAATGCAGCCGATGAAGTAAGCGTCTCAGACATGCTAAAGCGCCTATGTAATGAGCCTTTCTTTACTTGGGGCTTGGTTGGAACTATTGCGTTGGTCTTCCTCGCACTTCACTCACCTTCACCAGTCCGGCATGCTTTTTATGAAACCTTCCTCCATCTCCACCAGCTTGCTGCTTTGTTGGCTTATGTTGGTGTGTGGCTTCACCTGGATCTCGATGGCCTACCTCAGAAACCTTGGGCCATAGCAATCGCCGCCATCTGGATCTTCGATCGGGCAGCTAGATTTTCCAGGCTGTTATACCTTAACATCTCACCCAGGAAAGGAGCCACCAAACTTGTCGTCCAGGCTCTCCCAGGTGAGGCCTGCAAGGTGACGTTTCACTTGCCCAAGCACGTTCACATTAACCCCGGGAGCCACGTGTATACTTACATCCCAAGCGTCTCCTTGTGGATGTCCCATCCGTTCTCAGTTGCTTGGGTTGATCCCTGCAGCTCTGTAACGAATGCAGCAGAACCGGAAAAGTTTGCCAAAAGCCCAACTTCTACCGGAAGCATGAGCCCATCACTCCTTGAGAAACAACCTGTGGTTGATCTAGACGACTACATGAGAGAAAGTCAAGAACCAACATCCGTCTCTCTTATCGTGAGTGCTCGCCAAGGTATGACGAGAAAGCTATACAACAAAGCCCTCATTGCGCCCAATCAAATACTACACCTCTCAGGATATATCGAAGGACCGTACAGATCGCACGTCTCTAACATGGGCAGCTATGGAACCGCTGTACTCTTCTCTGCCGGTGCAGGTATCACCCACCATATGCTGTACGTCCGCGACCTGATCATCCGCGCATCCGAAGGCCGTGTAGCAACGCAAAAAGTCTACCTCGTCTGGTCCGTCCGTAGCACAGAGCATCTCGCCTGGGTGCAAGAGTGGATGGATGAGATCCTCCGCCTCCCCGGTCGCCGTGATATACTGACAATCAAGCTCTTCGTCTCGAAACCAAAGAGCAGCCGTGAGATCGTTTCACCCAGCGCCACCGTCCAAATGTTCCCAGGTCGATGTCGTCCCCATGTCGTCCTGGATGAGGTCATCCCCAACCGCGTCGGAGCCACCATCGTTTCCGTTTGTGGACCGGGTGCATTCGCAGACGAGGTTCGTGCTGCTGCCCGAGATAACATCGGCAAGGGCGCGGTCGTGGATTTCGTCGAGGAGGCGTTTACATGGTAGCACTGTCTCGTCTACCTTACAACTGCTCCATATCAACATTTGTCTTCTTGTTTAAAATTTTGTCTGTAGAATATTTTTCATCGTAATCTCTACCCTCCTGTCTGTCTACCTTGTACCAGACACCTAGGCGTCTCGGTCGTGGTCTGTACTTCTGAAAATACAACGGATGCTTTGAACATTTATTGAAAGAAACCCTTATATAGAACAGTCGAGACTTGACTCTCTCTCACCACCTTGAGAAATCAAAGACCAATTCAAGTCAGAAAGACGAAGTGTCTCCACAAAATCGACACACAAACATAAAACAACGAAAAGAAATATAGGTTTATTGCGATATTGCATTAGATTTGAGATGTAATATGTAATATGTACTATGGCTATAGTTGCCTTCTAGCCATGTATATGCAAGTCTAACAAAGAGGGGAGTAAACCACCCATGTATCCAATTAAAGCAAGAACACAACAAACAGTCCAAGCCCAAGGCAAGGAAATTGGATATATCGTACAAAAGCATGTACAAAGAACCAAAAGAAAAGAAAAGAAAAGAAAAGCAGAAATATAGAGAACATCAAACGTGATATGGTATATACGTTAAATCAGAACTCATGGTTCATAACCAGAGGAACACAAGGAAACATCGACTCTATATATCGAGACATCAGAAACCCAACAATTGATATATACCAGAACGATATAACAAGAATAAAAGAGGAGATATTATAACAAGAAACTCAAAAAAAGGAACCAAATTCAGGATCCAGTTTTAGTTCTTAGACCGCGAGCCCTTAGGCACACGGGCAAGCCAGTAAATGAACACCGCGGCGGCGATGTTGAAGACAATGAAGGCCCACATGATACCGAAGTTGCGCCACCGGTCCTCGTAGTAACTGCTAACCGCAGACAAGAAGGTGTCTGTACTTGAGATCTGGCAGAAGGAGCAGGAATCGGTGGCATTGTTGTTTTCCAGGTAGCCGCCGACGGATCCGATGTAATCGCTCATGTAGTTGTAACAGGTGGTGTTGGGTGGCGGGGTGAGGTGCAGGAATTCGACCTTTTCGCAGACGGCGGTGCTACGACCGACACCTGTTGAGAGCATTCCCGATACTAGGTATGTGAATGGGGAAACGCGGTACATGAAGATCCAAAACCCGGGGAGGGTTTCGGGGGTGGCGAGGACACCACAGAAGATCAGACACAGGGAGAAGAGCAAGTTTGCAAGATTGCCACCTGTCTCAGCGAGCTCGATACCAGCGATCATCATGTGCGCGAAGGTAGAGGTAAACAGGAGGAAGGAGAGAATAAGCAGCCACATAAGGGCTCCACGCTCATGGACACTGTCGGTGGCTTCAGCATTGCGATAGAGACCAATTGGGTAGTACCAGCAAACAAAGATAATGACACTCATAAGAGCATTCCAGGGGAGCTCAACCAAGATGTTGGCTGTCATGAATGCTTTCCAGGAGTATGCCTTGGAAGGTCTTTCACGAGCCTCGTAGAGGGCACGTTGAGTAACAAAGTTGGGCATAATTTGTTGAACAAGATTACCGAAGATAGTCATCAACATGAAGATACTGAACATCTGGTTTTGGAGACCCTGTCTGCTGTTTTCTGCGTGGAAAAAGGAGAAACCGATGTAGAGAGATGTTAGAATGCAGAGAGTTGCCTTGGAGTAGATGTAGACTGGTGTCCGCCAGTACTGGGAGAACACGCGGACCAGACACTCGTACAACTGGACACTAAAGGGTGCGGCGAACTCGTTGAAGCTATTTTCGTCGCTGTGAGAATGATCAACTGACTTCTGTGAAAGTGTAGATTTCAGCTCTGCAAGGTGATTGCGGACAGCTTCACGCTCAGGACTCTCACGCCACACGGCAGGCCAGTCAATATCACTGTGTGATCCGGGAGCGGCACCAATGACTTCAAGCATCCATTCAGCCGGGTTCGCCTCGAGAGGGAGTTTCGGGGCACCGTTTCGTTCGAAATAGCTCGCGAGAGTAGAGGATTTGTCTCCAATTTCACCGAAATACACGGTCTTACCACCTCTGGCCAGGAAGAGTAGACGGTCAAAGCGCTGGAAGAGCATAGCGGAAGGCTGATGAATGGTGCAAAGAATAGCTTGACCATGCTTAGTCAAGGTATCAATAAGATCAAGAATAGACCAGGAAGTTTGACTGTCCAGACCGGACGTGGGCTCGTCGAGGAACAGAAGCAGCTGGGGTTTGGCAGCCAATTCAACACCGATGGTCAGACGTTTCCGCTGTTCGACATTTAGACCTGTACAGTGTTAGACATGAACGAAGTATAGGAATGCACGGAAAGTAAGAGGATATCGGCAGAGTGACGGGAATTTACCTTCACCAGGAACACCAACGACCGCATCTGCGTACGCTTCCATTCCAAGCAGTTTAATAACCTCTTCGACATAATCGAGCTTTTCCTGACGGCTAACATGTGCAGGCTGGCGAAGGATAGCACTGAATCTCAAGGCCTCACGCACAGTGGTGGTATGAAGGTGAAGATCTTGTTGCTGAACATAACCCGTCTTTCGCTGGAAGGATTGATCGCGCAGACGGCCATCGACCAGCATCTCACCACTTACCACACCCATTGTCACACGAGTAGCAAGTACATCCAGGAGCGTTGTTTTACCAGCACCGGACACACCCTATAGAACAACGTAAGCAACAGAAGAAAAATATAACGAGGTCGCGACTGTAAGCTTACCATGAGAGCGGTACAAGTACCGGGCTTGACCCAGCCATCGACATGATCGAGAATGCGCCGAGGTTCACTCTTGATCTTAATGTCGTAACACACATCCTGCCAGTGGAAAATGGCCTCTTGCCTCTGAATCGCAGCACCTGCGCCGGCATTGGAATCGTTCGTCTTCTCAGTGGCGGATACGTCGTTGTGGGTCTCAACATCAGCCGCACCACGAGAATAATGACCACGGCGGAAGAGCAGAACTTCACCCTTGGACTTAGCCTCCGAAATGAACTCAGTAGCAGTCAAATAGGTGATCATAAAAAACACCATGAAGGCAAACATGATACCCAGGTTTCTCCACTTGTGGCTCTGATAGTATTGGAAACTCTGATGGAGGTAGTCGTCGCCGTAAACATATTCAGAACCAGCAACAGCACCGACTGTAGAGCAAATCTTATACTCCAGAGAGACATCATTGTAGCTTGGGACAAGCTCGGCGGCAGAGCATTTCCATTTGGTGTTGTGAAATTCATTGACCATTAAGCTTTCGAAGCCATAGGCAATGGGATCAAGGTAGTTCATCCATCGCGACCAACCAAGCATGTTCCGAGTAGGGATGGTGAAACCGGTATAAATAACCAGACCCAGAATAAGAATGGCGGCAGGCACCAAAGCTTGAGAGAGGGTCCTGGAAGAAGCGGCTATCGTACGGAAAAGCATGGACATGGTCATAGTAGTCACGAACGTAAACAGAAGAAACACGAAGAATGGACCCGGTTCACGGCGAAGATTTGTCATGAAATAAAGGGTGATGTTGAATGTTATTGCATTTGTGATTTTGTAGGGCATGTCACAAAGCATAGATGCGATAGCTTCGGCGAATGGATGATACATAGCGTAACGGGCCTGTTTCTCAACAATGGGACGTTGTGCGTACAGAGTCAAGATCTATGCGGCGAACTGATTAGTGTTGTCTTAAAGCTAATGAGGGGAAATAACTGCACGTACCTCGAGCGCACTGGAAAATGCGTTCAGCAACACAGCAAAGAAAAGTAAAGCGCCACGCGAATAGAAACTCGACGTATCATGTTTCAGATTATAGAAAACACTTCCAATAATCAAGGCCATAATGAAATTTCCAATCAATTGACTCATGGTCAAACTGGAATCACCCTTAAGACGTTGAAACCCGCGGATCATGCAGAGTCTGACCTGTTCGTAGATGGAAACTGTATACGGAGACCCCACGCGCCTGCAGGAAGATACGATTAGCACCCAGAGAGATTTCTTGCATCTTGCCAATGAACTTACTGGTTTTTCGCCTGCATGGCTCTGCGGGACTCAACGAATTTCTTAACTGATTCACCACCCAGTGGGAACTCCCGGTTGTATTCTTCAATTTCCCCGATCAATTTCGCATATGCCTCGCTGTTCTTCCAGGCGGCAGCGAATTCATCTGGGGTCCGTGGAACCTTGCCCTCGTAGCCCTTCTTCACAATACGTTCAGATGGACTGGTAAGGGAGGTAAGGAAATCGGCAGTCGTTTGTCGCTCCGGACATTCGAATCCCATGTTAGTGAAAAATTCCTTTGCTTCATCTGTGCGACCAAAGTAGATCTGTCTGCCTTCATACAAAACAGTTACTTTGTCGAAGACATCGTAAGCGCTCTGAGAAGCCTGGTAGATAGCCACTGCAACTGTGGCACCAGCATATTTTGTCATCAGATTCAGGGTCTTGCAGAACTCCAAGGCGTTTGCACTATCCAGACCACGGGTACTGTTATCCCAACACTGGAGAGGACTGCCGCTGAGAGTCGCCTCTGCAATACTGACACGCTTTCTCTCACCACCACTGACGCCACGGACAAAGTCATTACCGACTCTTGTGTTAATGGTATGCGTAAGACCAAGCATGGCCATCACAACATCGCGCATGTGCTCGGCGTATTGCTCTCTCGAGACGCCGGGGAACCGATTCCGTGGACAACGGGTAAGTGCAGCGAATTTTAGAGTGTCACCAACAGACAGCTGAGGAAAGTGAACATCGGTTTCGGCGTTATAGATAGCTTCACCACGGAACTGTCTCCGCATTTGTTTTGCGGGAATACCCTGGTAGTTTAATTCGGAATTATCGTCCATATAGATACCGTTCATCTCACCAGCGAGTGTTTTCAAGAAAGTCGAGCATCCGCTTTTTCATTGATTAGCATGCTACAATCCTATTAGTAGTGGAGAGAATCCTTACCTTCCAGGTCGTCCCAGCACGACCAACATCTCACCGCTCTTCACAAGGCCGTCAAAGTCACGCAGAATCTGAATCTTCTGCTTACCTGTGCCAGTGACTGCACGGAACAGGGCACCAACTTGAAGGACCATGTTGAACACATCCTTTTGGTAATCCGTCGGACTTCCATAACCGTGAACACTGAGGTTGCGGAACGAGATACCGGCTTCACGCCTGGGGTGTCTTTCCGGATCACGAGACGTAAGGGCTAACAGGTTCTTCATCCAGTTCTTTGCCTTGAAGTTGGGGCCAAGAGGGTTCAAAGTGGAATCCTCCTTGGTTTCCAAGAATGGGTTCTCCACATTCTGGCTGACAGAGAATCTCGTCGATTGGCGGGTCAGATGCTGTGCCAGGCGTGTAACCTCCGCTTCTGCGATCTGCTCATCGTATTTGGATGCATCTTTGTCTAGTTTGTCCAAAGCGGTATCGGACGTTCTTGCGCTGTCGTTTTCCTCGAAGATAGCCAATGGCTCCCCTCCGGTCACAGGAGCTGCGCCCTCAGCTTCACCTTGAGCGCCGACTGTTCGGGCGGGGTTGAGATTAGGGTTTATAGTCCCCAGAAGAGACATGGTGGTAAGAAGGTAGAGGCGTCCAGCCTCGAGGTAGTATTAAGAGGTACTAAAAAGGGAATGCAAACGACCGTGCAGGGGTATAAGGGGTATATTAGAGTATATATATTATTATTATAAGAGTTCGTCCATGTGTTCAGATCTGTAAAAGAGAAGAACGTAGATAATCAGGGGGAAGGAGGAGGGGACCATCTAATAATAAAGGCCCCTAACGCCTTCATACTAGCTACGGTAAACTCCGTATTTGTTTCTTATTTCCGTTCCAGACGAAGAAAAGGTAATCTAATGAAAAGACTATGAAGATCAAAGTCTGGGCCACTCGTCAAATTTAACTCCAACAAATGAGAATGAAGAGTTGAAACGAGCAAGCGAATCGGGTCCTGGAAATTTAGGCGTCCGGACCCATCGACAATACAGCAAAGCCGAGTATTTCTCTCCCGCTGCGTACAATACAACCGGGTCACAGGATAAGCGAATCCCGTTCTTATTCTAGTAATAAAAGCAGATATCATGCATTCATTGGGTCACCACTGGTCAGCTCTGTTTGACGTTTACGGGGCGTGTCCCTGAAAAAGCTACGAGCTTTTCCGCTTAAGGCTGACTCGATCCATGTGTCTGAGAACAGATTGCCTGATGACTCATGTCTACTCTGTAGGCAGTCATCGATAGTCATCATGACTCCGGAAGCACCTTAAAGGTTAAAACTTATAATACGCAGGTTATTGGCGATCCCGCGTATGTAGGACAACACACCAGGTGAGGCTCAATATCAAGTTACATAGGTTACACCGACATTGATCACACAATTAATTGTGCTTTAAAAGCAATTAAAAAAAAGACTTGCACTTAGTTGGGTTACACCATGAGCTTGGTATGCCCATAAGTTGAGAAGACATGCAGTGTGGAACATCTCGTAAGATTCGTATTCCCGTATACATTGTCGCCAAGAAAGGCAAATGATGGCCAGAAAAATTCTCTGTTGCACAAAAACGTGGCAATATAGATTTTCCCGAGCTTGAAACCTGGTGCATTGACCTCAAGTAGTTTAGTCTCTGTGGGAAGTGGGGCGGGAACTGCAAAATCCGTTGTCCGGGTTCTTCGCCTCCTTTACGGTACAGTATCGGGTGCGCCAGATCCGAGATCCTTCTACGGAGTATTTATCTGTTATTTTCCTATTCTAGCTGCATTCCGTGCTGAATTCCAGCGGTTGCCCCTTTCGGACAGCTGAGGTAAGCTCCGATAACCTAAAGGTGATGCTCTCAGATGTACTACTACTACTAGTAGTGTCTATTGTATGCACTCTCTGCACCAACCCCCAAGGTTTTCCTGTCGACGGAGGATATCCTCCCCACATATTTATCCCTCGGGCCCTCGGTTGAATGGATAACATTCAGACAAGTTAGATCCATCTGAAGTCCGAAATTTCTTTAGAGTTGGATAAGAACCTGGTCATGGCGCACCTATCTAGATCTGGATAATGATCACGCCTCGGGTGACCACACTACCGGATAAATTGTACCCTCAATCACAGCTTATTTCTACTACCGTTAATCTGGAGATAGAGTGGAGTTAAGGCATCCATAACATAGTCTACGTATCAACTTGTGCCTAATCGATGTTACCTAATTGGGATCAGGCTTTACTTCACTAACTAGACCACGGTTACGCTTATCAAAGTCTAGAAGTTCTGTATCTCGGGATCTGTCACATCCGGGCCTTGTGTACATCGCCAACTGGCATACATCACAATAGTATACATCACAATAGTATACGTAACATACAACGACAGCAGTGGTCCAGATTAAGCCTAAATATACAGGGCATATGCAAGCATATACAAGTGGAGGCCTCGGGCTCTCTCAGGTACAGTGAGAATAAGACTAATACACGGCTGTTGAGCTGATATATTACAAGGGCTTATGCTGAGGATTCAACTTTCAAATAGGGCTTGTCCCCCTTATGACCGACAGTGGTAGTGTTGAGGGGTATTCTCCAGTTGAACTAAGGCTCGTCCCGTACCCAGGCTAGCACACCATCTTATCAACTGTATTGTCACATCGGCTCAACTTACTGCGTACATAGTATATACCGCAAGACAGACCTTTCAGTGGCAATATCTTACCGCTTATGCGATTCTAGACTCGAAGTTCATAGAACCCGGGAATATATATGTTTGTCCGTCTCGTGTTTTTGGTAGATCTTGATCTGTTCTATCTGCATATTCCGTAAACGTCTCGTTCCACGCTCAAGAATGAGAGGATGTTAAATGTGTCCTCATTAGCCCACCAAACAAGGCCACCCCTCTACACATTGTCTGGTACCCAGAGTCGTTCATCTAAGAAGATTGCTGACAGCCAAGGCTGCTGCACATGACGACCTCTCTGCGGGCAAAGATCTTGTCCTCATTAAAAACAAATGGTGCAGTGGAAGTAAATTTTGCTGTTGTGATGGCGTATCTAGTAGGTATTGGCAATCCAACCGGTTGGTTCCTAAAGTCCTCGGGCTCTAAATATTGTGTATAAAGTATGTGGTTTCCATATACTAAATACCGTGTAGTTGTTGAATATATCTAAATTATCCTGCATAATAACGATATCAAGACCACAAGGCCACCAACAGCCCACCATTTCTGGAAAGTGCGCATGTAGTCTTCCAGGCCTATAGGTCAAGGTCCAGCAGCAGCTTTCGTTTGATCTTCTACGGGCATATCGACCTTGCCTCCCTTGTATTATAAAGAGAAGCTACAACCAATTATTTTGTTTACCGACTTAGGAAACTTGAACAGCCCAAACGTCCGTATCAAAGACGCCAGTACGCTTATCTTGCAACTTGGTGGGAATGCGGTTCTCCTCGTTGCCTTTGTTCACGGTATAGTCCAAACGTGAGGGAAGGAAGCTCTGTCCTTGGAGGGTGTACGGCCATGGAGGTCGGCGCAAGAATGATCAATTCTTGTGAATTCTGGTGGTAATAGGCGGGGAGCCGCCGCCTAGCATTTATCAATGCTAGGTAATCGCAGTGCCACTCCAGGAACACCGCTGCATGCAAGTGCGAAGGAGCAGATCCTCAAACGACCACTCCAGCGCAATACGATGCGCATGCTCCCCGGGCTCCTATCCATGAGAATATTTATGCTTGGTATGTATCTTGATCTTCTTGTCCCTCTCCAAGAGTTAAGTGGGTCTAGCTTTCAGCGACAAACGTCAACCCGGATGCCGGTTTGGTACCAAGGCGAAGCCTTTCTTGGAAGATGTTATGTTTTACAGATGTAGGGAACATCGTGGATCCAACATGCTCGATATTGTTCGTGATCATTATCGTATCAAATTTGAAAGAGACTAGTTAAACAGGTCTAGTTTGACTCCATGAATTGCCCTCGGCTAGTTTGCATACAGTACAAGTACAGCCCATAGTGAGATCTACGACTCTTCTTCTTCCTCGTCACTTTCGTCGTCGATCGGTTCGACAAGGAGATTGCCTCCTCGACCGATCTTGTCTCGGATGGTCCCTCCGGCACCGACTTCATATACAACCCGGGGCATAGGGGAAACGAGTCGAAACCAGTACTGGTGCTCAAACCCAACTGGCTTCTCGATATCCGTGGGTTTCTCGTGGGTCTCTTGCAGGATATCATAGCACTCAACGTATGCATACAGTTCTTCAAGGTCAGCTTCTGGCGCGAACTTCCGAATCACACGTTCGCCTGAAGGCAGTCGAATGCTAACACGAACGGCATCTTTGACATCCGCGCTCGGTTCGTCTGGGATAGCCTGTGCCCGCCAACGCTTCCACTGCTGAAGATCGTGGAGCCGCTTCTCCTCCGCGGCTTGGCGTTCGGCAGCCTCTTGTTCCTCCCGTTGTCTAACTGCCTCGGCTTCCCGTCTTTGTCTCGCTCGCTCTCGATCAATGGCCAAAGAACGTTCGTAGGCGGAGTCTTGTTGCTCCCGTAGACTGCGAGAAGCCTGTTGCTCGGCACGAGTGGCCCCGATCCTCTCTAGAGGCTCTTTGTGCTGTGAAATAGCGGCTCGAAGTTTCTCAGTAAATTCTGATGGCGACGTAGCTCCGGATATTCTAGAGACGACGGACATTGCCGTCGAGGATACATTGGGAGTGTGAACAATGGCAGCTGCAAAGGGGAACTTGGTGCACCGGAGAGAGTTTGCGACCTGGTATGCCTCCGAATCTTGCACATTACCTCCCCAAACAATGACGTCGTTTTGCGGGTCATTGACAAAATCGATGGCCTCCCGGGACAAGAGGGTGTCCCGGACCCAACCGTTCGTGTCATCATGCTCAGGAGCCAGGAGAACCACGAGAAGAAATTTGAGGTCACGATGGGCTTTTTCTAGAGCCATATTGTATCCATTCTCCAAGAAAGGCAGTGTGTTGGCACCGTATTCCTCCTCGAACTCTCGAATGAACCTGGCGGCCGTGTCTTTGGGCCCCAGCGGACGGCGTCCATTGGTGTTCCGTTGCGTACCGTGAAGAGCTGAGCTGGCCGTTGTATTGAAGAAACGGGGAAGGAAAGGGAACAGAGTTCCAAACAGGCGGAAGGAACTGTAAAGTAATCGGTATAGAAGATTGATCGGGGTGAACAGAAGAGCTAGTAGGAAAGGTGGACGATAAACCGGTTGTCCTTCTGGTTGAGTCTCAACTCGGGGAGCAGGATCGGCGGCACGCACAGCCGAGGAGAAATTTGCGGTGAGGTCATCTGTCATGAGATTTTGGGTTTGACGACTAGGTCGAGGAGGAGGGGTATTGAGAGCTGCACGGGCTTCTTCGACTGGGTCTGGACCTTCCCCATCGAAAAACTTCGAGATAGCGATCTTCGGTTTGATCGGTTAGCCACCGCTATCACTCAACCAACTTGTTACATATGAGATCGGCCATACCTGCACATTCCATTGTGAACGACGCAACAAGGGAATAGCTTCCGACGGCTCCTGACCCGTTACAGCTATGTAGGTGTCTAGAGCAGACCTTTCGCTGTCGGAGAGCTGGGAGATATCAAGCCCCGAAGAGGTCATTGTCAACCAATGGCTCGATCCATACAATTAAAGGAATCGCTGTCGCAAGAGGCTTGTCGGGATGAACGGAGAGGTCCTAGTAGCTAATGGCGTTGGCCGTAACAGCGACACAGGGAATAAGCCTGAAGATATTTTGAATACAAAATGATTGAATAAAAGACTCTTCAAAGGAAAAGGCGCCAGGAAGCCCAAAGACACAAGAAATACCAGGGTAGTGACTACTGGTCAACGTCGATGACTTAGCTGTCCTCTTACTAGAGCTCCGTCATCGCCGCCTCGAGTTTAGCGGTAGACGCGCGCTTGGTGACAGCACATGGTCCGTGCACAGGCCATTCCGGAGTTGGACGCTCACAGACCATCTCATTCCATTCCCTCTCTCGCCTTCCCCTCTCCCCGCAGGCCCTTTTATCCCCATGTCGCCTCGCGAAACCCTCTTCAACCCATCCGTGGCATGAAGACGGCGTTATGTTCCTAGTCTTCGGGTGGTGATTCATCGGCTCTTTTTGTTAGATTGTATATTCCCTCGCGTTGAGGGCGGCGCAATTTGGAAATACGTATCCGTCTTTGGCTTGTTGCAAATTGCCCTAGCAAAACCCTTTGTTCAAGGGCGTGACGCAAGTGTCACCCACTGGTTGGATTAGGCTGCAATTTCATTCAGTAGAGGAATGTGGTTTCCTCTAGATATACTTGGTCGTCCGGTTTTTCTTTGTTCTGAGTCAATGGATATCGTTTTACGTTGATCCCCCACCGAATCGTGGATTGAGATACAATGGCTTCCGCAGGGAAGCCTGCCCTGGATGACTCCCGCCGGGCGACGGGATCGCCTAAAATGAAGGCACGAGGTTAGTCCGACATGCATTTGGATTCACAATGCGGGGAATTTTAGTTGACCTGACACGATGTGTTGCTGTCTTGGTAGAGAATGCGAAAGATACCCTATGTCGAAATGTGACCATATATGGTCGTTGTCGATATGAAGATAAAGGTGCCGCGATAATCCCTTAGCCCATTGCCGCATGTATCATCATTACGAACTTCATCTGACCTTGGCATTTATTCCCGAAAGGATGCGCCTTCAATCATGACCCGCATAAAGTGAATACAACATATCAATCCGACAGGTTGGCATACCCGGGCAGCGAACTGAACTTCTCTGCATGAAAAGTTCAGCTTCGACGTGTAGTGACAATGACTTACGTGGATTGTACCAGTAGCAACAACAGTAGAAGACGGTTGAACGTCGACTCCCCGAGCTTTACACCCTCCCTACTATCCTCCAACGGCTCTTCGCCAACTACAGCTTCAGTTACAGCGAAGAAAGCTGCAACAATATCCCCCAAGGCTGCCAATGCAGCTCCGTTCCAACCAAGGAATATAACTTCACGTATGTCAAGATGACCCTTCACTTACTGGTGCACCATTGCCCACTGACTCAAAGCAGGATCCAATACCAGCACCCCGTCGGGCCGTGCTGAAACAATGACGCCAGACTGGTCTGTGGCTGAAGTGCAGGAATTTGTGCCTCAAGGCTTCGATACCACCCACATGGTAAGGCTGCACCTGCCCAGTGAAAATGCAAACAAAAAACCGAAAATAAAATAAAATTCCCTTATCCATGCCATTCACTCTGCTGCCTTTTTAACCCCGCACCCTACCACTCTGTCTACTTAAGAATTCCTGTCGACAGAGTTACCGAGACTATCGGTAGTTGGCATCCTGCATTTGTTAGATTAGGCAACTCTATTGCTATCAAGATGCAGGGCGTTTGGACGGACTGCGGCTACATGCCTGCGGCCCTCTATACCTCTCCCATTTGTCAATTTTCACCACAGTCCCATTCCATGACGCCCTCTACGGGCCCTTCTCCTTATACCTCGACTAACGCATGTCCTCAGGCCTCCCTCCAAGGGAATAGTAACGGTGGCGTTCCTACGACGAGCCCATTTGATCCTTTTGTGACAGCTTCGAACCCCCTTTCCGCTGCGAGTGCGGTCGGACCAGTCCAGGCAAACCCTTTTGCACATGATACTGCGGCTGCTGCCGCTGCGCTGGGCGGCGCCTTTTTCGCCGGACAGTCTGGCTTCCAACAACCAGTAGGTCTCCAGCCACTTGAAACTATGGGCTTGTCTTACGTTATCATCCTTATTGCAGGTCCAGTACCATTTGTATGCACCTATTGGCCCTCATAGCCAAAACACTCTGGGTTACCAACGGAATGTCCATGATCTTTTCCTTCCCAATGACTTCCGAGAGGAATTGCAGAAGAAAGCCGCAGCTACACTACAAACCTTGCCAAGTATATTGATTCCATTCATGAGCCATATCCAACGGAACTGACTAGAAGCCAGATACCCAACTACCCGCTCAAGTCGATTACTTCCATTCCCTTGTCCCATTGGACCTAAATCACCAGAAGAACGCAACCATTTTTGGCTTCCCCAGTTGGGTATACAAAGCGCAGTCCGGCAAAGATGGTAATTTCTATGCTCTTCGAAGACTAGAAGGTGAGCTCCTCTTTTATTGTTTTTATGAAAAGTTCCCAGCTGACTCGCCCCCAAGGCTTTCGCTTGACAAACGAGAAAGCGATCCGATCGGTTCAGGCGTGGAAACGAGTTTGTAATGGAAGCGTTGTAACAGTCCACGATGCGTTTACCAGCAGGAGCTTCCAAGACAGCTCGCTGATCTTTGTCACTGACTACCACCCTCTCTCCAAAACACTTGCTGAACAACACCTGGGTACTGGGAATAGGTTCCAAGGTCGGCATACTACGCATATTCCGGAGCAGGTCCTGTGGGGTTATATGACCCAGATCGCAAACGGCCTCAAGGCCATCCACAGCAACGGACTTGCCGCAAGGATTCTTGATCCCAGTAAAGTTCTAGTCACCGGCAAAAACCGCATTCGCCTGAACGCCTGTGCTATCATGGATGTGGTCCAGTATGATACCCAGCGGTCAATCGCGGACCTCCAACGCCAGGATCTGGTTAATTTCGGGCAACTCATTGTGACTTTGGGCGCCAATACTCCCAGTGTCATGCATAACCCCACCAAAGCCATGGAGCATTTCACCCGTGCTTACAGCCCACAACTCAAAAACTCGGTGTTCTGGTTACTAAATGGACTGCAAAAGGATCAAGACCGAAATGTTGACATCTTCATAACTGGCATTTCTTCACAATTAATGTCAACATTCGACTCCGCGCTTCATCTGGACGATGAATTGACGTCGGATTTGAGCCAGGAACTTGAGAATGGCCGTTTGGTCCGTCTGGTGACCAAGTTGAACTTCGTCAACGAGCGGCCGGAGTATGAGCACGACCGGCAGTGGTCGGAGAATGGGGAGCGATACTTCCTCAAGATGTTCCGCGACTACGTTTTCCATCAAGTCGATGCTCAGGGTGACCCGGTCGTTGACCTTGGTCATGTGCTTTCCTGTCTGAATAAGTTGGATGCGGGCACAGATGAGAAAATCACCTTGGTGAGTCGCGATGAACAAAGTTGCTTTGTCGTTAGCTACAAAGACATCAAGAAAGCATTGGAGTCGTCATTTCAGGCGCTCCTGAAGCCAACCAGAAGGCTTCATTAAACAGCCCTACAGAGGGCCAATTCCATGATGGATTCCTTCCCACGGAGGGGAGACTACTTATATATGCGAAGGGAACTAGGTGAAGGAGATATCTCGTATGAAATGATCTGGCGATGTCTTTGCACATGGTTCTTATTTTGGAGGATACATTTTTAGAAACCTGCTCTCAGAAGACTGAGTCTCACGGCCGAGTTACCGATGCTTTATCTGTGCGGAAAGCTGGAATCGCACAATCCCCGTGTTGATTTTATTGCAACCTGGCAACTGATGCTTGCTTGCTTTGAAAATATGATGCCATTGATATACGAACGAAGATACAGATGCAATTGATTACAGACATATCACATTACTGGAATGGCTCGACAGACCTAGCATGTAGTCTATCTCGTAGAGTCAACTTTTGACATCATAAAAGTAGTCAGTCTAAACGATACTCGAGCCCAGCACATGACTCCAACTACAGGTCAAAAGCATGAGCCCACAACTCCACCCCCTCATCGTAACCATCATGATCATTGTCCACCCACTCCGCAAGCCGCTCCTTCAGATCCTCCACCGTCAACTCCTCGTTCCACTCATCCCACTCCGCCGCCCCCTCCACCACCTTCCTCGGCGGAACCAACACCCCATCCACAATATGTACATTCCCATCCCGCCCCAACGCATCCGCAACCGCCACCCGCTGGATCCCATTAACCTTCAACGAAGCATACGGTCCAAACCGCGCCACATCAACACTCAACCTCTTCTCCCCCAACAACGTCGGCAGATCCAAATGCGTGAACCCCTTGACGCCAAACGGCCGGATCTCGCCCTTCTCCGTGTAGATAACATCCGAATACAGCGTCCGGTCCGGAACGATATGGTACTTGAGCAGGGCGAGGAGGTATTTCTGGCCGTAGGGCGAGAATAAGAAGGCGTTGATTTTGAGGCCCAATTTGCTAAAGGCTGCGTTTGAGGGCGCGAAGATTGTGTGGCCTTTCTTGGTATCTTTGCCTTTGTTTTCTGGGATGGTGAGGTTGGTTTTGAGGAGGGCGAGGTCGAAGGTGCTGAATTTCGTGGGCACCAGGTCCAGTAGGGTTTTGGTTGTTGGGGGCGGCAGCAGGACGCTGGATATACCGTGGATTAGGCCGTTGGTGCCGGGCTGGGATTGTTAGTTTCTTTCTTTCTTTTTCGTTTTTTTTTCCTTTTCTTTTTTTTCTCCTCTCTGGGATCTGGTGGTTGGAGGGAGATGAGGGAGATGGGGTGAGTGAATCGACTTACGATATCGGGTGCTACAACCCGACTATAGAAGTTCAGCGTTAGACCTCTCCAGCCTGCTCGGACGGATAGTCTCTGCGGAAGTTTATCTCCCAGTGCTGGACTCTCCAATTCAGTCGGTAGGGTGTGGCTATGGAAGACGGTGCGGGCGTTCCAGAGTCCCGGGACTAGGTGGTACTTGATGACGGCGCGGATGAGCTCCTTGGGTGGTTTGTGGTCGTCGTGGTGTGGGATCTTCTTGAATGCGTCATCTGTGGGCGCGAAGAAAGTGTGGTTTGTTTCTGTCGAGTTGAGGAGCTTGACCAGTTCCTCGTCGTCTTTGATGAGCTTCGCCAGGATGGTGGTGTATTTGCTTTCGGTAATGAGCTCGTAAATAGTCTTGTCGGAGGGCGGGTGGTGTGGGGGGTGTAGCTGGGAGAAGGGGGGCAGCTGGGTGATGTCCTCAGGGAGGTATTCTGCGTCGTCATAGTCGTCCTCATCAAAGTAGTCGGAGTCTTCTGCGTCTACTGTGTCGAAGAGGGAAGTGAGGGTGTCGCCTAGGCCACTGTTTTGGATTTCGGATGCGGCGTCCACTAGTGAGAGTTGGAGGAGGTAATCGTCGAGGGCGACCTTATCATTTGCGTCTATGTTGTTGAGGTCGAGATCTTTTAGGGCTTGTTGGGGGGTGGGAATGAATAAGGCCGAGGAGAGGGTGGCTGTAACTGCCACCGTCCAGAGCTGGACCCTCATGGTGATTCAGTATAGGATCACTTAGGGTTCTTGAGATAAAGGTGATAAGGAGATTAAGTAGATGCGGGATCAACGTAGCTAATCAACGGGGTCAAGCTCTATTTATGTTAGAATATAGGCAGCCGATGCGAATATAATAAGCAGCGGCGTTAAGACTTTCCAACAAAGCCGATTGATCAGGATCCTTGAACATGCCCACCTTAAGCTGTCCAATCTGCGACGGTCTAGAGCATTCGTAATCGTATTCGTGACCGAAAATGGGATTTAGCTCTGGAGTTCTATGACGCTAGCTTACTGTCATATAACATGATGTCACAGGCTTAGCACGGTCACGCCATGAGGAGCATATCTTAGTGATCACTTTTCGTACAGCAAAGCTACGCGGATGAATAATGCCATGGACTTCATGACTCGTGATTCATTATTTTATTTCTGCGTTTAACTGCTTCCGACCATTCGCTTTCAGAATAGCCAAAGGCGGAGATAATACTCGGCCTTTGTGGAGACAGACCAAGACTTGCCAGGTGGGAGCTAGCAAGTTGAGAGATAGAGGGTATGGGTAAAGAAGTAGAGTGACACCAGTCCAAGCGTGCAAAGGTCAATAGAATACATTCCGCAATTGCCGTGATTGATATCGCATGAGAGCAGGGGGGCTCTTCCTGAAATTCGCAAAGACCAAAGATGTAAGACCAGGAGTCAGGAGTGGTCAGTATTATCCGTCGTGTGAGATTTCGTTTACTCCTCCGCCTGCACGAAGGGGTTGGCAATCTCTTCGCTGCCATCGGCAGGCGAGATGAGCACAATGAGAGTACCACGAGCAACAATTAAACCAAGAGAACGAGTGTTCTCGTTGCCCTCGTCATCTATTCACCGACCGTCAGAGTTAGGCAGAGACAATGGATAGACACCAGAGTCACCTACCGCGCATAGATTCTTTGACATCGTCGAGAACCAGGTTCATCAGTTGATCAAATCCCTTGAGCGTGCCGACGACTGTGCACTGGTTAGTGGATTCGGGAAAGTAAAAATTAAAAATAAAAGAAAACAAAATAGAAAGTTGATATGACAGGAGTGGACCTACCCTCTCTGCCACCATTGAACTTCACCCGAACCTCCTTATCCATATACTTGCTGAGGTCGAGGATGTTTTCCTTTTTGGGCTTCTCTTGCTGTTGCGCACCGCCACTGGCACCGCCACTTTTGGCATGACCGCCACGGCCGCCAGACCTGTCGTGGCCTCCGCCGCGGCCACGACCTCCACGGAAGGATCCTCGTTCGGACATGCTTGGCTGGGACAAAGTTTTTTGTTTTTGTTTTTTATTTTTTTCGAGTTTTTATTTGTTGATTTATTTCCTCGGTTATATTATAGAGAGGGGAAGAGATAGTAGTAAGACAAAAGAGAGGGGAACCGATGAGGGGAATTGTCTAGAATTGCGATGGGGGGTGGGTGCGTGGTGAGAGAGACCGGATCCCACTTTGGACTTGGTTGGTCCGTCAAATTGCAGGAAAGGATGGGGTGGAAGGGGGACGGATGTATGAGGGATTTTCGAGGAGGGGGCCGATTCAGTAGTAGGTCAGCGGCAAGAGAACAAATGTGCTGTGCCTCTGTGGTTCAACAATAATAGCAGCAGCAGCAGCAGTAGGTCAGCGGCAGGTAAGGTAGCCGTGAGAAGGAACCTGGAAGTCACGGGAACGGACCTCTGAGTATCACTGGGAAGGAAAAAACTCTGATAACACACAATTGCTGCGCGTCACACGGCCGACGGTGACCATACCTTACTCCCATCCCGTACTAGCGTGTATGAAATCCAGTCCACATGGGTGGTAAGAGGACAGTGGAGTGGACGGCCAGTCGGCCTTTACCCAATGGAGGTTGAGCTTAGGCAGCACCCTTACGGGCGGAGCGGCAAGTTGAGTTGGTCTCGGAGGGGACCTTTCCATCTGTACCAGTATCCTCCGTTTGGTGTTGGTGCGCCTCGGAGTTATACCTCAAAGAAAAGAAGGGAGCAAAACAGGTTTTTGTTCCTATCTATTAATTTCGAAGAATTCCAATATAAACCTCGTCACGGATGAACCTGGGATTTTAGGTTGTCATCGTCCTACCAATAGGCCGGCCATGCAAGGGGTTTCAGAACCCAGTCCCTAGGTTGGTATCTTTCTTCCCATCTGATATGAATTGATGCAATCAGAAGGGGTCATAACATAAGCCCCATTAAACTTCGGGAAAATAGCGGTATATCTTTCCAACACTAGCGTTAAAATTCCAATCCGATGCTAATCATAATAACAATCCAATCATAATCATAATCATAATAACATTGTACTCGGGAGTAAAAAAAAAAAAGCAATCTCTCAATAATGAGGTCTCATATCATCAGTCAAGGCAGAAAGAAAATGGCTCAACACACTCTCCTAGGCTGCCGGTATGGTCGAGTACCAAGTAAAAAACGGGCATGGGTGGTGACGATTCAGTTCCGAGCTCCCGGACCACACCGAATGGACGGCGGAAGAGACCGGCGGGACTCCGCCCGCTACGTGCTTGATTGCCTAAGGCGCAAAGGTGCTACTAGTACTTCTACGTTGTCTTGAGTCTTGACGGACCGCGACTAAGAGGGATCGGGTTAGATAAGACTTTCAGGATCGCCCAATCCCCCGGCTGTGGGTTCGGGTCCTTTCAGTCCAGCCATTCATCGTGTCCCACTCGGCATCATCGACCTTACGGAGGGGAGGAAAAAGACTGAAGGAAGAGAGCTTTTGCGTCCGTTCCGCTCACCGTCAGCAACTGCACCGTTGGGGGTTTCATTGGGTGTTTTGTTTCGCTCATGTCCTTTCCCCGGTGCTTTCACTGGATGAGAGTTGTCCTGACTACTATCTTCCATTCCAAGTCAGGAACGGAAGTGATTGGGTTGAATGACATTTCAACCCCCAGTTACACCTAAAGATAACCCATATTGATTCAACGAGCGCGATATTTCCCAGGAGAAACTTAACCTACCCAACGGCTATTCCGTTCCGTCCGCCTTTT